TTTTGGCCATTGGCACTGTCCCACATCCAGTAAAAGAAGAGGTACAGAACGGCGAACACTGCCAGTGCGAATCTGTTCCAGCGATACTCAGATGGATCGTGGTTGGCCAAGTAAAGCGCACAATGGCAATAGGAGAATGGTACACCGGCCATATTCCAAAATGTGAGCAAGAATCCGAGTTTCTCATAGTACATGTCCCTGTTTGAACATTAGAATGGCCAATTCTTTCAAAGAATATCTTATCTGAGATTGACTTACCAACTTGTGATGATCATTTGCTCTGCCTTGGCACAAGCATTGGTATACAGGTAATGAGCTCCAGCAAGGAAAACGACCTCAGCAGAAACATAGCCATAGGTTTCGTACTGACGAGCTGCCACGGACAAGGTGATCAGGAACAGAATAAACCAGGGAATTCTGACTTCATAAAACATCTTGAAGTCCAAGATACCGATGCGTGGGTTCAACTCGGCGCCCATGAAGAAATCATAGATGGGTGACCCCGACATTCTGTGGGTCCGCCCGCGTACGATAGCCTGGAAGTACACGATGAAGCTGTTCAGGAAGCCAGACAGGATGGAGACGGTCATGATAGATCCGAATTCGTCGATCAGCGTGTACAGAGGAAACACGCCGGTGAAATGCAAGGCAGCAACAATTGCAAGTGTCGCATAGAAACTGCAGTAGGCAGAGCAGTAGTAGGGAAGCCTCTTCCCGTTTTCATGAAGCAGGGGACGGCCATAATTGGAAACGCCAGGCATGTAGCAGTACATCAGAGACTCCATGATAAAAAAGACCCAGTAGATTACCCATGCCTTGGTGGTGGGATAGGCACCCTCATAGACCAATTGACAGAGGTGGCGGCCAAAATCGGACCAAGACTGGTCGACCTCAGGCAGAGGAAGCTTGCCATCGTAGTAAGTTGCGCCAATCCACATGTACCACATGATGATGGGAAAACCAGTCATCAGCAGCAATACGCCAATTGAGCCACCGAACTCGAACTCGTCGGACGCGCCGTCTCTGAACTTTGGGGCAGGCTTGGATTTGTTGTTCTCCTTGACACCATTGACGGGTGGAGCCGCAGTAGCGGTAGATCTCTGTGACACGGCCATTGCTAGCAATTGGGAGAAAAAGGAAACTTGAATCACAAAATGATCGGAGAAATTCGATTGTTTTCAATCGCGCGAGCTCAGGGGGGCCGTCATGTGACCACGTATGCAGGGTTGACCAGAAAAGAAAAAGAAAAAAGAAAGAAAAGAAAACAATAAATACAGGTAATAGAGGGGCTCAAGTTTGGGTAATCTATCTTGGCAGTAAGAACGCCTGAAACAAGATACTCCGTGCAATTGTAACCACCAGGTTAAACATCCAATTGGAGGAGCCAAAAGGTAACCCACCACAATGCGGCTGCGGGATATTTTACACTAGTCTCATCACGATGTAGTACTAGTAGTATGTATTCCATTTGGTATTTGGCCCCCAGTTCCACTACTTGTAACGGTGGCATGTAATTTGAAAACCGACCAGTTATGTACATATGTAAGCTACTAAAATACTTTGGTCCAACGCGGAACTTTTTTCTTTGTCTTTAAATGAGGCGGCATCTTGGAACCTTGGAATGCGAACGACGCCGAGTAAAATTAAGGGGGGGGGCAACTGGTTAACGGACTTAGCCACGATCTTCGAACACATCTTTGATTTCCTCCGCCCAAGCTTCCAGAGTTGTTGCAGGTCTTCCCAGATATAGCTTCACATTTTCGAGACCACTCGCATAATGAGCACGTTCCTGGTCCGCGTTGTCCGAGCTATCGAGCTTGTCGACCATATACAGCGCAACAGGCTTTGGCACGCCAGACGCCATAAATTGCTCGATCGCCTGGCTCGGGGTGACAGGTAGGAACTTGACCTCCTTGCCCAAAACCTTTGCAATGACCTCCACCCCTTCCTTTTGAGGGAGGATCTGTGGTCCATAGACGTAAACCTTTCGCTGGTTGTTCTTAGGCCCTTGCACCAAGACTGTCCCACTGATTTGACCCATATCGACGGGAGTGACAAAATCCATTTTGAACATTGGACCAAACATCTTCAGCTCGCCGGAAACAATGCCATCCTTGAAGCGCAACAGATTAGTCGCAAAGCCACCGGGGCGGATTGCAACATAGTGATCAGCGCCAAAGACCTCATCCAGGTTGATCTCAATTTGAGCATGGATGAATGGAATCATATCTTCGGGGTCTACGTCACGCGGGTCCCCGGCAATGGTGTAGCTGCTGAGAAACACAACGAATTCGATGCCAGCAGATTTGAGCGCAATCAACGTGGATCGCATGTGGTCGGGCATGCCGTTGGCTCGGTAGATGAAAGCACGTTTGGCTCCGGACAACTGCACGGCTGCGGTGACGCTTTCAGGCTGGGTGAGATCAGCTTGAATTCTTTCAAACTCTCCTGCCTTTTCAGCCTCTGGGGTCAAGCCTGGAATTGCTTTTGTGGTATCTCTCATTGCGAGGAACACCTTAGCTCCCAGCTGTTGGGCAGTGATGGCCACAACAGACCCAACACTACCGGTCGGACCGAACACAATGACAGAGGACATATTGGAGATGAAATAGGAGAGAAGAGGAATCGGTGGAGTGGTTTTGCCAGTGATCGGACGTGGGTGCTTGAACTTATACGAGTGCTCCAGTCTTAACACCGCTTATCTCCGCAATGCCAAACTTTCGAGATCAACAATACGAGATCAACAATACGAAAAGCACAGGATCCGGGCGATGAAGTCAAATTTCTTGACTATAAGGGGTTAAGGCGAGATTACTAAATCTGGCAAAGAAATGCAAGTTCCTATGCACACGCCTATCCGAAGTACTGCTACATGATTAGGTACTGGGCGATCACGGGGCTGATGTGATCATGACATACCATCTTCACTTCCCCCGCACACCCCGGATTTTCCACTCTTTTCACATCTATCATGAAAGCTTAAGCCATGGCTGCACAGCAAAGTGAAAGCATTGACTTACAGAAACGATCCGTCGTCTCTTCCTTCATCTTCACTGGGACCGACGATAGCCTGCGGGTCGCGTTATTCCGACGGAGCCAACAAACTAGATCATACCAGTCAGTTCACAGCGCAGAGGAAGTCTTCTTAGCTAACCAGACCTACTTAATCAAGAGGTCGTCTGGCTCCCATATCGGGAACGATCGAGAAAAGCGAATCACCAGTCCGAGCGGCATGGAGAGAACTCGAGGAGGAAACACGCCTGACAGCCCGCGAAGTGACATTGTGGCGAGAAGGCAACCCGTTCACCTTCGATGATATCTCAGCGGGACGACAATGGACAGTTCACCCCTTCGCATTTCAACTGCGGCTCGAGGCACAAAACAAAATACAAATAGACTGGGAGCATGACGGGTGGGACTGGTACGATCCGAACAAAGTCCCCGATGACGAGACATTCAATGGCGTTCCCCGTCTAGTTGAGAGTCTTAAACGAGTTTGGTTCGAAATGGAGATGAACTCAGCAGCAAGTGCAGCCCTTCGCTCGGGCCTCTATCAATTGAAAACAGACCACCAAAGCGGATCCCACGAGTTGACTTCCATTGCTGTGACAGCACTCCGGGATGTCCTTGTACATCTTCGAGGGGATAGGAATTGGTGGATTACCACACGCACAGCAGCATGGCATCTATGGAAAAATGGGCGAGAAAGCATGGGCTCGGCAACACTCAATGCATTCCTCGGTCTTCTTGCCGACATCGAAACTATTCTCCCTCCAACGCTGGAAAATGAGTCCTCGTGGGACCGTGTTCTGGCAATGGTTGATCACCACTTGGAAGCGCGCCGGGAGATCCCAATACGAATTAAGGAGAACTTTGCCAAGTATCTCCAGGACAGCCTTCTCCCAGCTGCAGAACGAGAATACAGAGACACCCTCACCATCCTCACGTTATCTGCCAGTTCTACAATCCGCGACAGTATCATCGATGCCTTTTCATCTCTGTCGATATCAAATCTGGATCTACGTATCCTAGAGTCTCGACCCCTATTCGAAGGGCCTACTATGGCTTCGACGCTGCTATCTTCATTCCAATCAAAGCACCTAGCCGCGTCCGATCGACATCTCAAGTTGACGATCTACACCGATGCATCAGCAGCTATAGCTGCATCCGAGGTAGACTTTGTGCTTCTTGGAGCTGATAGCATTTCGTCATCTGGCTGGGTTAGTAACAAGACTGGATCTTTACCCGCTGTTCTCAGTGCGAAGCATATCAGCCCCGGCGTGAAAGTACTCATATTAAGCGCAGTGGACAAAATCGCTGGGCCAGTCGAGTTAGAGCATGAGGGGGAACAAGAATATAATGATCCCGTGGAAGTTACGACGCCTTGGGTTGGCAGCGGCGTGAGAGGCATCAATTTACTCAATGAAGGGGTTCAAGGATCCCTTCCCAAGACAGCGAATTGCCGTGTTATCGTTAACAACATATATTTTGAATGGGTTCCTGCTGGTCTGATTGATGGTTATTTGTGTGAACATGGTTTATATTCTGTGGCTGACATTCGGAAGAAGGCAGACGAGGTAAAGAATAATGCTGATAGGTATTTCGGGTGTGTTGTCTGTAAGGACTCGGAATGAAATAAGTTCATGTGATATTGACCAAAAGTAATAAAGCCGAGGAAAGGAAGAGAGGTAAGCTCCCATATGTAGTTATGGTATAGATAGAACGGATAGTCATTATAACGAACCGATGTTGTCGAAGTCACAGACCTGATCATGTGGCCACAACCGTCGTCCACTCAAAGTCCCGCAAAGTCTACAGCCAGTGAGTACATGGAGACAACGGATTTCAGATATGCTAACCAAATTGACCAGATCCGGAAGTAGTCGAATTGGCTATTGTGGGAGGAAACAGCAATGTCATTGTGGCAAAGGAGGAGAAAGAGGCCCATCTGTGCTTGAGCTCTCCTCGTGGGCATTATTGCTTCAATGAGCAAGCTCAGTTCAGTATTCGTAGATGTCATAATTCTCCTTGCAAATTTTCAACTTTTCTAAATCACGCGATTCCACATTTGGGCGTCGGAAACCAGCATCGAATGCATCTTTCAGCATACCAATCCCTTTTGGGATGTCAAGGGGGTCTGATTCCTTAATGGGATTCTCCCCGTCATTGTAGACAAAATCTTGTACCTCCTTTTCAATCCATTTACCCTTTCCATATTCGGCAGGCATTCCAACTGCATCTGGCACTCCGATCGTAAATCTGGGCCTGGAGGCGGCATTCAAGTCTCTCCACGACGTGCTCTCGGATACCATTTGCCGGATCTTCTTGAGCATGATATACCAGTCCGCAGCATTGTCATCATAGAATTCCAACATGCTAAGTTCAATGGATTGAATAGAGGGTGGCAGGGTGCTGAGGAAGGAGACGCAATCATCCTGTGAGATAACAAAGCCAGACAGTTCAAAGTGACGCAGACTCGACCAATATTCCACAGGTACAATGTCATTTAGAGGAATCAGTGGGTAAAATCCATTCTCATGAATTTCCTGATCGTAAGTTATGTGCAGCCTAAGCTCCTCGAGATTCGTTGCGCCACTAAGTGCACAGCGCAGACGACCATTGAGCAAAGATCTCCAGCATGGTTCGAGGTCTGCATCATCCTCCCCACCAACGAGCAGTGAGAGATCCAGACGGCGAAAGCCCGGGTTTTTAAGCACCTTGACCAAATGATCATACTCTTTGCAGGGCTCGTCGAAGATTGTGCAGTTGATTCCTGTAGGGAGAAAGTTGGAAGTCATCATAAGCTCAGAAACAGAATTTGGTTCGTTGGCAAGCACACGCATTGTAGTGCGGAATCCGCGGTATCTTTCTCTGAGTTCAGGGTAATGGTTCCACGTATACGCAGTCGCAGGTCCGTGTCTAGATTTATTGTACAGCCAGCCACACGGAATAGGGTAGTTGAAGCCCTTCGGGAATGCGCGAATCATTGGGGTCGGGTAAAGCGGGTTGAAGAGGTGTCCGTGGGCCACAGGTGTGATAGTGACCCTTTTCAGAGCGGGGAATTGCTTCACACCTAATGAAAGTGCTTCGAAATCGCTATCTCCGGCAAGCACATCGTTTTGCTGACCCAGCAAATACTGATAATGCCGCCAGCACTGCCCCAGCGGAGGCTGGGCGAGAATCTGCCCTCCGGGCTGTCAACATCGGCTCCTTTGCGGCTCAATAGAATGCGGAGATTTTCTTGACAGGCGTCTTTGAACCATTTGGGACATCCGTTGTCTTCTTCAAGTTGATGTTGCTCCATCAGCTTCTCTCTGAAATAGTCAGAATAAACTTGAGCCCACTCTCTGGTGTTATCAGGCTCATCATCGTCCGAGAGTAATTCGTGCCCCTCGCCAGTTTGATCTATTCGCTGTGGACCCCGTGGCAAGCATGCTTCATCCCAGATAATTTCGGTCACCGAATGGCGGAACTTCTCATGTGAGGCAATCTTGCGAAATACCTCTATGTTAAGTGGGTTGGCGGAAAGAAAAACTCGGTCAATGCGAAGAGGGACTGCGTTGTTGACTTGGGTACATGTCAGGCGCAAAGATTTGATATCGGCATTTGGCAGATAGCTTGCGATGCAGTCCCATAGCTCAAAGGGTAGGGGGGGTGAGGCTTGCACCAGCCATGACATATGGTTGACGGAGATCCGTCGGGGGTATAGTGCCGCTTTATACCCCGGCAACTGGCAAAGTCCCACTATTTGCCCATGTTCCACCCAGGTGGGGGCCGCGAGCCGCCTGCAGTAGCGGCCCCGGGCCCTCATTTGGGGCCATGGACAATACTGATCTGCATAATTGCGTGGGAAGAGAAAATGACCGCCTACCAAAAGAATTGCCGAGAATGGCGCGTTGGCTTGCCAGGTACCGGAGAAGATATACACATGCTCTGACGCATTGGGGGAAATCCTGAGCGGTGAAAATCAATGACAGCGGCGATTCCCAACGCCTAATTGGGTCGGTAGACGTGTTTAATAGGCATTCAGTTGAATCAACATGCTATAATATTTGAGCCATAAGCAGTGGAAAAATTCCCTCGCATATCATCGAGGCTTTCACCAGTCTTTTGAACATGCATCAGTCATTCAAACATTAGTTGGACATGGTACAATCGAATAGACTCTTGAGCTACATAAGTGGGCGTCGCACCAGGATTGAAGATATGGTAGTGGTGTTGCGGCTGAGTCGTAATTAGGGGGAGCTGCGATGATAAATATTGTCGAAGCTCATGCTGCCATGTTGTCGGTTCTGGCTTCCTATTTTTATCGTCGAGAGATGTGCACGTGCTACAGGCTACCAAAGATAGGTCTGCGGATTAGTTAAGATGAGTAAAGATGTGTTGCTGTGTCTTTTCTTTTTGTTTATAGCTTTGTAGCGGAGGGTCTAAGGCTGTATAGGGATATCAACCCTCCATAAGGTCTTAATCCGTATATTTCCCTTTGGGCCTGTACGTATCGGACAACTATCTCTTGGCGAAATCGAATTACTGCTCTATCTCGACAACCAGAAGTCCTACAGACTTCTTGATACGTTCAATTGATCTGTTGCACCGGCAGCTATATCTGGATATAGGGTTTCCCTAGTCAAGATGGCAGCTGTTGATGTAGCACGGCCGGGAGGCGTATTTATGTATCTTGACCTGTAACGAACTGGTGTTGCTACCATTCGTGAATTCCTTGACCCTGCGGTATCCACTAGGCATCCATGCCTACATGTATCTAGTTCATCTCAGCTTCTTCCTTCTGCTTCTTCTCCTCGAGCTATTATTTTCGTCGAACCGCAACTGATTCATTGCTTCGTATACTACGCTGTACGTTGATCTGTGAGCATCTGAGCATCCTCACAGGTTATATAATCGGGCACGTAACTCCAACAACATCGGTTCGTTACATCGTCAGCAATTGAATCAGATATAGGCCGGACTATCTAAAATCTGAAAGACAAAATCTCGTTCCTTTCCCCGATTATAATCTAGTTCAACACAGCTAGTAGAGCCATTACCCAGGTGGGTTCGTATCGTTATACTACTACTAGTATAATACAGTGTAGATTTGACTCTCACACTTGTAGTACAAACAACTTGAAGCAGTCATATAACTAGCAAGCACTATAAAACAAGAGATAGAGCAGTAACACCCAGTAAGTTCCTTAAAGCAGCTCCCACTTCCATCACGAACTACAAGTATACAACTGGCTACTGTAGTACTAGTAACCTTTGGTTGATCACATGAGAGCCTCATAGTAGCCACGCAGCAACAACCATCTAACCCACCCAGTTGGAAAAAGTAGCCTGACAAGCCTGCTCTGCACGCAGGCCCGAGCTAATGTCACTGCATATATTCCAACCCTGCCCGGTCTGGTAATCACTGCCGGCGTAGTTGAACTTGAAGAAAGGGTCCGCGACATCCCAGTTGATGTTGGTAACAGTGAGTTTATCCGACAGCCACTCTTCTTCGATAACATAAGGAATGCCGCAGTCGTTGCCCTCTTCATCAGGGGAATAGACACCAGCACGCTTGCAGACATCGTCATAAATAATAAAGGCCTTAGAGCCAGAGATTCCAGCAAATGGGTTGCTACCGTCAAAAGTAGGGACGCTGACCTGGCTGATTTGCATCGCAAAGGTCCATCTGTTGGGGCCTTCGGCAAGGCACAGCTCGGAGCGGTCTTCGCTGGTTTTCTCGTCGTCTTTGATTTTGTTGTTGAGCTTGCAGTCTGCGTTCACAACAGTAGGAATTGCAAAAAGGGCAAGGCCCGCAAGGACCTGAATAGAGGATTTCATTTTTGAACTTTGAGTGTTGATTCACTGAGGTTGAGGATGAGGATAAGAGTGAAGATGAAGATACAAATCAGCACGAAAGGGGGTGATTGATGGGCTTTATATATAATTTTTGGTCTCTACAGCCCGTAATTTTTCACGGTAATGCCCAGGTGTTTGGACAGAACCTGCGCCACCTCTCTCCCGAATATCTCGACGGGACTTGTCCTACGACATGGGTACCCACAACCCAATGACCTCGGGACTCTAATGCTCCAATACCACGCGATATATCGGCCCGCTTCAGCCTTTCGCCCCCAGGATTGGCTTGGTATCTGACTTCACTTTTTTGGCCCCAAATAGATTCAATTTACAAATACTGAACTATCAAGTGCTGCCCTTGTTCAAAGCCCTGGTCAAAGCTCTGCCAAAAATATATCAACTCCTAATAGATTCCTATAGATAAACTAAATTTCTGCCGAGGCAGTACAATCATAACCCTTCGCAAAATGTAATCAAGACATACTGGTATTCTACTAGTACTATGCAACTTGAATACTGGAAGTCAGCTCTGGCGGCTCCGCTGGTGTCCCCGGATACCCATTCTCAATATAAAACGTTCTGGCCAATCATTGATGTTACCCTCCCTCAGCCCCCTTTTTTCTTAGTGGCCTTTACTGTTTCAGGGCTAGTGCTTAGGCTTGGCTTGCCCACAGCTGCCATAGCCAGTCTGCAGAAACTTGTCGGGGCCATCCGGTAGGAGAAAGATGCAGGATGTCTTACTTCTGGCAGGAGTGAATGGCCTTTCTCATGCGATATTCCGTTAGAATAAAATGGCGCCTGGACCCTGCATTTTATCTGAGCGCCCACTCAGCCCCTTCTATGAGCTAAAGTGGCGAAGGCAGGCTTGACAGGTAGGTTACTTCTTATCCTAACATTTCGCCCCCAAGACTTGGCAGTTTGGCCTTCTTGTCATTAAGAGTGCAATATGGGAGGCCTTATGCTTCAAGCTTCTTTCTGGTCTCAAACATCATTCCAAGCAAATCGCCTCACGTCAGATGATTGGGATTGTGCAGTCTTGTGAGGAAACAGGTAATCATAGCAACGCTAATTCGATGCCTATGCATCCGCATGAACAGAAACACTTTTAACAACAATATCCGGAACAATCAACTTTTCCTGGATGGAAATCCCATTAAGATAATCATTAGTATCAACCCTCCGATAGCCATCTTCCAGAGTCTTCTCAATACCCGCCTGAACATGTCTCTTCGCCGTCCGATCCCGCGCCTCTAGAAGATCCGTTTCGACGAAGATGCGATAATCACAGAGCGTCGCGAGGTCTCGCCAGCCTGGCTCGTCGAGGAGGAGATAATTCCCCTCGACAATGATGATTGATGCATCGGGCGTGATGAAGATGCCTTCTTCAACGGGATCTTTCGCTTCGTGGTCGAACGTCGGTGCGCTAAGGACGTGGTCGGATGGCCACTTTCCTTCTTTTGGTAGGGGTGTGTTGTCGGCCCATTGGCGTATTTGGTGCATGAATGTTACAAATCGGGATACGTCGAAAGTCCAGGGGGCGCCGCGTCGGATATGTGCCTCTTTGGGGTTCGGGAGCTCATCAAGTTCGCGGCGGGAGAGATGGAAGCCGTCCATTGAGAGTAGAGCGGCTTGCATATTTGGCTCATTCAAGTTGTTAAGATGATTTACCACGGCTGCCGCGGTGGTTGTTTTGCCTGAGCCGGGGATTCCCGCGATGGCTACGATGTAGCGTGGTTTGAGGGAAAATGTTGGCTTGATCGCGGATGGTTTCCGCCAGGCGGTGGTATTCGGCGTCCATCTTTGAACTCTATGGCTGTTAGCCTTTGTGATCAACCCTTGAAGTAAAGGGGAGTCTGGAACGCACCTTGATTCAAGCTGAATTTCAACTCCCGGGGTCGAACTTAGACTTGATGGCTGGATAATGTGTTTCGTGCTGTACAGTAGTACTAGTATAATATATAACTAGTAGAGTACTTATACTTGTAGATTTTCAAGGTTGAAGGTATTATTACGGTGCCGCTCGGCAACTCTTCTTCAAAGAATCATATTGGACTGGTATGTGAAGCTTTTCTACACTTCAACAGTACTGGATAGGTTTTCAATCTATCTGGGGAATGGGATCGCTATGTAGAAGATGGTGGAGTTGTCCCCGGGCGACTGTGCTCCACGGACGAGTGTCCTCCGACGGGCATGCTATCGGTGTTGATCCGAGTCGGCAGCCCGAGATACTCTACAATAGACTACAGAGTTGCAGATGCCGATCTGATCGAACAGGGCGGGGTGGAGGGGGAGAGAGGTTTTGCTCTCGCCGTTGTTGGTCCCTGACGCCGAAGGTGGATGTCTTGGTGGCCCCGCCATTTTACCCCAAGTTGGAAGAGCGGGTGATTTATTATTGGAGAGGAGAGGAGGGGTCTGGGAACCCGATTTCCCCGCAATTTAGCGGAGAGGGAAGGGAGGGTAATATAGATTTCTAACTCTGCTCGTGAAGTAACCCTCCAAAGGCACTCCGAGTCGGCTCGGTCTCGCGAGTTTCGAGAATGCTCGCGTCCGCCAGAGAGTAGCATAGCAAGCAAATATGGTGGTATAATAATATGCATCGTCAGATTTTCGAGTCGTTGAATGTCGTATACGCTGGGGTTGAATATCAACTCATAAGAGGTCATGGATCATGTTGTTGCTGTGCTCTGGAGTGGATGTCTGTTCTCCTCCGGGAGAACGTTTAGACGGGGGCAGTATTGGCTTCAGAATTGGGACATCTGCCTTTGGCTTGCGTTTGATCTTCGGTTTTGCTGTGGGATCGACGTAAAAGCATAGGAGTTGTTCCTGGCAGCAGTGGGAACACTGCGGCTTGGCGTGATCGCAAACGACATGCCATTCGCGGCATGCCTTGCAGTCGTAAGGCTGGCGGGTTGGGCGCGGAGTTGTCGATGGCTCACAGGGAGGGCCCCACCACGTCGGCCACAGCCAGTGAGAGAGTCGTCCACATATTCCCGAGGGCATGTTGGTCTGGACAGAGACGGTCTGGATATTCTGAGCGGGTTGCTCCCCGTGGGGTTGTAGTCTGGAGATAGTCAGTCAGTCAGTCCGTACAGGGCGATGGAGGGAAGGAAAGACAGTGAGGAGGTAGATTATAGTGAAGGGATCGCAAGTAGGGAATAGTCCGTACAGATCCTCTCCATCTAGTGAAACTGACCTTGAGGCAACACTCATGACGGTTGACTGTTGCTGCTGCTGCTGTTTGCTCTGGAGGGGTAACAAAGAGAAGAAGTGGGCACCATTTGGATGAAGGTAAAGCCATTGAGGACCCGGACCCCGTGCAGTTTTTTAGTAAATCGCGCAGGCATTCCAGTGGAGTCTGATGACATGGCCTTGGAGTATTTGGAGGTGTGTGTGTTGGTGTGTGGTGTGTGTGATGTGTGATGGGGGAGTGTTGGCACTGGCTGATCTGCTGATTCGAGGGAAAGCGTGACTCTTTCTCTTTGGCGGGTTCATCTCCCGTGGACTTCTCCACTTCATCTTTCCATACTTCATACTCTCTCACATTTTCATACTCTGAAACTCTTGACAGATCCATCCAATGCTCGACTCGCATTCACCGGATCTCTCCTCTGTCCCATCACCATCACCAAATGGACCGCATCGCCAATATCATCCGCGCCGATCACCGTGAGCTGGCCTTATGTTACCGCCGCATTGTTGATGCCGCTGATGAGGACGAACAAACCCGCCATCAGAACCAATTTACTTGGGAACTGGCCCGTCATCTTGTTGGAGAGGAGCTCGTGCTATTCCCGGCCATCGAGAAGAATGTACGTGACGATCCAGTGGATGAGCAACAGCAACAACACCGCCACGACGAATACCACCCACATCAAAAGGTTAGTAGATTTGGACTGGTTTCATTCTTTCTCTTCCTTACTTCTGCTCACAATTGCAGATCAAAGAAAATCTCCAAATCTTCCAAGATCTCCACTGCTCCGACCCACGCTTCATCCCCACCATCACCGTTTTGATGGATGATCTCGCCGCCCACATCCACACCGAGGAGACTCTGGACCTGGTCAGGTTGGAATCCGCCATCACATCAGAGGAGAGTCAACGTCTGGCCCGCCGGTTTACTCGCACGAAATGGTTTGCACCCACGCGTGCCCATCCGTCGCTGCCAGGTCGTTCGCCCTACGAGGCGGCCACCGCGCTCATCGCGGCCCCACTGGATCATCTGCAGGATTTCTTTCGCCGGTGGCCCGATCCTGAACTCTACCCGACGCCCGGTCCAGAGGAGTAGACTTGATTGGGATGAAGGCTAACTTTAGTCCAAGTTGAGATTTTTTCAGCCTGGCAATATTTACATGTGCGCAACATACTCGTACAATACATGCACACAATTATAGGCAGAAGGGGGATCAATACAACTGCGCTTTCATCTGTCCATCCATTCTCGGCTGGTTAAAGTTCTGCCCCCCGCTTCTCATTATGAGCTATGCCGTGCGGGTTCAAGGCTCGTGTGCTAGCCTCCATACTCGCCGGGTGATGGTCGCCTGGCGCATGAACTTCATGTCGGGGTGTATCCCAGCCCAACTCATTGCTGAGCAAATCGCTGGCCTCTCGCTTGGCGGTGTCTGAAACATGGGGGTTTTTCAGCGCCCTGGTTCTGTGATTAGCTTGTCGATCGGGGGTCAAGTATCACTGCACCTTGCAGCGGATCCTATTGTGTCCCCCAGGTACTCACGATTGATAACCACGCATCGCGCTGATCCTTTCCTCGGCGGTGATGTCAACTTCGTCATTTGCTGGAGATCTCGACATGATGGGTCTTTACTGATCGCGATGATTAAATTGTCATCTGTGATATTCAATCAAATGTAAACTCAATACGGGTTATCCAGTTAGTGAACAGAAGGTGTCTGGGGCAAGTTCCATCGCTTACAATTGGCTTCTGGCCCGGACCTGCGTCATGGCGACGTCGAGCTGGCAAATCGCCGGAGTCCATCCCAGCGCCATGGACGCCAGAAAAGCTTCTACTCTCGCGATGCCGAGGACATGGCGCTGGGCTTTCCAATCCATGAGACTGACCGGATGATCCACCGGCCGATGGTGATATCCAAAAACTATAATCTGAGATACGAAGTCAAAACTTCACCCGACAACATCTCCCGACATCTACAACAGCTATTGGGCCGAGCCTAAGCATTAGCCAGGAGTCATTCAATGGTAATGGCAATGATGGCAAGACATTTCTTTCCCGCGTGATATCTCTTACTAAATCTGTTCGAAGACTCAAGCCTGGCCTCAGCTGATGTCAGGCCTGCGTTGAGTGGCGGCGAGGCCGTGGTGGCCAATACGAGTGCAAGAGATGTATATAAGAGCCGGACAGAGGTCCCGATTCCTTCCACAGTCATCGTCGCATCACTGCATCACCGCTTGCAAGTCATCTTCCATCTGAAAGGGTCGCAACGGTTTCCGGTTGATCCCAGTCACATCATAGTATCAGATCATATCACGAAACTCATCGGCATCTACTTCCACTTCCACTTCTTCTCCTTCCATCTCCGCTTATTCGCCATGCCGAACCCGTTCAAGGAAACCAATTTATTCGAGCCTGTGAATGGGTCCAATTCGATCTACGGTCGGATCCTGCAGAATAAATTTCCTACGGGTACAAACCCCGATCCTTATGAGGTGGATCCTCTTCCGGTGGCCGAGTTGGAAATGGAGGATCCCTTGAGCGCGGAGTATCGGTACTACGATGAACCGCTTGGTATGTGTGGAGTTGGGGGCTTTTATGCGGGGAGTTCTTGAGGTGATGTGACGCTGATTGGTTTTGTATAGCGCAGGATAAAGGCGATGAGAGTATTCATCTGGGAAAAGACTCGGCCAGTGCCGATGAAATAATAGATACTAGCATAGAATAGATTAGAATATTAGAACAGAATAGAATATATTGACCACTCAATACTCATACTACTACGGAGTAGCTACTACTAGTTAGTAGTGGTGAACACATGAAACACTGGCAGCCACTGCACTCCGCAGGTTCGTCTCAATAGTATTGTGCTGTGAATGACCCACTGATTTTTCGAATACTACTAGTAGTACCTTGCATCTAATCCGCTATTAGTATTCTTATTATTCTGCAATACTAGCATAAAGTAAAGTATAGTTATAGTGCGCTACTCCAGCTGTGGTAGTAAAATGTCTTGGCAGTCACACTTTCCATGGGAACTTCAACGTCAATTTCAACTTCTCCTTTTCTCTTCTGCAAGTCCCACTGCCGACCGTCGCAAATTTCGTCGACTACTAACTAGTACCAGTTAGTACTTAGTACTTAGTACTGACTACTACTCCGGTCGCGATGTGGATACACAGGATCAGCTCAGCCGGTCTAGTCTCCGGATCGACGCGGGCGCGCTACAGCAACAAGATCATCAACATCGGAATGTGAAATGATTCATTCGATCATCCACCACGGCAACACACTCCCTTGAGGCGATCGCACACATGAACCGGAGAACCTCATGAGACAGATCACTCCATGGTGTTCAGCGTATGCCCATGGAGACTCATGGATGCCCCTGATGGCGTTGCTAGCGGTGTTCTCCTGTTTCACCGACCGTTTGGTGTCGTGCAATCACGTTTCAAGTTGACACTTCCAACCCTTTAGGCGCCGGACGGTGGCCACTCGCGCCCTTCCCATGCCCCACTCCAATGAAGAATGGATGATCTTTCAAGTCGGGTGGATGGACCAGCTGGGCTAGATTCCTCCTAGACTGCTCATTTTGGTGCTGGCGGGCTTCATCACCGCCGCTGCCATGGCCTGAGACGTTGCATTCACCAGGCACCGGCCTATCACTGGTGGAAGATGATGGGTCCAGAGCAAGGCCCAACAAGTGAATGAACTGTCTCTGATTCTTCCCAAGAATCTACAAAATGCCAGAGGTTGCCTGAGCTCGCGCCTTCTCCTCCTCTTCTCTCTCCACGCGTACATTCTTCATTCTTTTCTCCTTGTTTTGTGACGATCCGGCATTGTCAAGCCTCTCTTTTTTTGCTCTCTGTCCTTCTTTATCGTCTCTACGATTCCTTCCAATCCTTTCTTTTACTTTTTTCTCCCTCTCCTTGCGCTGCCTTTCTTCCTCTGAATTGCTAGCCAAGCTTCTTAATTTTTTTTTTTTTCATTTTTCTACGAGGAGATATGGTTTCCTCATCATTTTCGCTTAGCGCTGGTTCGCTTTTCCTGCTGGGTCTGGCCTCGTCTGCGACTGCCAGCCCAAGCTATTCGCTGGTCGAGAACTGGCATGGCGACAAATTCCTGGATTTTTTCAACTTCCACGTCGGTGAAGACCCGACCAATGGCTTCGTCAACTACGTCGACCAGAGCAGTGCTGAGAGCTCGGGGCTGGTAAAGGTACTTGACTCGGGCAGTGTTTATATCGGTGTCGACCACGAGAAGACCATTTCGACAAACTCTCAAGGCCGTGACTCAGTGCGCATCGGCAGCAAGAAGTACTACGATGAGTCCCTGGTGATCGCCGATCTAGCCCATATGCCCGGCAGCGTTTGTGGCTCATGGCCTGCCTTCTGGTCAGTCGGCAAGAACTGGCCTGGCGACGGTGAGATTGATATTATCGAAGGTGTTAACCTCCAGGACCATAACGAGATCGTCATGCACACCGCTGGTACCTGCAGTATCACCGACTCTGGAATGACTGGCAGTGTCAACGCCACTGGCTGCGGTGAGGACCTCGGTACAGTCGGCTGTGTTATCGAGGGTCATGAAGGAAGTTATGGTACCTCGTTCAACAAGCAAGGTGGTGGTGTCTATGCAATGGAATGGACCGACGCGCACGTGAAGATTTGGTTCTTCCCTCGCTCCAAGATCCCTGCCTCCATCACCAGTGGCAAGCCCGATGTTAGCCAATTCGGTACCCCGATGGCCCTGGTTCAGGATGGCTGCGACGTCGCCAATAGCTTCAAAGAGCAATCTTTCGTCTTCGACGTCACCTTCTGCGGTGACTGGGCTGGTGGTGTCTTCGGCGAGTCCGGCTGCCCCATGTCCGGCTCTGACCCCTCCGCAAGCTGCCACAGCTACGTCGCCAACCACCCGGCTGCCTTCAAGGAGACCTACTGGGAGATTAACTCTGTCAAGATCTACCAAACCGGTTTGAAGCGTATTGCGGAAATCACCACTGCCAATACTGTTGCGACCCAGGCCACTGCTACTCACGCCTCTGTCGCCAAGGACACCACAACCAAGACTTCCATCACCGATCATACCGTCACCAAGGCCGATGCGGCGCCTTCCTCCACCTCGCAAGCTGAGGCCGAGTCTGCTGCTGTTGAGACTTCTTCCACCCAGGGAACCCACGCTGCCGCATCCGCTGCCACTTCGGAGCCTGTTGGTATCATCGGCGAACTGACTCCTACTTCGACCGCTGCAGCTGCTCCCACCACAGCAAACGCCGCTACAAAGGCCGTTGTCGAGTCCGCGTCCAAGGAGTCCGCTTCCAAGGAGACAAGCTCCAAGACCACCCGCATTGTGACTGAATTTGTTACCGCCACCACCACTCTCTGTCCAGTTGCCGAGACTTCGCCTGCCGCCGCCGTTCCCGCAAACCATGAAACCGCTGCCTCCTCGTCGGTCGTCGCAGAGACTCCTAAGGTTGTTGAATCGGCCAACTCGTCCCCAGTTGCCGAGTCAGTTCCCACTCAGGCCCCGGCCGCCTCGCAGCCTGCCAATTCCGCCGGGACACAACAGGCAAACGCTGCCACCACCCAGGCTGCGCAGTCTCCAGCCCCTACGACTCCTATCGGTGCCGATGCCATCTCCAACGCGCCCGCTGAGCATGGATCTTCCTCCACCCAGCGTCCTCTGCCCACCATCATTCCCGCCCCTGGTGTCAACCCTGACTCTGCGAGTGTCATTGCCAACCAACCCCAAACCTCGAAGGCTCTGATCCCCACCGCAACCGGTACTTCTGCCCCCTCTGGCAGCACCTTCCCGGGTACCCCTAGCAGCTCTGGCAACTTTGCTCTCTTCACCAGCGGAGCAGACAAGCTGTCGGCTAGATTCTCAGTCTTTGCCGTTGCTCTTGGAGTCGCCATGGCGGTATGAGATGTGTTGTTGTGTTTCTGTTTAATCTTATCAGCGTTTTCGCATTTCGTATTTGATGGTGGCCCTTGCTTGATTTCCCCTTGATTTCGCCATATGTAACATATGCCCTTTGTTCTCGTCCATAGATCCTGATAGTCAACAATCCTCGCTGCAATGCTTCTCATCATGTCAATTAATAAAAAATATCAATTCAATTCCAACCGAATGTTCTGAAACTCTAGCACTCTAGCCAATCTATATTAAAGCCTTCCATGACAATTCCATCCAGTTAGGCTTTCATCCAGCGATTCATCCAATCTCGCACGTAGCAATTCAGTATTCCATCCTCAATTATTCTCAACCTTCCATTTCTCAAAGTAACACTGTCCCGCTCGGCCTTCTCCGTGATAAATCTCCTCGGCCCAAGCTTTGAATCAGCACCGTACATTGCTTCATAATGATCGATCAGCTTGACTGCAGGGTTGATATGCTCTTCACCCCGCTCTTCGCTTTCGCGAAGTGCTCGTATCCATTTCTCAAAACTGACAATCTCGAATTGGAATCCGTTTTGCTTCAAAGTGGAGAGCATTGCTGACCATGTGAATTCACGAGAATTACACACGTTATAGAGCGAGTCGTTGTGCCCATTCGCCAGCTTCTCTGGTATCAAGCTAGAAATGTGATTTTCATCTTGACTGCTTTCACTATGCGGAGAACTCGATGTCAAACTTGGACGGGTACATGTTTGGGCTATCTCCACAATTGTAGAGGCTAGCTTGTCAACTGGAATCCAACTGCAAGTATGATTTAGATCTGGCAATGCTTTCAAAGTCAACGCCGACCGGATGAGCAGTGGTAAAGCCTCCGAGTCATTCCACAGACCCTTCTTCGAGTGACCGGATACTTGGCCGATGCGAAGGGAGTAGGCGTTTGCTCCTGAATTGCGGGCGTTGGCCACGATGTGCTCGCCGATCAATTTGGATTGTCCGTAGCCCATGTATGCGTCGGTGAGGTTGGCTGGGGCTTCTGGAATTTCTCCGACGGACTGGAGGGTTGTTGAGATTGATGAGCAGAATAGTAGAACTGCTGGGTTGGGTTGTGGGACTGAGAGGGATAGCTGGATGAGATTGTGGAGTCCGTGGATATGTGATTCGAACTCGGAGAGTGGGAGGTTGAAATTGACGGGCCATGCGGCATGGATGATGTGTGTCGTTGTGCTTTGTATTTGATTGAATGTCTCTTCGTCGAGACCGAGGTTTTTCTGATCTAAGATGCTGTATAGAGATATTATCTTTGATATCTGGTCGACTGTGACATGTAGGTCTCTTGCGATGAGACTCTGGATAACAGCCTCTACCGGCGATGCCTGTCGAGTCAGGCAGAAGACTGCTGAAACAGAATCGTCTTTAAGAAGCTCATACAAGACATGTGCACCAATTGAACCGGTTGCGCCCGTCAGAACCACGTATTTGGAGTTTGAGGGAAGATTGAGCTGAGAAATATGGGTTTGAAAAGACGAATATTTCTGGATCAAATCCGATATCGCCGTCTGGTCGTCTTCGGTCAATGTCACAGACTCGCCTCGCTGGAGAGCGCATATATTTGCAGCAAGACAGGCAATGCTCCCACTATCGTATACCATGTTGAGGTTGATTTCCTGGTTCTCGAAATAGAAGTTTTGGAGAATTAGTCTTCGGAGCTGGATTGCCCTCAGACTATCAACTCCCTCCGCAAAGAAATTCGCCTCAACACTAGATAGGATAATTCGTAGTTCATCACGACAGAGATTCATCAAGAGTGATTCTGTTTCGACAAGACTTAATCGAAGGTTCCCGCTGACCCTCTCAGCCTGTGAATAGACACTCTCGATCAGATCTGCGTAGAGCAGATAAACCTGAGCTCTGATCATAGATCCTTTGTCGGTTCGTGGAAATTTGGAATCAAAGGGGAGAATGGCGACCAGATCGATTGATATTTGAGAGAAACGCTCTGCGCGGGAGTTCGCCTCCTCGACCGTAGGCCAGATGGCTTGGAGGAATTCTTGGTCGCTGAGACCAAGACTCTCGGCTTCCTGCGAACGAATGACAAGTAAACCCGGGGTCGCTTTGCCTAGCCCCACGACTACAGCTTCATGGATAAGACTGTTCTGCTTGATAAAACCCTCAATAGGAAGTGGGAGCACCTTTTCTCCGTTCGCAAGTGTGACTCTGTCATCCAATCTGGATGCATATTTCCATCGATTTGGGATTGTTGGATGTGGCGTGAATACATCTTTCGAATGGAACGAACCGGGCGGTTCACTTGAGTTGGATGTTGTCAATGCTGGATGGCCGGCCAAATACACACATTCGTAGAGAGAGTCGCCGATCGGCTTCATCCAGATATACGGTCGGATATTTTCGAAGAATTCGAGGTAGTTCCAAAAGGGATCTCCCTCGGGTCGCGATATTGACTCGGCTACCAAGCCTGCCTCGGTTCTAAATTCCCATGTTAGACCGAAGAAGTATATGGAAGGTGATGCAAACTTACAAGCCAAATGAACCACTAAACTTCACACCTTCTCTCACCAGATGATCGCCAAGTTCATCGGGACATGGCGCACCTCCGTATGTAACAAGCTGGCACTTTCTAAGACAAGCGATCCCGCGTGGGCTATCTACTAATAGCTGTAGCATATATGTTACCGCTGCTACAGACTCAGGCTGTGCCACCTCTAACACAGAAACCACAGATTGAGCCGTTAGAGGAATTGCAGCATTCCACATGTATGCTGTCTTTTTCATCCACATCGCCTGCAATGCGGTGGAGAGACCATGCAAATGGTACCACGGGAGTGGATTGAAGGAAGTCAACCCCGGCCCTCGAAGTGGGTGCGTCATCAAGGCTCGGTGTGTGAGATATAGAGGATTTGGAGTCCCCGTGGAACCAGAAGAATGGAGAATAAGCGCAATTTTGTTCTTCTGAACTTCGGGATTGCGATTGCGGTGCAAGACCAAAAGCGACGTTTCAAGAGTGTCGAGGGATGCAACTGGCATTGGGCGACAGCTCACCAATTTTTGTTGCAAGATTTCACCAATTGTTGTGCGAATGCTTCCGGTGTTCCCATATATAATAGTCTCGCATTGAGCCGAGTCGAGTAAGGAGACACATGCTACTGCCGACAGACGTGGGGAAAGCATCATCACAGTGTATCCCAATCGGCTCAGAGCGAAGAACGTGATTACCATGTTGAGATCCGAGAGCGTAAGGAGTGCCACTGTGCAGCCATCTTGCTTCGGCTGTGTGAAATCGAGATCAGTATCTAGCAATGGAAACTGCTGCAGGGACTTACTGGTTGGAAACCATTGACCATCAGTACCGAAGCAATCTGGTCGATCATTTGGTCCAGATCTTGGCCAGTATAGTAGTTGTATGATGCCGCATCATGTTCTGAATTTGGATATGCGAGGATTGGATGTTGAACAAAATCCGCAGCTCGGTGTCGGATCAAATCGTCAAGAACATGGAGTTGTCCGAACTTCTGTACCAAGGGATCCGAGGCACCGGAAGAGGCCGCGGGTGTGGTCTGATCGCCGCGTTGGATACCCATGAGGATAGACAGGAACTTCAGAAGACGTGGATTTTAGGAAAAATAATTGAAGACGAGGAACAGTGGTATTAAGGAGATTCTTTCGGTGCCAAAGTCTAATATTAGCTCGGCTTCTATCGTAAACTTTCTGTTTACTGCATTCGGGATCCCCGGGACGCTGCCGTCTTTCCGTTTTTAGTGGTGGATATCCGTTGATTTGTTCCCTGAATTGTAGAGTCAATGTATTTATTTGTGATAGAGTGTGATGTATGTGGTTTTATTTTAATAAACTTGCATATAGTGCTATGCTGAGCCACTAGTGCCAACCAGCCAGCCGTTCATCGGAGGAAATCTTATACCAATCCTATACTCCGTAGTTCGCCAATTGATGCCACAAACAAGCCACGGACTTTTACTCCTCGAATAAAATACTCTATGTTCTATCACTAGGGCTTATGTGGCATGAGTCACAGCTGAGTGACCGTGAGCGAATGGCAGCTGCAGGTAAGCTGATAATTATGCGTAGTGGATATTCTGTTACATGATTCGTCGATCGATTTCTGCACAGATAAACCGTTCTCGCATGCGGTTCAGCGACGGTCTGTAATAATTTCAGCTACGGAGTAAATACCTACGAGATCAGTTACAATCACCACCGGTGGCGATGGTTACACTGCAGGTGTGCCCGAGTTTGCTGTTCCGGCTCGCATTGAAATCCTGTTGGCCAACAACACCTTTTATCCCGTTATCATGAACCAAGGGGTACAAGCCGCCACCGTGAACGGAGCAGCCGTTTGTACTTTTGGAACTACTAGCCAATCTAGCAAAAATTACCGATAATCATTAAGATAAGGGGCGTTGAGAAGTTAATCAAAGTTCTAGTATACTTCATACTTGGTTATCACCGCCGAAGTGGATTAGAAGACCCGTAGCTGAAAGCAATACCCATTAAATAGAGGATCACAACCAAGGTATTGGGCTGATTTGATGAACGATCCAATAAATACGGGATTGAAATATATATCCCGAGACATTGTTGGGGTCCACTAACTATGCAGCCTTGCTAGACCCGGTCGACATCATCCATAGGCTTTAGGATAGCATGAGCTTGACAATTGCACGTCCTGCCATTATTGTGCACAGTCCCGCATGTGCGGAATGCGCTGGCACGGGGAACTAGATCCGAGAAATCGATGAGTCCTTGCCTGAGACTCAACGGCCGCTGGGAACGGTCCTGCAGAAACCCCTTGTGGGGCAATTCGAATCAGATCACCCTTTTATATGCGGTCAAGAATGTCAACCGTTCGATCGGGACTGTACATTCTAACTTTGTTTGTCGTTGATTCGTTTCCAGGGACGGCCCGCGTATGTTAGTCGCATTCCACGCGGAACTGCGTAGATTGCCCCGGTGGAGCAAAAAATGAATCGATCCCGGTTCATGGTATTTGCATGTTTGACCTGTCACCTTTTCTAGAAGACTGAGTGCTATCCTGGTATTTGGTATTTCGTACATTCCGTCTGCCCGAGACATATCGATTGTACTGGGTCTCGAGACACGGATCCGGTGTATTGTGCTAGTTACTATCGGCTAGGTCAAACAATATTATGAGCTCCAAGGGATTCTGCAGGGACTTTAAGACAGGGATGCCTTTTAGTTTAAGTTGATGGAGCTAACTTATCCCTTTGATATGAGATAGTTTGTTATACCTGGCTCCTTAGCTCGAAGACCATTCGAAGACAAAGAAGGGATACAGATGAATAGGCCAAGGTTTTCTATTATATGAAGAATGATGAAGGAACGCCGTGCAAACTTAAAACCCCAACCACGACCCAAAACCGGAAATCAGGAATCTAAACTAAATTCTAGAAGGCAATCGCCTTTCCCTTTTCCACTGCCATCAATCGTTCCAACATCCTTCGCCATGCCTGGCCTGCCCTTGCAGCATGTTCATCCGGTACCGATGGGTCATCCACCCCGGTGGTTCTGGAGAAGACTTCCATACTGACCCATCCGGTATAACCTATTCCGTTCAAACAGGCCTCTGTCACCGGTAATATAGGTAGATATCCGCCCCGCTCTTCTTCACACGGGAACAGACGAGCATTCCGTGACCAGGCTAGAAGCGTGGCTAGTCCTGGTATTCGAAGGAAGGAAGATTGCGGGTCTACCCTCTCACCGTCAGCTAGCTGTACCATCATGACGCGGTCCGGGTCAATCTCCCGGACGAGTCGATCCATTGATGCCTGTAAATCATCGTCTACACTCGGAGGTCCTCGCCCGGACGGACTGGTCGGATCAGCCCACACCCGAGCTGCAATGTTAAACGTATCCAGACATATCCCAAGGTTTGGTCGGTTGGCTCGCTTCACAATTTCCCAAGAGTCCTCCCACGTATTGATGTAAGTACCCCATGCCAATGCTTCATAGGCGATGCGAATCGGGAATGCCACATCAGCCGCTTCAGCCAGGTCTGCCACTAGCCGATCCTGGTCACCTGTGATCTCAGAGGGGTCGAGGAAGGAGGATGGAATGAGAATGAAGAGGCTCTCTCCAAGAATCTTGGATAGCTGCACCCAGTGTTGGAGTTCGTCGATACGTTGAGCATGTTGCGCAGGATCTATCAAGCCTTCATAGTGTCGAAACGGTTGAAGCGCTAGAACCTGCAGGCCCCGCTCTGCACATAGATCGCGAATGGCGTGCGCAGCGTCGATCTCGTAGTCTCGGTCGGTGCGGCCCGTCGACTCACATTCGTGGGAGCGTAGCGTCTTGGCTAGCTGTGCGAGGTCGTCATGGAATAGTTCCAGACCTTTCTGGCCGTGATTTGCTGCCGCATCGATTTTGGCTGTGATGGAGTGCAGATTTGCAGCACCGAGGCTCACTGTAGCGATAGCTGGCTTCCAACGGAAAGCGTCTTCAGCTGGTGGAGTCGGGAGTGAATGCATCGGGCGCTAGTGATTGATAGTCTCGGCAAGGGTTTGAAGATATCAGGTTGCAAGAAGTGTCTTCGGTTGTCGGACGTATATATAGAAATACTTCATTTCAAACACCACCGGCTTGACAACTCCCACTGTTCAAATTTAAATCAAACAGTTCCACGAGCACCTGATGTCAACGCGTCTGTTTCCGTGTCGATCGGAGACTCTTCAAGGTCAGGGGTGAGCAAATGCGTCAAATAAGTGGGCCGATGCAGTCAATCGATGGTCCAGAACTCAATCAGTCCAATGGCAGATATCGCTGCGTGCAACCCGCACTCCACTGACGCGGGAGAAGGTACCGTTGGGAAATTGCAAAGTATATCCAGGAACCTTCCGGGTCTATCTTCGAGATGTCCGGCTTGCTGTCGTGTGCTGCTTTCGGGTGGCGGGGCCGTTTGCTGGCTTTTGGTATTGTCCTCGGATGGACCGGGCGTAGGAATAGCATAGCTGAAGAGCTAACCCTCCGAGGATAGCGCCGCATCCGATGCAACTATGAAGCTGAGGACGGTGGCCATCTATTTTGAGAAATTGATATAAAATGGACACCCTGGACCAGGTAGAGAAGGTCTGCATCTGTCGTTGTCTCGGGTACCAGTAATACAAACTTCTGGCTCATCTCTCAATACGCACTCTTCTCTTCGATACCATGACCGTCACCACTCCGCTCTACTCGATGGTGAACCATCTTGGACAACTGGCCGTGCAGGAAGGCTCGAGCCCTTCACCGCAGACCCACCTCGAACTCTTGCGGATGATCGACCAACTTAGACTCGCCATCGAATCGCCGACGGAAACCATCCTACGTCTCATCTACCAGGTATAGCAGAGCACCGCCAAGTTGGTCGTTTTGTGAATTGAATTGCTGACGTGACCGACCACAAGCCCCCCCCAGAATGCCGCATTACGCACTGTCATTGACATGCATATTTTTCCGCTGCTGATGGAAAAGCAGTATCGCGAGTCGGGAATTTCTGCCGATCAGCTAGCAAAGTTTACCCATGCAGAGAAAGATTTGGTCGGTAAGAGTCTCCAAATTTCTTTATCTCCGACTGAGATCCTACGCCACATGTGTCCTTGGCAGATCCCGCTAACCAGCTGAACAGTCCGACTGATGCGTGTCATTGCATCGTTAGGGCTGTGTTCAACCCCGGCTCCGGAAGTGTATCGGGCCAATGATAAGACGGTGGCATTGATTCAGCCTATTGGTAGAGACGGGGTACCGTGCATGTAAGTACATGCATGCAGTCTTTCCTTGAACCCACTGACATGTCGACCAGATACGACCTCACGGTGCCTACCTTGAGCAAGCTCCCCGAATATCTGCAGACTCACCGATATGCCAATCCACAGGAGTATACCCTGTCTCCGATGAAATGGGTTGTTGGCCAGAGTCAGTTCGAGTGGCTGGCAAGTCATAAGGATCAGCAGACTCTATTCAACTCATATATGGCGAGTCGCCGACAAGGCCGACCAATGTGGTTTGATACATACCCGTGGGGCAGTTGTTGGGTCATGGGGTACCCTATGAAGATAGCGCCTTTCTAGTTGATGTGGGTGGTAATCAAGGCCATGATTTAAGCCAGTTTCGATTGAAATATCCTCACTTGCCGGGTAAGCTGGTTTTGCAAGACCTCCCCGACGTCGTCGAAGGCGTGTCCAGTAGGGACTCGGGGATTGAAGTGATGGGATATTCATTCTTGGATCCCCAGCCAGTGCATGGCGCGCGGGCGTATTATTTCCGATCCATCTTCCACGACTGGCCGGATCGAATCTGCCAGCAAATCCTGCTCAATACGATCTCGGCCATGGCCCCTGACTACTCTCGCATCTTGATTGTAGATTTCGTGTTGTCGGACACGGACACTCCACTCATGCAAGCGGCGTTGGATATCCAGATGATGAGCATTGGTGCCGGCGTGGAGCGATCAGAGCGCCAGTGGCGGGATTTGCTGGATAGCGTTGGACTGGAAATCAGCGGAATCTGGAATCAGTCGTCGGGGATGGAATCGGTGATTGAAGCTGTGCCAAAGAAGTCGAGGGTGGCGAGTTAAGGAGAAGAAGAAACGGTAGAAGTGTGATTACTGTTGTAAACTTTCTACTTTCTAGCCACTTCCAGGGCAAATCAAGCTAGTCATCTCTCCCTCCAATTTGATCAAATTCTTTCTATTTTAAAACCAAGCCCTTTGAGACTGTTTCCGCCACGTCCTCGACGAGACGAATTGACCGAAATTGCAATCCACTCTGCTCTAACTGTCCTCGCAGAACTTCTTGATATTCACTATTCTTCATCAAACCTCCAGTCAAGACAAGTTCGGACGCGTCGGCAGTCGAGAAGCCGTTGGATCGACTATCAGTCAAACGAACAAGGGTCTTATTGATGAGACGAGAGACTTGAAGCTGAACGATTCTCTTTGCAGCATCGTTGCCCCTGACAAGTCTCAAGACAGCCTCTGCAACCCCAGCAATTCGAGTCTTGATATTCCGACCTTCTTGCGTAGAGAGAATCTCCGTCAAAATATCAATACTTCCATCTTCTTCGGTAGGACACCCAAGCTTGTCGATAACAGCCAGCTCAAGCTCACCTAGGTCGTGCGATTGTAGACCCAGGGTGCGCTCTTCTAACAGATCCAGCGTGAATTGGATTGCCTCACGGCCAATTGAATAGCCTCCACCTTCGTCCCCCAAAATGTGCCCCCAACCCCCGGAACGAGCCACGCGAATATACCCTTTCTCCTGGTCCCAGTTGTATCGCATGGCCACACTACCAGTACCTGCGATTAGAACAACTACCGAGGGATGATTGTCCTTGGAAGACACGGTAGCAGGCAAGAGATCTACGTCGCTGGTCAATCGGAACGCCGCTGCTGTATGATTCAAGCCAAAGATCTTGCTAAGTTGAGGGGCCAAAGAGTCCTTCAGCCCGCTACGATCCAAGCCGGCCACCCCGATCCAAACCGAGTGGAATACAGTTTGCAGACAGCCTTTCCAGGCGGATGCTGTCAGCTCCTTTCCGGGAATGTGCTGTTTCAAGGCATTTTTGGTGGCTTCGATCAATGTGGATACTACTCCATCGACATTCGAAATGGCATCGGTACTAATTTGCAATGTTAGCGAGCGACAAAGTCCCAATCAAGAAACGATATCATACAGATTACATGGACCGGCATATCCGCGAGTCGTGTATCCTGCTGCATCGGCAACTACCGCAGCGCACTTGGTACCTCCGCCATCAATGCAAAGCGCGAATTTCCTCACGAGCTCATTTGATACGGGTCGGACATCTGGCACTTCCACGTCCAGTGCCTTTGTAAGAATTTCCCCCGCATTTTGCAGATCTCCCTTGCAAGTTTCGACAGACTTGCCAGTCTCCGCAACAAGAAAAGCAAGCTTGACGCTGCGCTCACACTCGATGAGCAGTTCATCCAGTTCAGAGTCTGCCATTACGGCACACGTTGAGCTCAGTCGCTTCAGAATGTTCTTCGAGCGCTGCTTCAGCTTCAAATTGGATGCTTGGAGGTCAACCATCTATAGATTTGTTAATTTTCATGGCTTATCGTGAATGTTTAGGCAATAAAGTGCCAAGAGAGCCCATACCATGTTCCCGTAGGTCTTTCCAGTTCGAATCATTGTACCAGTGCTGAGCATATTGAGAACCAATTTTGTCGCCGTTCCAGCCTTCAACCTCGTGCTTCCAGTCACAACCTCCGGGCCCGGGAGAGGTGCGATTAGAAAGTCCACATTTCCAGACATTCCGATCGCAGAGGGTTCTGCGCAGACAACACCAATAGTGAGGCATCCCAATCTCTTGCCAAACGCGAGACACCCAAGGACATACGGTGTACGGCCCGAGCTGGCAATTCCAATGATGCTATCCAGCTCGGGGTTGAGGTCAAGATTCCTCATGTCCTCTTCGCCAGCGTGCTCGTCGTCCTCGGCACCTTCTTGGGCTTGTCGAATTGCCGCATCTCCACCAGCGATCAATCCGATGAACTGTTCACGAGGTGCTGCAAAGGTAGGTGGTATCTCCGAGGCATCCAAGACGCCAAGTCTGCCGCTGGTTCCAGCTCCGACATAAATCACTCGGCCTCCTCGGCGCACGCGCAATGCCAAACCATCGATGGCACCTGCGATGGCCGGCAAACACGGTGTAACACTCTCGGAAACTCTATGGTCGTCCGCATTGATGATGGTGCACATCTCCAATGTCGAGATGCGGTCGATATTGACGGTCCGAGGATTGACCCCCTCCGTCTGCAGATTGGCCAAATTGCCGAGATCCATACTTGGGGGTTCCTCTTTCGTTTGGACCTTTCAAATTTGACGCAATTATGAAATATCGAATATGTACAGAACAGTCGAGCAGCCTTGTGCAAATCGCAGCAGACTAGAATATCTGCAGCCTATGTGCAAGAGAAAAGCTTGCATGGATGTGAGGTGACACCGTTGTTCGCGCAAACCCGATCTCGCAATGCCGGCGCTAACCAGCAAATGTTACCGACATCCGATGAGCCAAGCCGACGCCAAACTATTGCGGGGGGCGTTACTAGACAGTGTTACAGTGAAACCCCCCTTCGTATTCCACGTTACAGCATCAATGTGCTTCTGGGCGAACCCACTTCGGCTCAATGAGATGTGAATGAGATGTGTGGCCGTGGCGGTTTATGCATATTGCTTGTGCTCGAGTGGCGCAATCAGAGACATTTCCATCGGTATAGGTGAAGAATGGGAGGTGTTCGTTCAATTTATGCAGAGTCAAAGGTTCAGCTATAATTAGCCCCGGGGCCCATAGTTGAGACCTGTCAGAAACTTGTACACTGTTGACTGTCAACTGTCGACAAATCAGGTCGCACTCACACAAGCAATCAATTCTTCACTGGCACCTATCGCGTGGTATTTCTGGATCCATGGTCGGCCCCAACCCCAACACGCGAGACGTGGAGACGGCTCGTTCTTCTTCCCCAGAAACCTGCCCCATGTGGAGTAGGGTGGTTGTGCTGCAATTGTGAAGTGTGGGTGCTCGGTTCCTCGATAAGTGTTATGATCAGAGATTAGAATGCATCGTCTTGAGTGGTTTAATTGGCTTGATAATTTCCCCCCACTCCAAATACCACGACATCTCAGGAATCCAGGGATTAGCGTCGTCAGGGTCGCAACCCGCACGTCCTCGAATTGCATAGCCCACATTCAGGCCGACTGCCGATTGGAATCTGAAAGCTCTTCAAAGATCGCCGTCTCCCCGGAATTCTGAGGTCTTTTTTTGGTTTCCCCATCCCATCATCCCCGCCAATCTACACCAACATGGAGGACGGCAATCGCGTGCAGGAGACGACTGGCTCGATGTCGTCGGAGCCAAACGCCAGACGCTCGACTTTGTACCAAATTTATTCGAATTCTTGGTTCCAGATTCTGTTGATTAGTTTTATTTGTTTTTGCTGTCCTGGAGTGAGTCCCACCAGCCGCGTAGAGTGCGATCGTTCTTGTTTTTCGCGATGCTGATCTATCGGTATAGATGTACAATGCCCTCTCAGGACTAGGAGGATCTGGGCAAGTCAACCAGGCTGTTGCTGCAAATGCCCAGGTGGCTCTGCTTTCTGCGACTGCTGGTACAGCGCTGTTTGTTGTTGGTCCAATCTTCAATCGCGTCGGCCCTCGCGTCTGTCTTCTCATCGGCGGCTGGACTTATCCCTTGTATTCCGGCAGTCTGCTCTGCTTCAACTGTAAGCAGTCCATTGGAAGATATACTACGTTTTATCGATGACCACAGGGTTGCTAACATACTTGCTAGCTACTAATAATGGCGCCTTCGTCATCGCCGCCGGTGCAATCCTCGGTATCGGCGCATCCTTCCTGTGGGTTGCGCAAGGAGCCATCATGACGACCTACGTCCCTGAATCCCAAAAGGGTCGCGCTATCGCAGTCTTCTGGATTATTTTCAACCTTGGCGGCGGCGTCGGTTCACTCGCTAGTTTCGGTCTCAACTATAACTCTACCAGCGGCACTGTCTCGAACGGAACATACATCGCCCTGCTCATATTGATGGCAATCGGCTGGCTACTGGGCGTATTTGTTTGCCCACCCGCTGCGGTACGCGTTAAGCAGCTCGAGGCGACTCCCGAAGAAGAGAAGAACTGGAAACAGACCCTGCTCGTTTCAGTGCGTGCTATCGCCGACTGGCGTGTGTTGTGCATGGTGCCCCTTTTCTTCTCTGCGAATGTCTTCTACTCATATCAGCAGAATGTCGTCAACGGAATGACCTTTAACATCCGTTCTCGTTCGCTAAATGGCGCCCTCTACTGGATTGCGCAGATGCTGGGAGGCCTGATCATCGGTCTCATCCTTGATCTTCCTGGTTTCAGCCGTCCCACACGTGCGCGTATTGCTTGGGTCTTCCTCTTTGTTACTGGCATGGCAACATGGGGTGGTGGTCTGGCTTTCCAGAAATGGTTTGATGAGCGTACAGCGCGGGGTCTGAAGCAGGATATCGATTATACCGATGGGTCTAACTCGGTCGGTCCGATTTTCTTGTATATCTTCTACGGCGCGTACGATGCCTTCTGGCAATCCTTCTGCTACTGGTTGATGGGTGCTCGGTCTAACTCTCCGGCTGTTACTGCTGTTTTGGTGGGCGCTTATAAGACTTTCCAGAGCGCCGGTGGTGCCATGGCGTGGCGCATCAATGCGATGGGTAAGCCGGCTATGACGCAATTTGCCATGGATTGGGGTCTCTGTATGGGATCACTGGTTATTGCCATCCCCACTGTACTTGCAGTGACTTTGACCAGTGAGTCGGATGATGATATTAATGCGCATCGCATGTCGAGCGATGATGAGAAGCCCCAGGCCCAATTGAAAGAATAATATGAACATGGAAGGGGTATTTTGTCTGTTTTTTATCGCATCTCGTCGCATCCTTAAACTAGAATCTTCTATACACGATAATTGTACACATTCACCTGTTCAGTTTAGTTTCTTCCGGTCTATAGTCCGGTGTTGTAGCTATCTCGGAGTTGCGCCGTGGTGATTGAGGGCCATCCCACTTTCCCAGGTATGATATTATAGATTAAATTCAATTCAATTGAGATGTGATCTAATCAATAAATGCTAATTTCTTCCTCTTTCCTCTTGTAATATCAGTGATGGTGTTTCCATCGCAATATACTGCTCCGTAGTGGTAACTCCTAGTATACTACTTCAATAACCGAGCGGCAACTGGCCAGTTACCCGCCAACTCCGCAGCTTCCTCTCCTCTTCACTTCCCTTCATCACCTCCTCTTTTCTCTCCTCGCCTCTCCTCTCCTCCTCCCTCTTCCTCGACCTCCACGCCCACGCTCACTATGGGTCTCATCAGTCGCACTCTGAAGATTTCTGCCGCGGGTACGGTCGCCTCCATTGGTGTCTTCTTCGGCGCCACGCGCAATGACGTCTTCCAGCCCATGGACTCCTCCGATCCCATTTTCTCCTCGCCTTTCTTCCAAAAATATAACCCCAACCGCAACCCCACCCTGCATGATGTCTGCGTCCGTCGAATTGAGCTTTCCAAGATTGAGCCCTCCCTGCTGGAGAAGAAGGGCAAGCTAGTCGAGGCCTTTTGCGCCGGTGTCTGGGGCGGCATGGGTGAGTTGGTTCCTTCGCATTCGGGTTGACACGCGCGCACATCTAATCCGCCAATCTTTTCTCTTGTCTAGGATACATGGCTCAACGCGCATACTTCGCCAATAAATATCAAGGCCCCGAGACCGCCACCCACCTCTGGGATCGCAAAGACCTCCTCTCCAACACCTACGAGGTCGGCACCGTGATCACCGACCACTTCGAAGTTCTCGAGAAGACCGACGAATCTATCACCGTTCGTTGTGGCGATACTCCCCGACACCCCGATATCCGCAAATCCGACGGCCTCTTCGAAATCTCTGCCGTCGTCAAGCAGGAGGAAGGCATCGCGGAGTTCAAGCTCAAGAGCTGCTTCTACCAGGGCGAGGGCAAGGCTGAGGGTTCTCCAATGGGTCCCGTTATGACCTGGTTGCATCAGCAATATGCAAAGCTCTGGTTGGAGACTGCTATTCTGAAGAATGTTGTGAAATAAGAGTCTGCGGCTGAGGGCTTGCGACTATTGGTGTAAATACGTTTCCATAATGCTCTATGACGGGACACTGACAGGTGGAAATGAAAATGATTTCCCTGGTCAACCTGTGCCAAAACAGAGACAAAACCTTGTGTACATTTCCAAGGTTATCGTGGAGGAAAAGAGGATTTCAATGCAGAGATGCGACGCGATCAAGGAGACAGAAACCTCACTCGGCAATGTCGTGTTCTACTGGGGGTGATATAGAGCCAATCAGTCCTGCCAGTAACTGCTGAATTAGTTATTATTATCTATCTTCATTCGCATTCAAGGCTGCAGCTACTAGTATATCAGGTTGTTGTGGCAGATTCCGTGATATAATGCTACTAGCGCTCAGTGTCTGCCACAATATTCCTTCTTCACCCCACAATCCTCCACAATCAACCCCAGATCGGACATGAGCCCTTCTATGGCCATCGTTCTACTATTACTAGTATCGCAGTCGATGAATTACAAATCAATCAATGGAGATCATCACTCTCGAGCCTCTACGGGCATTCCAGCCCCGGGATTCCCGAGCGGTGCCCTCCAACAGGCCCAACAATTCTCAACAGAACTGAACGTATCCTCAAGGTTCCGCAAAACAATGGCAAATACACGATGGTCAAATCCAGTTCGGATGATATAGAATCAGGAGAGACGTGCTTTGCTTCATCAAGACCATTTCCAGTGACGACTGGGTCGGTATGCCTCGTCACCGACCTCGGGACGATCTCCACCTGCCGCAGAGAATGTCGGAAATCCCGGACATCTCTCCTCCCTATCCACATATCTTCTTTCTCACCGGACCCAATGAGGCCAATCCCTGGCCAATCGTGCATTTTCCCCATCATCTGGACCAATTCGACTGTGGGGAAGCCCTCGTCACAGGTCGATCTTCTGGGGATATTTGAGGACTCAGCCTCGCCCCGTGGGGACTGGGTGGTCGACTCTCCTGACTTGGTTCCGTGGTCGATAACACTTGATTCACGAGTACCGATCATACAGCATGACAGATACTAAAGTGGAATCAAACCTATACTCAACATCCAAGCATTTGGAGTCCATGCCTGATCGGGAAGGACACGATGCTCCTTCTGTGGCAGACTTGAAGTCGACCTTGGACACAGCGGAAGAAGATCCAAATAACCCCCAGGTAGATTGCCCATATTCAATCCCAGCGAGGCACAACTAACTGGTGTCTGTAGAATTGGTCTTTGACTGCCAAACTTTGCACATACCTAACCATTTGCTCCTTCACATTCCTCGCCAATACCAACTCCAGCAATTTTACCGTCGCGACCCAGGCAATCATCAAAGAATTCAACGTCACCCAAACCCAAGCCGGGTCCTTGGTCTGTTTCAATGTCTTTCTTTTCGGCGTGGGGAATATCTTCTGGGTTCCGCTGATGCGGGTCGTCGGCAAACGCCCGGTTTACCTGGTCTCCATGCTGCTGCTCTGCATGATAAACGTATGGTCGAGTCGGGCCAGTAGCTATAACGAACTACTTGCATCTCGCATTGTTTCCGGATTTGCAGCGGCTGCGGCCGATGCCACCGTTCCCGCAGTGGTTGCCGATATGGTCGCAGCCAAAGACCGGGGTCACTACATGATGTTTTTCCACCTTGCCATGACAGCTGGTCTGTTTGTGGGTCCCATGATCAACGCTTTCCTCGTTCAGCAGCAGGATTGGCGCTGGATGTGCTACTTTATGGCAATCGCTGTCGGGACTATTTTTGTGGTCTCAATATTTACTATTCGGGAAACTTCTTATCTCAAGCGACACCGAGATGAGAGTAAGCGGACTCGTCTTCAGTGGATGTCGTTGACTATCGGATATAACCGGGATGCCTCATTCTTCCAGACTCTGCTGGATATCCTAGCCAATGCTACTTACCCCCCAATTCTCTGGTGTTCATTCACTATCGGTATTTCCGTTGGATGGTGAGTGGCCTCAATATCAACTTATGTCCTACCCTGCTAACATTGGGTTAGGAATATTGTCGTTCAATTAACCTCCTCTCGGACTTTTACCAAACCGCCTTATAACTGGAAGCTAGGGAGTGAGGGTCTTTTCCTGCTGTCGGGTTTCATTGGCGCAGTGCTGGCCTTTTATATCGGAGGCCGATTACTCGATATCGTCTCGTCCCGAAGTACCGCACGACATGGCGGCATCCGTATGCCCGAGTATCGACTACCTGCTATTGTCATCCCCGGTATCATTGGACCAGCTGGTATTCTTATTTTTGGACTGTGCATTGCCCACAAAACACATTGGATCGGTCCCGCATTTGGATTTGCCATGCAGGCCTTCGGTCTAGCCGCCATCTCGAACGTGGCTGTGACATACTGCCTGGATTCCTACAAACCGGTATGGCATGATTGATACTCTCTCCTCGGTTGCATTGAAATTAACACTTGACAGGTAACTGGCGAAGCGTTGGTTATTATCTTCGTTATTCGGAATACTATTGGCATGCTGCTATCTCTATATGCCGCGGATTGGATCGAGAAGCAGGGACCTGCGCCTGTGTTTGGTGAGATGATGGCGATTCAAGTGGTGAGCATTCTATTTGCCATTCCACTCTATATTTGGGGCCGTCCGCTGCGAGACTTCACTTCTATATATGGACCGATGAAACGATTCCAGACCGCTTAGGCAGATCATTTATCATTATACTCATGAACTCGCTTATTGGATAGTAGAATACAAAGATATCTCTCCACCAATGTCATTAATTTCGGTAGTACCAGTCGTTCAAGCGGACACTTCCAGTGGGCATGGAGTATAGGAATCCTTTCAATATTTGCCTAACATACTAAGTAGCATAAGTGACATGAACATCTGAGTCGTGAACATCGTTCATTCCCATCATTTCAAGGTCCAGTCTTCTCTAGTAGCTCAAGAGTAACTCAACAGAGGTTTTCTAGAGACCCTCGGTTGGTTTATTGGCTCGGTGTAGGGATCATATTGGGGAGCTGGTATATCTTGCAGCTGTATCTTGGACCCAGATGAAACAGCATCCAATGCCAATGCTACGCCCAGTGTGCACAGAAGTACCCCGGTGATCCACTTTTTCTTCATCGCGGATTTTTTTGGGGCGGAGTCGGGATCGTCGTCCTGTGCCGTCTCGCTAGCAGGCCCATCACACTCATCGTCGACCAAACAGTAGCTTTGTCTCTCCGAGCCTGTAATTTGCCTTCAAACGCGCGGGACAACGTCTTAGCAGCGTGAAAAGTGACGAACATGGTCATTATCATCCCTGGACTTACTCTTCGGCTCGCAATAGCTGCAGCTGAATGATTTCATTTTTCTTGTTCTCACGTTCCGATCGTTCGTTCCTTGGAAAAATGAGGGGGGATACGGAGTCGTCCCCTGATTTAATTATTCCCATCTGCCAAAAAGATATGTGAAGAGTTTTCTGTGGATTTCGACACATTTATGTTCTATTTACTCCGTATTCGTTTCGAATATGGCAAGGGTCCGATATGGGGGCCATTTTATTATTAGCTCGGGACTACGGGTAGTTTGGGGGCTACTTTCGAGTTTCTAAAGCGCCCAGTCCCACTCTAGTTAGTTTAAGTTAACTAGTGTGGGCACAGTATACGCACTTCCTGCCATATAAAGAAATACAAATAGGTAGGCCGGGGGTCCATGCAAAAGACCTTGTTGTACACTAGTAAATTATATGTAAACGGCCTACTCTCACTCCTGAATTTTGCGGAGGGAGCCTAGTGGATGTCCAATCTCTGACTACCCTCCTTTTGTTCCCAAGAGTAAACGGTAGGGACAATCATTGAAAGTCAAGCGAAAAAATCAGGGCTAGAAGGTACTGAAGAGCAGCAGATCCTCAGATTCCACTTTAAACCAAATACACCGGCAGTCTTTTGTTATGGATTGTGAATATCTTATGAGAAGCATACCCAATATAGGTAAAAGAAACATACCCTCAACCGTAACCCGCATATCTCGAACCTAGACAGATATTGTTGACACCCATTGCAGCATCCGATCGCTGTGTTTTGTGTGCTAGGGGGATCTTTTTTAAAATCACCAGAGACCGTAAAAAGGGCGAAGAATTCCAAAGTCGTCCGGAACCCTTTAGATCGAAGCCTATCACTAGCTGACGAGATACAATCAAGAATCGAGGCTCATTGTGGGCTCCGTCTTGGAAGCATGAAACATTTTGTATGTGGATCTGATGTCTCGGAAGAGCTCGCCTGGGTTGAACAATGCGATCCAAGCGTTAACTCCCAAGGGACCACCCTGATACCGCTTTACACGGGGGCCGCCGGTCTCACTGTCTACTACAGCGAGGTACTGTTGAGAATCGCCAGAACGTTTAACGTTCATTTTCGTGTACGGCTTGATGGAATAGGCGTGGTAGAATAAAAATGCAAAGGGTACCACCTGTAGACAGATAATCAAGGTAGGCAATCCAATGATGATGTCTGCATAGCTCAGAGTATCGGAGGGCTTGAGGGCGCCGGTGGCGTCAAGAACCATAAACACGATCTGCTTATTTGTCAGTGGCTCGGCACACTTTACATTGAAAAGGGGAAGTCTTTCTGACCTGCTCTAAAAACTCAAGACCGACAACTAGCTTGAATGCCAGGAGCTTCATCATTGGCTTATGTTCTTTCATGTGAGATTTTAGGTTGCCGTGGAACCTGAGGATATTGACCATTGCCATGCCAAGGGATATGATTCCAATGATAGTGATCTAGTATTCGGGTTGTTAGACTTGAACATATTGTCAGAAAATACACTGGATGTACCTACCCATAAGTGAGCGAAATAGGCCTTTTTACCTTCGAGGCAGTAAATCCCCAGTGCTTGTGTGATGCTCTGAGCTATAGCAAGAATAAATGATACAATGGGATACTGCAGAACAAAATACCAGGTAGACTGCGAGCGCAGAAAGTCAGATGAATCTCCTGCTGTCATATTGGGTACAAATTACTAACCTTCAACCACGACAAGCCATCTGTTGTTTTGGTTGTGCTGTATCTCTTTGGAACTCTCAAAGATGCAAAGAACTCGGCTCTGTGTTGGTCGTTCGGTGTCACAAAATCACAGAGTAACATGAGAAACCAATACAAAGCAATCCCCTGGAAAAGCTTTGTCCATCCAACCAGGTATACATATGCGTTGGGAAAGCATATTGAAAGCAATGAATAGATCGTATATAATGGAAACAACGTGGCGATTCTCATAATTCTTGAATTGATTTCCGTTAGCATTTCCAGTACTATGATCATTCCGGGATATTTAACTTACTTGACCTGTTGGTTTGGATCACTTAGGTGCGTTGCATGCCGACCCATAACTATGAATATCACCAAACAAGTGATACCCGTGCAAGCGCCGGAGAGTATCATATTGAATTGGTGAAATGTGAAGTTGCCGACAAAATTTTCAGACGCATCTATTTAGGAAGAGAATCAGTTAATTGGGTTCGGAAGACCATCGAGATTGAGTTGCGCACCAGGGGCCAGATGTGCCGGCATCGGGCAAGTTGGCTTGCCATTCCCCATTACGATCCTCGATTAACTGAACAGATCTGCTTCGGGAAGGGTTTCGTAGAAATGGAGGCTCAGTGATAGTATTTATTAGTCTTGAATAAGAGTTATGAAAAAGTGAGTTGGTTGTATAATGATTTGAAGACAACAGAGAGATAGACCTAGCCTTTATACCCATGAGCAACTGCGAACTAAGATTGTGTCGCCCCATTGAGTCTCAGCCCACCTGTTATTTTTAGGGTATGATCTACTCCGAATACTCCCAAATGAAGTCAAGCATGCCTCCGACATGACTCTCCGTCTCTGCAGCTGGACGTCATCAGCCCTACTAGTAGATAAGCCTCGCGGATTCCACTCCGAATGGGGAAGAGGATGTTAGAAAGAATCTCAAATCTAGACATTCTATTGATCGATCTATACTGCCCTTTAGGTGGGGGCTATATGTGGCGCGCTTTTGATTTGTTGTAATATACGATGCGGCGTTCTCTGATGGGTCAAACATCTGATTTACTTAAAGGAGATTAGTGTGAGCGGGAACACGACCCTCTATGCTATGTAATCACATCTAAACCAATCACATTTCTTACATATTTAGACTTACGTGGCTGTGACCAACCAGACAGCATCTGGCATACTCTTTTCAGCAAGTATATGTAGATCATTTTAGGTCAGTGGCTTTTTCTGGATGGCTGCGTAGCAGAGCGTTGTTTGCGGGGCCGCTCGGGGACCCCGTGGCGGGCTCCAGGGCCGTAAACGACACAATACGTTCCTGACATTAAATCGAGGGCAAAAGGATTCCGCATTTTCCCATTCCTGCCCACGGACCGGCGACTTGCGATCGGTGAGCGTAGGCACGTATAGGTGCATTTATTCAGGGATTTGATTTCCACTGTTCTTTACCAACTCGCAAAAGCCGAAATTCCGTAGGGATGTAGAGCAGTTACAAGAATTGATAGTATTCCGTCCATTGTCGAAGGTTATAGCATTTCCTGCTTAATATTATGGCATGCATTGACAGAACTTACTTGCCTATTTCAATGTATTCAATGTAGGAACAGTCAACCCAAACACATTCTCCGGATCAAACCTCGACTTCAGAATTTTCAAAACCTCGATCCTCGATCCGTAAGTCTTTTCAAGGTATTCCTCCGATGAATTTGCTTGGAAGTGAGAATTATAAAGCGAAATATAGCCCGTTGGTAGAACATTGCCCGGAGACGCCCGTAAAACATCCTCTGCAACCCCCGCTGCCCAAGCCTCTGCCTCAGACTGCATGCTAGCCTCGTTTGAAAACCCAAGAATCTCGAGCATGAAATGCGGATCCCGCGCCTCAAAGACCGAAGCAACCTGAGATTTCGTCGATTTTCCGCGGAGCTGATGAATGGACATCATCGTGCCGGGATTGTTTGGCAGTTTGGCAATGCCGCGCCCGATTGCTTCAGCAGTCTCCGAAGAAATGAGCCTCACATTATGAGTAAGAGCGGATCCATATACTCTCGGTGGTACATGGGCTCCAGTATTGGCTAATATTTCCGGTATTGTTGTTGGAACAATGGCGTTCACCATAACAGGACCAAGGGCAGCAATTTTCCGGCTCCAGTACTGGCCTTCTTCAAGGTCATCGCCACCCCAGACAAATCTAATGGCAAAAGCGCGTCCCCGAGGGCCGTTGAATATAGTTTGTTGGAGAGTCAATTCAGCAGGGATATCCTCTGCCTCGAGTTTTCGGTACTCAGCATTATACTGGACGAAGGTTTTGTGAATATCGGTGGGATCGAAGATAATTGGACCGGCCAGGAGCTTAAGAACTTTAGTATTTGGCTCCCAATTCGATAATATTAGATCAGGATACCCAGGACCTACCTTAGAAATTGAGTAAACCTTAACCACGAGCTCAAGAATAACACCGTAAAGACCACCAGCGCCACGAATACCTTCCAGAAGAGCATCGTCGGCATGAATAACCTCGCCATCGGGGTTGACAACAGTCGCGCCGATGATCTGGTCTGCACCCAAACCCCAGTGCGCGGAAAACGGCCCATATCCACCGTAGACGGCCCAACCAACGTAGCCGACAGATGGTATCAGTCCTATTGGGGTACCCAGGCCCGCATTCCACAGTGTGTTTCCAACTTCGCCTTGCAATGTTCCTCCTTGGATAGTGGCAGACTTCCGATCGCTTGCGATGGTGACGCCGGTCAAGGCACGAAGATCGATGAGCAAGGCATTTTCAACAACTGCGCGGCCTTCTAAGTTGTGTCCGCCCGATCGCAAAGTGAAGGGCAAAGACTTGCGTTTGGCGTACTTGATTAGGACGCAAACGTCAGAGTGCGATTGTGGCTGGACAATAGCTAGTGGGTTGTCAGTACGCGAAGCGTTATAAACCATTCGAGCGTTGGTGTAGTCCGGAGAAGATGGTGGGATATAATTGATTGTTGGATTCTCTTGTATGAGTGACTCTAGGTCAGTTAACTGGGTAGCTCGGGCCATTATGAGAAAGGCTGGGAGTATTTGCGGAGTGATGATTTATGCAAGCACTAGAGGCAGTTGGAGGTGATCGTGTAAATGGTTGCGGGGTATGCGCACTTAAAAGTTACCACAAAGTCGGGGTTATCGTGTCGCGCTATAAACAGTTTGTAATCCCCCAGAAAAGTACCCGGGACTTCCGATTTATTGTTACCTAGCGCCTTACGCGGCGAGATCGCTCGAATGAATGCGTCGCGTCGAATTGGGGGCGGGTGGCAGTGGCGGCCAGTCATCGAGCCCTCAACTCGGTTTCCCCGATCCTCTCTCCGATCTTTAACTTGATAAGATTGGAGGGATTCTCAAGGATACTAAGTTTTAACTTTATAAGAATGGTGGTGTTAACTTCATAATGCAGGCATTGAACGATGATATCCGTAGGCAGTTGGGTAACCACTTGACTATAGAATGGAGACAGGTTTGACTGATCGTTCGACTACAAGTTAATTTTCTGCTTGCAGAATCTCCAATAGCAAGAATAGTAAATTCAACTCCGTGTTTGTTCTAAAATAATACAAGTACATCCTGCCACAAATCCCAAGCAAACCCCCCCCCCCCATAAAACGAGTGACAAGGCATCAAACAACACCATAGTGGAAAGTCCCAATATTTGTAGGGTCATAATCTAGCAGATGGCAGATTCCCTATGATAAGCCTATTTAAGCAAGGGGGAATCCGAGCAGAGAGAGACCAGTGGGAGTAGGGACTGCCTTTCCAGAAGAGGAGGGGGTGGCAGAAGGAGTGGCAGAGGAAGCGACAGGAGTGAAGCTGGGAGTGAACTTGGGAGTTCCGGAAGGCACAGCAGAAGGAGTAGCACTGCCACTGGGAGCCACTGGGGTGCTAGTAGGGGACAGGAAGATCGCGCTTCTGGCCTCCAGCAGAGGCAAGGGCAGCAGCCACGGACTGAGCATCGCCAACCAGAGAAGGCAGGTCGGTGGGAATAGAAAGGGAGCCATCGCGCTTCTGGGCACCAGAAGAGGCGAGCGCAGCTGCGATGGATTGGGCGTCGGAAACAAGGGAAGGAAGATTGGTGGGGATGGACAGATCCTCGCCTCGCTTCGCGATCACGGAGGCCGGCTCCGAACCATAAGGGGTGGATGAGGGAGGAAGGCTGGCGGAGGAAGAAGCGAATGGGTTTGGCAGAGGAGGGTCACTCGGGGTTGCGCTGGCAATGCTGCTCAGGGTACCGCTCGGGGTACCGCTCGGGATACCGCGGGGGGTGCGCGAAGGAGTGGGAAGTCCCGAGCTAGAGGCATAAACCGAGGTGCCGTTAGAGTTGAACGGAGCAGCCATGGCAGAGACCGAGAGGGCCAAAACAAAGGTAGCGACGGAGGTCTTCATTGTGAATTTGGATATAGAAGAAGTATATTGTCAAAGAGTGTTGTCTTGTAGATTAGAAGAGTTGATCTGAAGAGAGTGTTGGTTGTTTGATGATGAACAAAACTAGACGGTTTCGATGGGTGCTTTTATATCTTTTTTCCAAGTACCGTCGTCACGAACGATCCGCCGGTTCATCATCCCAAAATTGAGTGAATCGTTCGCCGTTTAGCCATATCCACCTCCATGGGGTCTCCACATCCTAGGATCGACTGTTGCTTATCGTAGGGAGTGTTGGGGATATTCCCTCTGGTTGGATTTGACTGGCCAAGGGCAAGAAGATCACCGGATTTCGACATCCGTCGATTCCAAGTTTCACGATCTCGATTGTATGGTGCCGTATAGGCGAAAGTTAATCGATGGCCTAGTGTAGATCATCTACCTGGAGTAGAAGCGTGTCCCTGGGGTCAACCGATGGTACAAGGAATAGTTTGTCGGAGAATAGTTGGAAGTCTGCGCGAATTGTCGACTACCGGTCTCCACAATGGTATTTAGGTTTGTCGTTTCAGAACCATTCCCCACAGTCACGACATGGAATAGAGTGGCAAGCAGAGAGAACGTGGTGGAGAGAGCTCACCACGAGGGTTGATAAGGATAAAAAAACTGGACGCATTTGGAATAAAGCCCGGGTGCGAAAGCATTGTGATTGGTCGAGGCATGGATGTAGAGGAATCCAAGCCCGGCTCACCAGGGACTATGCCAGGAACTTTTGTCGGTGCCGATCGACAATCCCTGTAGATCACCGTTGGAGAGCAGTGAAATCGCCGGATTTGTGCATACAACCGATATAGTCCTCGGTGGTCCGCGTATCAACGTTGTGCAAGTGCTTGAATTCTCCGCTGATGAACCACGGTCTGCTCGGCTTTGCTCCACACCGGCAAAATGCATTCCTTCTCGAGGCATGTTCGAAGCAGGGCCGATTCATGGCCAGGTCGGCAATTCAGATCACACACGACATCCGTGACCGTTATTGCCCAGCTAATGCACATGGTCACCAGAGTTTGAGATATCCGTGCAAGGCATGATGATGGCCCACTGCCCCTCCCTTCGAAAAACGATCTTCAGTGGTGGTAGGGTTCCCGAGGCCGAGGCCGATGCGATAGGAACGGCACTCGGCATTAGTATACCATTTCAGCCGGAAAAATGGACACATATCGGCATCCTTGTCGATTGGTAGATGTTTGAGGGCATTTGATCTAAAGTGGGGCCATCATGCCTTGAGAAACGCAGTCACAGATACCAGACTCGAGGCATTTCGAAAAGTGTGATAGATATTGTGTAATTTTGCATGCCGAACGACTATTTAGGTGGATATCGAGAGATCTCGGTGTTGTGTTGTGAAAAGTATTAAGAGTCCTGCCAGTGGACGTTCCCCAGCCTTCCGGAATGCGCGTGTCCAGATGGAACTCGGAGTAGAGTGAACCCCCTGCAGGAAGTCTGACGTCGCCAATCTGGAGAAGACTCCATGTCCAACTTGAACTCCACCCTAATGTCCAAGGATCGACCAGTCCCGACGGTCCCCATCGTATCCTGTACCATAGACGAAGTGGCGATTATTAGCTGGGCTCACGATGCCTCCAGCCGAACCAGTCTTGCATATTCGATACAGATGAATCGAAGGTACCACAGACATCTTCCAAGGTTGTCGGCCGAAAGGTCAGAGACCGCAAGCATCAGAACTTGATTCGGATGAGGTCACTTCGTTCGTAGTCTATTCTTTGCGCACCCCCAAACCCTGGCAGGATTCAGATGTATTTGGCTACTTTTCGAGTGTGTTGTGAGAGAAATTAATCCATTAGTCCTTACGGATATTATCGTAATTCACCTGAGCTATACACTGGTGATTCTATTTATTCATGGTTCAGTGTCGATCACTGATTCGTGGTCATCATGGGACTCCAGCAAAGGAGCTCAATTGCGGCGAGTAACCTTGGCCCATTGAGGTTCAAGGTTGTCGCCAATGGCACGGCGGGCCTCCTTCTCCAGCTCGCGGTGGCTAAGGTCGCCGCGCTTGGAGATTTTAGAGGCCGAGTCCTCACGCGACAGCTGCACGTGGAGGTAGACAGCGGCCTTCTTGCCAGAGAACATAGCGTGTGGCACGTTGGTGCTACCGTCACTGTTGGCATCTCCGATAGCGTACACACCGAACTCACTGGCACGCATACCGCTAGTGTCGACAACGATCTTCTCGTCGGAAACGTTGAGACCCATCTTGTAGGCAAGGTCGGTGCGCTGCGCAGTGTGGAAGTTCGTGATGAAAGCACCATGCTCGACGGGCTCACCCTCGGTGAAGTGGACCAGGAACTTATCATACTGGGCGTCGAGAGTCTTGTTCTGGTGAACGGCACCATCCTGAATGCGCTCAATTGAGGTGATGGTGCGGTTGTCAATCTTGACGTTCCACGCCTTGAGCTGCTCTTTCCAGTCATCGTGGGAGGCGGTGGCTTGGGCTTCACCCTCGGGGTTTTGAGTTCCATTCACGAACGCGGTGATATCAGAGAAGAGGGTGTTGGTCTCCAAAACACTGCCGAAGACGTCTGACAGGTTACCCAGGACACCCAGAGGTTGATCACGGTGCTAAAAAAAAGGGGGAAATGGTCAGCAAACTTACACCCCAATGCTTCAACTTGGATAATACTGAACTTACCTCCCAACCGTCACACCACGGGCACCACCAGATGCCTTTACCGAAGCCCTCCTGAAGGCCAGGAGTATCGGGCAGAACATCACGTAGACCAGTACCAAGCACAATTTTGCGAGCAGTATAGTTCTTTCCGGTAGCATCGGTCACGGTGAAAGCGGAAACGTCGTCGGTACCGGTGGAGGTGATAGACTTGACCGTGCCGTTCTTGAAGTGGGCCGAGGGGTACTTGGAGATCTGCTCTCTGGCAAGGCCACGGAACTCGTCAGGGGGGGTACCTAGTTTGGTCAGCGGGGTGGATTTAGAGAAAGATGTCAAATCGGGGAATTACCATCATTGCCAATGACATCGTGCATGTTCCGCGTGGGGCCGTTACGGTAGCGGTGGTCATCAAACAGCAAAGCTGAACGACGCACACGCGAGACACCACTCAAGGCACTGAGACCAGCAGGACCTCCACCTACAACGATGACATCGTAGTCGGTCTTGGGGATGGCCTCGGCGGAAGCAGCCAGCAGGGACAGAGAAAGAGAAAGGAGGGATGCGACCTTCATGGCGACGGCTTTTATCAAGGGTGATGGAAGACAATTGGAAGCCTCGAGGACACGCGTGACGAAGGAAAGAAAAGAGCCACGGGGATCAGCTGGTGGGAGGCAACTGCCCTCTTATGTATAGGGGGGGTGGATATAGTTTGAGGGTTGCCGGGTGACTGGCAGCGACAACCCAGTGAAAGCTGGGCATCTTGCACATCGTGGGCCGATCAAGATCTCGACTGGAGAGATGTGGAGGAGAATTGGTCGACTTGCAGAAATCATGCTCGCCGGAGCTGAACTCGGTGCACGATTGTCGGGATCGGCAACCCTTGCGGGGCGGGTTGTGGAGCGACAGGAAGAATTGGGGACCAAGAATCAGACATTCGATGACAGCGGCAGACTGTATGTAGGTCTCGGACTCTCGGTGCACAGAGAGTACATTGTGGTCAATTGTGGTATCTTAATTGAAGCTTAATGCTGGTGGGAGAAGAGGAAGTAGAAAGTCACATGTTGAGGTCATGTGCTCGGTGTTCATGTGCTCGGTGTTTGTGTTTGTGTTTGTGTGTTCAAAAGGAAAGAGCGAGGTCCTCAAGGCACCAAAAGTGAACTCAGGGAAGGCGCGACCTGCGAACTGCGATCGGCAAGCCTTGGCATTCCCCAATCACCTGACTCTCCCACCTTCCTCTTCTTCTCTTCTCTTCTCTTCTACATCTACGAGTACTCTCCTCCTTTGTTTTCTCCTCTATGTTACTTCTGCATTCTTCCACGGAGTATGGGAAATAATATTCTACGAGTACTATCTCGTACTTTGTGCGACCAACACGCCATCTGCGGCACCATCTCAGCTCTGTCGATAGTTCGGTGGCGCCGCATCCCGTGGTGGAGTCCCGAACCAGCCCGCTCCAATCGTCACGAACACACGATTCTGCAGAATGAGATCATGAGATCGAGAGTGGATAGAGTGGAGTGAGGACGGAAGGCCAAAGCAAGAAAAAAAAACGCATGCATTGATCTTGTTTTGATCCCGATCGGGATCTACATACGGAGTACAGTACGGAGTACAATATGTGCACAATATTTACACATGTTCGTCTACTCACAGTGCTGTACTATCGACCCATCCACCCACCATCCACCGTCAAGATTTCACCACTAACGTACGCGCTCGCTCGACTCGCCAGATACACCACCGATCCCTTGAAGTCCTCCGGATCCCCCCAACGTCCCGCGGGAATTCGTGCAAGAATGCTGGCCGCCCGCTCCTGGTCCTGAATGAGGGCCGTGTTCATGTCGGTCGCGACATAACCCGGTGCAATCGCGTTCACATTGATCCCCTTGGATGCCCATTCGTTCGAGAGGGCCTTGGTCAGTTGGGCGACACCTCCCTTGGCCGCGGCGTAGGCAGGTACTGTCAAACCGCCTTGGAAGGAGACTAGCGAGGCGACGTTGATGATGCTGCCGCGGGAACCGGATTTGTTGGGTGGCCGAGTCAACATGTAGGCTCCGACATCACGGCAAAGGGTAAAGACGGTGGTGAGATTGACTTGAAGAACCTGCAATAAATCCAGCATTAGCCAAGGTCCGGTTCGAGTTAAGCTGATAGCAATCAAATACTCACCTCGTCCCAGTCTTCCAGTGGAAACTGGTGGCTTGGGTGCCGCCGCTGAATCCCCGCACAGTTCAAAAGAATGTCGATATCATGCCCATCCTGGGTCACCGTCGATACTAAGGAGGAGATAGATTCTTGCGAGGCAAGGTCCGCCGTGTAAATTGTCGCTTTTCGTCCGAGTTGTTCAATCAGCTGCTTGGTACCCTGGTTCCTAGTATCTCTCTGCCATTTGTTAACCTTTTATTCTCGGGGGTCTGCGATTTTCGCATCAAGGTCTGCTTACTTGGATCAGCACAATGTCTGCACCCGCCTCCGCCAGCGCGATGGCCATGGCCTGGCCGATTCCTCGGGTGCCGCCCGTAATCAATGCCGTTCTACCTGTAAGTGAAAAGAGATCCATGGTGCGGTTTGTGTGCGTTGGCTTCACGGGGAGAAGTGCGATCTTCTATATACCGCGCGCCAAAGTTCCCCGAGCCCCCACGCCCACCCCGCAGATTTGAGGGGGAGGGGGGGGTTGGGGTTGTCGAGCTGAGAAGAGGGACGGACTATTCACCGAAAAGTCAAACTACATGTCAGAGATTGGCGACATCTCACGCCTACAAGGGTCGAGACGACACAATCTCTGGTTCCCAAAGTCTGAGGTAATCGAATCTCGGTATCCAGCATACGCCAATTGATTGACTACCCGTGGCTGCTAGTAGCTACTAACACTGATCTTATGTAGCTGTAGAAAAAGGGTCGTCCGGCAGACCTTGCATTTAACATGACTGTATATACTCTATTACTAATTTACCACTCGCGAATCGACCCATCAGGCCCGTGGAACTCCTTTGGCTGCCAGGGCTCAGTCTCCTTGCTAATCCGGCGAACCAAATCCTCATCAATCTCAATTCCAATACCAGGCTTTTGAAGTGCATCCACATATCCCTCCTTGATATCAAATACGGTCTTATCGATGAGATAGCTATTCAGGTCGATATCTCCCGCCTCAACATTGTAGTGCATACCCAGCGACATCTCCTGAATGACAAAGTTGGGGGTGGAAATGGCCACCTGCATTGATGCCGCAAGAGCGATAGGGCCAAGAGGGCAGTGTGGCGCGATAGCAACATCGTAAGTTTCAGCCAGTGTCGCAATCCGCTTTGTCTCTGAGATTCCGCCGGCGTGCGCGATATCAGGCTGAAGAACGTCGACAGAAGAGTCTTCGAGGAAGCGCTTTACGTCCCAGCGGGTATATAGACGTTCTCCGAAGGCAATTGGGATGGTTGTGTAGTTTGAGAGCTGCTTAATAGCCTCGGGGTGCTCGCAGAGGAGTGGCTCCTCAATGAAGAGAGGCTGGTAGGGTTCTAGAGCTTTGGCGAGCTGCTTGGCCATAGGTCGGTGTAGACGGCCGTGGAAATCGAGTCCAGCATCTAGGCCCAGGGCCTTCACTTGCTTCAGACGGTCGACGCAGGATTGGAGGGCAGCGGGGGAGTCGAGCCAGTTGATGTCTTCGGTGGCGTTCATCTTGATACACTTGAGTCCTTGGGCAATGCGAGCCTTGCTAGGAGATGTTAGAACAACGGATGCATCACTTGCACAGCAGGGAATACTCACGCAGCAGCCTCGACGTCGCTGGGTCGATCACCTCCAATCCAGGCGTATACCTGCACCTTAGATCGCACCTTGCCGCCCAGCAGCTGGTAAACGGGCACTCCCAATCGACGGCCCTTGAGATCCCATAGCGCGATGTCAATGCCGGACATTGCAGACATGAAGACGGGGCCGCCGCGGTAGAAGCCAAGTCGCCAAATCAATTGCCAAATGTGCTCAATGTCACTATCATTCGTCAGCTAAAGGGATCCAGAAGAAAAGGATTCGCGAGGATGACAACTGACTCTGCCTCCAGCCCAACGAGACGAACGATGATCTCGTCCAACGCGCCCTCGACGGCCAGAGAGTGACCTTCAAGGGTTCCTTCACCCCAACCAAACTTGCCCTCATCGTCAGTGACCTTGACGAAAAGCCAGCGGGGCTTTACCCTGAAGTATTCGATAGACTTGATCTTGGCCATGGTGCAGCAGTTTAGTAGAGTTGTAGAGAAAATGCGATCGCGGGGAAAGTATCCAGTATATGAATCTTCCCCTCTGTCTTTCTCATGCGTTTCCCCTCCATTGACATCCCACGGCATCCCACGACATCCCACGCGGGGGTACAAATCGCGGAGAATGGCGAGGGAGATTCGCAAAATGCGGAGAAGCTCCGGAGTTGGGCCGAGGGTTTCCCCACGCTTTGCCGTGGCGGGGATGATTGGTGGAAGAATTCAGCCACAGGAACCTTGGAAGCTGGGCAGCGTCATGAAATTAGGACCGCGAGAGGTAGATGATTCGTATCTGACTATCTCCTATTGAAGATCTAGACTAAGACTTGGTTTTTTGACGCAGGTCGATGTGGTTTAATATAAGCCTTAGATCTATAGTTCCAGGCTGATTTCGCTCATTAGATATATGCAATTAAACCTTCGAAGACACGTATAGATTAATAGATATGCGGTTATTCAAGAACTTGGCAGAACAGATCAAATTTCGCAACTGTTTACCCTTGAAACCAAGGGTCATCAAGAATTTGTCTCGCCGACGCTCTTGCAGATGGCTCAAAGCACAATAGCTTCCCAATGATTAATCCTAGCTTCGAAATATCATCTCTTGTCAAATCGGGGTTAGGCGGGCCACCGAAGTACAGTTCTTCCAGCCATTTCTGTAAATTTAGCCCAGTATCTTCGTCGCTTGATCCCTCGTTCATCGTATCCAAAGTCCCTCGCCATCTTTGAGGTAGATCATCGCTTGCCAGCTCACACATTTGACCGATGAGAATCGGAGGTGTTATCAAGAAAGTATCGAATGGCGGCTGGCCCATGAAGAGTTCAAAAATCTGCCGATCCATCAGTAACTACCGTACGGTGTTCACCCCAATCATTCACTCACCATACAGCCCATACTCCATAGGTCAACACGATAATCAATGCTATCTTTGAAAAGAACCTCTGGTGCACTGATAGGCAACGGAGTGTGCAGCGTTTGGGGAACTGCGGTGGGTAAAAATGTTTGCCCAAAATCGAGTATTTTGATTGTCGGAGCCGAATTCCAAAGTTGGTTCAGATGTGATGCTGGTTTCATAACGTATTTCGGAATGCCAGGCTCTAGACTTTTCCCGTCATATCTTCGGATATGCCCAATCTCTGGCTTCCCGAGCATCTCCATGAATTGTTCTTCGGTGAGATTGCCTATATGTGGCAAGGTGAAGGCCAGGTTGCGGGTATGGAGATCTTTTCAACGTAAGAATTTCTCAATATATTTCGAGAAAGGGGCGTACCTCCATGTCCAATACCCTTTTGGTGCAGTGCATCAAGCCCGATTAGACTCTGTTTTGCAATGGCTTTGGCAAGTTTCCCGGGTAACCTGCCGCTAGGAAAGTGTGTATCAATTGTATCCGGAATATTTGGGCCTAAGAGCTCATAGATCATACATTGGTGACATCCATTCGGGCTCTTTAGTTCGAAATCGTCAAGCAGGTATATCATGTGTTTCGGACGAGGGTGATGAGATGCCAACTCCTGCATGATTTGGAGCTCTCTTCTTTCTCCATCTGCTGATTCCGAACCCGATATTTTGAGAGCAACATAGGCTCCTTCCCTATATATTTCCATACTCCGTTAGCAGGGCCCTTCACAAAATATGATTTTGTACAACCTTTGATCTCTTGCCGCCCAAACTGTCGAGTATCCACCCCATCCCAGCTTATGCAGGACCTTATATCGCCCAGATTTCAGATTTTCCCCAGGGTAACTGGGTAGTAGCCGCCTCGTCCATAGTGATGAAGTGGTTCCGCGTCAATAGTAGAAATATGAAGGGGTTGGTCCAGTTGGCGGGAGTCCGAATGGGTGGTTATGGGCTTGGAAACCGTGGATAGACGTGAAATTCTTCTCAATGGAAAGCTACGCCTCGAGAATATCGAGGAAGCAATAGCAATGGCCATCAGGTAAATCAAAAATGGATTTCATGTCGATTGTGATAGACTGGGAACTTGAACTTGGGATGTCTACGCGCTTGCGGAGATGACGTATCACATGACTCTGGCATCCTCAAAGTGCCAGCGCGGCATCCTGATGCCATTGTGGACTTTTGCAGTGCGGGTTGGAGGGAATTTCTGTGTCCGCCATGGTCAAATCTCTCATACAATTGCATATGACGAGTAGTAGACTCGGACCATCACTGCGAGATATATTCCAACTTGAAGGCTCTCCGAGTCTCTCATCATTTTCCCACCTTGCGTGATGGATACTACGAGTATCCGTCCTGTTTCACCCTGAGTCCCTGACTTCCCCGCTAACCCCATAATGGGACGATCGACGTATCCTGGAGTTGGGCGGAGTGGAGTTGAAAGCTTGCAGTCAGTCGAAGGCAGATGGCGTGACCCCCACGCATCCACTCACTCCATGCGGGGATTCGGGATCGTCTGACACGAAATCTACTTTTACGCCCTCGCCCGCAAATTCACTCGCGCGCAAGCAATTAAATTGAAGACATCAAATTATGACAGTGACACGCGCCCAAATTCAAGAACATAGCAATCGGCAGTCCTGCTGGGTTGCCATCCACGGGGCTGTTTACGACGTGACAGGTATGTCCAATTGCTTCGGCTGAGTCCACTCTGAGTTAACTGGGTTCAGATTTCTTGGATGAACACCCTGGAGGTTCGAAAGTGATTCTAAGATGTGCCGGTCGAGATGCAACCAGTGATTTCGACTCGGTGCATTCGCCGGAGCTGCTGGCTGAGACGCTGCCAGAGACCGCTCTGCGTGGACACATCGAAGCAGCGGAGCTGGCCGAGATCACAAAAGCAGATGCGACGAAGAGAAACGCCAAAAGTTCATCACCAAAGCCAACGGATTCAGATGATCCCCCTCCACCTCCACCGCTCAATACCCTTATCAACCTCCACGATTTCGAACAAGTCGCGCAACGATATCTCGCTCCCAATGCCTGGGCTTACTATGCATCGGCTGCCGATGACGAGATCAGCAAGCGGAATAATGCGAAGGCATACCAGAAGGTCGCACTTCGACCTCGCATACTTAAGAAGATCCCGAGCGTGGACACCACTACATCCATCCTAGGCCATTCGGTCGCGCTCCCAATATACATGTCGCCGGTCGGCGTCGCCAAATATGCTCATCCTGATGGAGAGTGCGCCCTTGCGGCTGCGGCGGGCAGAGAGCTACTTGCCCAGGTTCTTGCCAATGGGTCTAGCATGTCCGTTGAAAAAGTACGAGAGAGTCGTGTCGCGGAAGACCAGCCACTCTTCTTCCAGTTATACGTCAATCGCGATATGTCCAAGTCCGTCGAGATGGTCAAGCGCGCAGTCAAAGCCGGAGCCCGCGCGATTTGGATCACTGTTGATTCACCAGTCGTGGGCAAACGAGAGATGGACGAGCGCTTGAATCTCGATGTGTCCGCAACCGATAGCGATGCCCAGGGCGAGGGAGTGGCTAAGATTATGGCTAGCTCGATCTCCCCGTTCATCGACTGGGATATTCTGACCTGGCTACGGGAATTGACCGATTTGCCAGTTGTCATTAAAGGCATTCAGTGTGTTGAAGATGCAGTCCTTGCATATGAACACGGCGTCCAGGGGATCGTCTTGTCTAACCATGGGGGTCGATCCCAAGATACGTATGTGAAAACTATCCTTGGATGTGTCGGGGATTATGGCGTAGTATACTAACAATGACCTACATCACAGGGCACAACCGCCACTTCTTACTCTACTAGAGATTCGAAAGTTCGCACCGCATCTGCTCGATGGCAAAATGCAGATTTTCATCGATGGTGGCATTCGTCGCGGTACGGACATCCTCAAGGCCATTGCGCTTGGCGCCACAGCTGTCGGCTTGGGGCGACCATTCTTATACAGTCTATCAGCCGGGTATGGAGAAAAGGGAGTTCGTCGCATGTTGCAAATTCTACGACAGGAGATCGAAGCCAATATGACCTTCTTGGGTGCGACCAGTCTAAAGGATCTCAAGCCAGAGATGCTCAATACGAGCCGGCTGGAGCGAGATTTGGTGGGAAGCGTGAAGTTATAGTCAATCATCAACCGTGTAATCTACTTCAACATCATCAAAATACTCCTTCCGAGTCTCCCGTAAATACTGCAGTAATCTTTCGCTAGCTACTGCGAATTGGTGTTGCAAGAAGCAAACTACTAACCTTCATCTTACCCTCCCCCCCCAACTTCCAAGCCGCGCATCCACAACCCCCACGCGGACAACCACCGAACCCCGCCAGGATTTGCGGGGGTCGCTGATGGTGGGATGTTTGGCCGATCGTGAGGGGGGCCCAATAAAGCTAGATTCTGCAATGCGTCGTCGCTTTCCATCCTCATCAGCATCATGTCCGACAAAATCGACGTCCTTCTATACGGCCTAGGAGCGTGAGTTTTACACCGAATCGCCCAGTGATTGGTATCTCTAACATCCTGCAGTATTGGCTCTTTCTATGCGTTCATTCTGAGTCGTTCCGACCGCGTGCGACTGACAGTGGTCGCACGCTCTAACTACGATGCTGTCAAGGCTAATGTGCGTTCGCATCAACACTTGATTTTCCACAAGTTACTCACACGAAAAAGGGAATTACCATCAATAGCGAGAACCACGGGAATCACACCTTTCGCCCGCATCAAGGTGAGAAGTTCATTCAATTCCTCTTCGCTATCGGATTTGCTGACGGACACAGTGGTGAGATCACCCGCTGAGGCTGGCCCTGTCGATTATGTCGTTTGTGCGCACAAGGCCATCGACCAGGAAGATGTTGCAGTGAGATTGGCTCCAGTGGTAGACCAGGATCGCACCACGATTGTGATTATCCAAAATGGCGTTGGGAACGAGGAGGCTTTCCGCAATCAATTTCCTAAGAATTCTATTCTGACCTGTGTGGTAAGTAGGGTGCTATACTCTCAGATGAGCACTCAATTAACACTTCTTTGTTTACAGACTTGGGTCGGCGCCATCCAAAACAGCCCCGGTATCATCAACCACACCAAGTCCGAAGATATGCAAATCGGTTTGTTTCCCAATCCACAAGTGAACAAAGCGACTGAGCAGCAGCGCTTGGATACTTTTGTCGCGCTTCTCCAGAAGGGCGAGACTAAGTTTACTGTTCTCGAGGACATGCAACCCCAGCGATGGGAGAAGGTGGTTTGGAATGTCGCCTGGAACTCGCTTACGACACTGACCATGGTCGACACACAAACTTGGCTGCATTCCTCACCCGACGCGGAGCCTTACACGCGAAGACTCATGCATGAGGTTATTCAAGTTGCTCGTGGTTGTGGTGTGCAGCTTGAAGATGGCCTAATTGATCAATTGATGGACCGAATCAATGCCATGCCCGGCATCGGTAGCAGCATGCAGACCGATTGCAAGAGCAATCGACCGATGGAAATTGACGTTATTCTTGGATTCCCAGTACGGAAGTCCCGAGAATTGGGGATTCCAGCGCCATATCTTGAGAGTCTCTACGTGATTTTGCGTGCGGTGGACGGCCGAATTCGAGCTGCACTGTAGCGGTATGATGCGTGGAGTAGTTAACCCCCAACACCTACCTACAACTATATAGGCTTCTCGAATCTAATTTATTTCCACCAATGGGGGATAGTGTACTCGTTTGATCAGTCCCGTCAACTTCTTGATATAAAGAGTCTCCCCCACGTTATCCCACTCCGCGCGGGGGTAGGTACAGCCCTATTACTAGTAGCTCTATTGTATGCCAGGGGTAATCTGCGAGCGTTTTATAATCCCCCCTGAGACAGTTGCTCAACATCTTGACCTATCCTCGATCCAAAATCACTGGTACCTCAACAGAGCAGAAGTTCTGAAACTGCATCAGTACATTTTTGAGTGGGAGACTGGGTTCCAGCTCTCTATTTTGAAACCCGCCATAGGATCTAGTTGGTGAGAAGTACTAGTATTCTATTCCGCAAGAGATACTATCTGTGAGGGAATCCTTAATAGGCATTAGGCCCTCAATAATTGATACTCTATTCTGCAATGTTGTTGTCTTACCCCATTTTATACCATTCATAAGTGCAGGGTCTCTAGAGAGGTGGCAGAGAAAGCAAGATAGGGGCTCGGGCCTCATGAATAGTTAAGTACATCTGTGAAATATGCTTTGACTTACTTGGAGTAATCATTACAATGTCCAAATTTTGCACACATCTATATAACGCTTGAAAAACATTCATTTCGGGCCCGTGGTGTCGTGGGTGTACTTCTCCCTCTCAACTTAGATTCGTCTCCCCAATAACCCCAAAAGAGGAGTCCTAGTACGAATCCCAAAAGCCAAAATAGAAGTAACATATCCCGACATTCATGGGACCCCCACGTTCCCCGCGCAGGATCTTTACCCCGTGGGACGATGATGTAGATCAACCCCCTCCTCGCACAGTTTCTCCATAAATGAGAGAGCATCCACCCCACTCTGAAAGCTTGTCAGACGGCTCAATGATCATCGGGGTATAAATGGTCGCGAATGGTCGCGAAGTAAGATCCACGCACTACTTGAAGCATCATCTTTAAGAATCGCACCTTGTAGTATCGAAGACATAAGAGAAATCGAGAGGTTGTGGGAATTCCAGATAAGCATTCAGGATGGTTTCTCTCGGCCTATCAGGCCGCAGCCTCATGGCAGGCATTTCCTGTTCCACTGGAATGGGCTTCGTCATTTTTGGCATGTTGCGATCCACTGTGATTTGATTTCCCATCGCCGAGTACTAATTCGTACCAGGCTATGATGACGGCGTCATCGGCGGTCTCCTGACAGCTGATGCATTCAAAGAGACCTTCCATCTCAGTTCTTCGATGGAAGGTACTGTCACAGCTCTCTTTGTTATCGGGTGTCTATTTGGATGTTTGGGGACCAGTTTCTGCAACGGGCGCTGGGGCCGTTTAGCCATCGCGCAAGTGGGATCGGGTATTCTTAGCGTCGGAGCTATACTTCAAGCATCGAGCTATACTACCGCACAACTGATCGTCGGGCGAATTGTTGCTGGAGTTGGCCTTGGGCTCATCTCGAGTAATCTGGGCGTTTGGCAGTCTGAATTGGCGACGAGGGAAATCCGTGGAATGCTTATGGCTGTTTCCTTGAGTTTTCTCATTTTGGGCCAAGTTTTGGCTTATTGGATTGATTATGGACTGTCGGTATATGAAAGTAGTGTGTCGTGGCGGTTTCCCATGGCTTTTCAAGCGTTTTTGGGCATCACGCTCAACATCATGCTATTATTCATGCCGGAATGTGAGTTCTAAGATATGATTTTCACTTGTTGGTTCCAGAAGGCTAACAGACAGTCATAGCCCCCCAATGGTTATTCCAACATGACCGACACGAAGAAGGCACAGACGTTCTTCGAAATTTGCGCTCTTCTCGCGGGGTGCTTGACGAGACTGCACTGAACACAACGGTCGCGGAAATACAGGATGCTTTGGCGCTTGAAAGTGAGCAGAAAGGTTGGATGGATCTCCTCAAAGATGACCATGTCCGATCTCGTCGTCGTGTCTTTCTTGCGTGTCTTTTGAATGCATGCCAGGCATGGAGTGGTAGTACCCCTATCAGCTATTATACAACTGTTATGTACGTGGAAATGGAAACCTTCACCCCATAGCTGCTAACATTCGTTAGATTCGAAAACTCAGTTGGTTTTGATCGGAATTTCGCTCTTCTCATGTCCGGATTCCTCCAAATCTGGTTCCTGGTTGCATCTTTCGGAACCTGGTACAGTATCGAGAAGCTTGGGCGACGCAGATCATTCATCACTTCGGCTATCGGGATGGCTTCGGTGATGGCTATTATGGCTGCAATGCTGGCGATCAACACGCATGTCTCGGGAATTGTCGCCGCGGTGATGCTTTTCGCTTACCAGGCATTTTACACTTGGGGATTTATGGGTGGACTCTGGGTAGGTTCCAGATTTTCAGACAATAAACAGACTTTCTTATGCTGACGGATGCACAGTGTTATGGCCCTGAAATCCTGCCTCTAGCCCACCGTTCAAAGGGAATTGGTCTTGCCACGGCCTTCCTCTGGCTGTCCACATTTGTGGTCATCGAGATCGTTCCTGTGGCAATTGAGAACATCGGGTGGCGAACTTACATTATTTTTGCAGTTTTCAATCTTGCTTTTGTGCCTATGATCTACTTCCTCTATCCTGAGACAGCCGGCTTTAGTTTGGAGGCTGTCGATCTCACATTCATGGACCGCAGCAGATCACCGGTGAAAAAGGCCGACGAGCTATGGAAGTTGATCCGAGATGGCCATGATGTGACTTTGACTCGGGAGGTCGACCGGAAGCATGAGGTCGAGCATGTTGAGGTTGCTTGAGAGCTTACTTTGGAAAGACAATGTGAGAAGTCAAAAGGCTTATTCATTCAGTCAAGGCTCGGCTGGCCATCCAGACCATTATACCGACGCCTCATGCAGTAGGACAAAGTGAAGACCGGCTTCCTCGTCAGAATGTCATGTCCACGTTCTATATCCAAAAACACCAAATGCTATCTAAACAGAATTAACGCCCATTTGCCAAGTTCCAAGTGTACAAAGTATGGTATCCAAATGTCATCAAACAAAGAATCCCCAAAGCCCAAAAAAGAGATGATAACTAGAAGAATCGTTTCGCGTTCCACGGATTCAGAAAAAGAAAATCGGAAGAATCCGTGCATCAATTTTGCCTCCGTAGATGGGTGCCAATCAACTCCCGCAGTTGTATGGAGGTAGTTTTATTGGCATCAGAGTCGGAGGGGATGGGTGGAGGTGGAGGTGATCCAGCATCGGCTGATTTGGGCTCTTCATCTACGGCGAATCGCCAACGACCATCGTGGCCCATAAACATACGGAAGCCGTACCGTTTGTCTAGGGCGGTGAGGTGGTCCCGTCTTTTGCTGTTGTTCCAACTGTGGGTATCACCAAAATCGCTCAGCATGCGACTGTGTGCAATCCATGGGATGATTGCTCCGATAGAGCGCGGCATTCGCGGGCCTCGGAATCGGCCTCGTCGCGTTCCAAAGACGACCAGGACGACTGAGAGTATCGAATGCAATGATTATAAGCGCGATGGCGAGTGATGGAACGGATGGCTTCATCGCCCAGGTACTTCGGATGATTGTGCCATTAGTCGCCTGAATTGGTTCGTCCAGCTCTTCGAGGTATAGATCCCGCCAAATGGAAAAGTATGTACTGTAAACCCATTGATAGACAGTTTGGGTAAGATCGGTCAAACGGGCAGGGTCAAGGGAGTCAAAATCAGGATCTTCGCGCTGGTATAGGCGGGCAACCAAGAATCCTGCCCAGTCGTATGATGAGATATTGTATGTGCCGTTGTGAGCTGTAGTGTTTCCCACGAAGCTCTCCGGGATAGCTGCAAACACCTTGTTGAATTGCCCCAGGCTGACCGTGGCGTTATCGAACATGGTGCCTTCTGTGACGGAAGTGTTTTGGATGCGTTTATGGTAGTTGATCTGGCCTCTTGGGTCGAATACAACAGAATAATCTTGCAGTCGAACACGAGGCTCGCAGTGCAAAGCAATGGTATTTTCATCGGAGACCGTGCTATTGGGCAGATAATCCCAACGACCAACAACAAGAACGGTCGATGTCTGACAGACATCAGAATCATTCACCTCGCCCGGAGACAGGAAATGAATGGAAAGCGAAATGCCCTCGTCCTTTTTCCGGGTCGGCATGGCGGCTTCACACTCCACGGATTTGTTGTCGAACAGCTGGTATTTCCAATAGCTGTGACCGGTGGTTTTGTTGTGGAAAAGCCCCTTCTCTGGAAGGAGAGGCTGGCACTCCAAGGAAGCCCCCACACCTAAGGTAGTTGCTCCATACATAGCGTCGGGGTCGCGATTGTGCACCTGCAGAGGTACAAACGATTCGTTGGGGCTTGTCCAGGGAAGCATGGGGACGCCGCTCGTAATGCTCGTCTGAATCAGGTCGTACTCGGTAAATTGAGCGGCGAAATCATTTTTCCAGAAAACGGATGAACTATAGTTTAAGGTCAAATCCTTTGTCGGCAGGGTGGAGGACGTCATTTCTTGAGTGAAAAGACCTCCCGCCACTACTGTCAGCACCATATTGATGACACATGCGATGGATACAAGTCCCAAAAGAATATGTCGATCTCGAACGGACTTGCAAAAGATGGCAACAGGGCTCTGAGAGGCGTAGTTTAGAGATAGTGATGATCTTGCCGTGGCCATTCCTCGTTGAAGATGGACCCAGGGTTCCAAAACGCTGAGATTGCGGTGTATCGATGTACAGAGAGAGCTGACGGAGGAGGCCACGACCGAAGGCAAAAATGACAGAACCACTTGCAGTGAGCTGGAATCCGACTGAGTCAGGTGTCGAAAGCGGCCATCACGAGCGAGCGACTGAACGACGAGGGCCATTAGAATTATCACGGCCGCCAGGGCCAGGAATTCGACAATAAAGAAAGGGATGACTAGGAAGTGAGGCATTGGGTCGTTGCGAGTTCGGAGGTTTTCACCCAACTGCACTGGAGAGCCATCTTCGGCAAGAATCTCCAATCGATTATGCCCGGAAGGACTAGATCGCCAATGACAGCGGGCGTTTTTGAAGATACGGCGCATTTGTCGGGTCGAAAATTGGTGGAACTCGGCGAGCGGTTCAGAGAGGATGTTGTTGGGGTGAAATATGTCGGCGGCGATACTGCACATGGCGCCGATCGAGCCCGGGTCGCATTGAAGGAAGGTTTCGCGAGAACGATAGAGGAAGAGAAGATATACACCGGTGAGAGCGGCCAGGCCTAAAATCAGCTCGGACCAAAGAGCTGCAAAGGTGACGACGGCAATGGCAACTTGGGTGGTAGAGCGAACAGCGGCGATGATGGTAGGCTCCCTGTCGGGGTCAAACAGACGTCCCAGGGTGAGAATGAAAGTCTGCTTAACGTCCCGCGTGATCTTCGAAGTGAATTCAGCCTGGGTCATGATGGATGAAGTGTCCAAAGTGAGCAGCGGCTGAAGATCGCCAAGCTCCTCGCTGATCACGGGTAACTCGGTCACGGTTCGGCCACCATTCGTGGAGTTGTTGCTGATAAAGATCATGTCACTGGTATAAGGAGCACGCTGAGAAAGCAACGCTTGGAAGTGATCGATGTTGAATTCCTTGGCCGTTAAAGTGCGGGTCGTAGCATGATGCAGACGAATCGACTCGATCGAGCTGTTGGGATGCATTGCGACTTGGGCCTGCGCCTTGTAATACATAATATCACAGGCGAAAGCGAGGCCGCTGGCCGAATACTCCGTCTCCTTTGACCCATCTGTTGTAGCGTTGACCGAGATCAACATGCCATACAAGTCGTACGGATCGCAGCCGGTGGCGGTGAATGCTTTGGTTGTATCGGGATACTCGGCTTCGGTCGTCGCATCGATGGAGGGCTCCCAGTAGCGAACCTGGAGGTAATCGGTTTCGGGAAAGAAGACGCTATCATAGTGAAAATCCAGCACGCATTCCTTCGCCGCTCCATAGGTGTCAGACAAGTCGATACCCGAAGCGTCCCAGGAGACTCGTTGCAGCCCATGCTCCGGTGTCTCGATAGAAACATTCAGCTTTTTGTTCACGGGAACATTCTGACAGGATACGTCGGCCCAGTACAACGTTTGATCCAGTTTCCATATCACATCGCTTTGCTGTTCACCATCCGGGACCTCGACAGGGGCAACGGCGTATTGAGAGGAGCGCGACCGGCGAAGCCGTTCATCGGAGGAAAGGACTGAGTCGACCGTGTCGTTGGCCTGGGTGGACATCCAGGTGGCTTGCGTTTCCAAACCGACCAGAGTCGGCCAACTTTGCATATTCTCATGTCGAATGACCTGCACTTCTCGTAGCTCAAAGATGGTACTCTGTAAGGCCGGCAAGATCATGCGAATGGAGAGGGTCAGCAAAGAGACCCATAGAACCAACCAGTGGCGGCGGCGAGCGGCATTGATGGGGGTGAGGATAGTCTGGCCGAAGTTGTAGTTGATGAAGAGCACGGTGGCCGGGGCACCACCCGGTTTGGACAGCTGGAAATAGGGCTCGAGTCGGAGGACATCGAAATCGGTGACGGACCAAAAAACGAGGAGGATGAGGGCGATAATGATGGGGACATAGTTGTAACCGAAGGACTGGAGAGCGGAGACGTCGTCGGTATCGTCAAAGAAGACCAGACCACCCTGACGAGTACTATATTGGCGCAAGCCCTCAAGGACCAGGAACATGGTCGTCATCAAGCAGACCAGCGACGCAAGGTAGGGGGCACGCAGGGCGAGCGGACGCCAGCCCAGTTGATGTTGTCGGTCGGGGCCGGGGGCGCGGAAGGGAGCGATGAAGGCTGTAAGGGTCTCATGTCAGTCGAAGATGATCAAAGATATCTGATGCTAGAAGCAATCAAGCAGAACTCACCATCCCATTGCGCCCGAAGACCCCGTCCCCGCCTGTCTGCGTCAACGGCCATGCTGACGGGAAGTGAGCGAAGGGGGCGATCAGGGGCATTGCCATATCATGACGGGAGAGGAAAGGCCAGAGGTCAGAGGGAGAGCATCCGGAAACGAAGGAGAGCCGATCAGAGGCGGGCCAAGTGTAAAACAAGGAGATAGTGGATGGTGGTAGCCAAGAAATGAGAGTGGACAGCCAAAGCCAAAGCCAACATGACGTCGGGGAGAGAAGTTGATGAGGGAGAAAGTTGGACGCGCGGCGGGCTTGGCAGAGAAGAGCAGAGCAGAGCAGAGCAGAGCAGAGTAGAGCAGAGCAGAGTAGAGCAGAGTACTGGTAGTATAGTATATATATTAAATAAGACAGATTCTAGGTACTATGATAAATAATTCATAAATTATCTGAACATGTTTCCTTTATTTATCTCACTCTCTACGCCTATACTTCTGTTCCAAGGTTGATGAGGCGTACCTAAGAGTATGGGGAGTCCCGTGACCTGTATAAAGTGTAGTATACAATCTACGCAGGATACTCCAGATATTACTGGTAGTAGTAGTAGATACCAGAGTACATGGTTAATAAATATACTAGGATATACTAGTTACTAGATACTGTTTACCTAGTAGTGATATCATATTATCACTGCGACACTACAAACTTGAAGTAGAGTAGACTCGTCACTGCTACTTGACTAGCACCGTCGATATCTCTTGGCACTCCACTCACTTCCTCTCCGCCTCCTCCACTCCACTCCTCCCCTAAGCTTGACACACTCAAGCTTCTTCTCGTGTCCTTTAGTATACTCATATCCTCTTTACTTCCAAGTTCCACAACCTCCCCAACTCCCTATGCATGACCTTCAGTCTTCTCCGTTGTGTTGACCGTGGCCGCTACCTCCTCACGACCCTTGACTGTCTCCAGATCACCGTGTTCCAGAGCCACGGTTCGGTTGGTAATCACTCGCGTCTTCCAGGCCGGTGTGCCCATATACTTAGGTCCACTCGGATCCTCAAACATCGCCTCCGTCTCTTCCAGGGTCTTGCCTGCCGTCTCCGGGAACATGAAGAAAACATGGATGAACATCGCCGCATTGAACACTCCAAACAGCACATAGGTCCGCCAGGTGATGTTCTCAAACGCCGGCGGGGTGAATAATCCCAGTGCCGTGTTGAAGGCCCAGTTACCAGACGTCGACAGAGACACTCCCTTGGATCGCAGTCGCAGCGGATACAACTCTGGTGGGTAGGTCCATGAGACCGGTCCCCAGGTCGGCGCATATGAAGCCACGAACAGATAAGTGCAGGCAATCAATCCCTTGGCTGCTGTGCCCTTAACACTCATCGACTGCTCCGGTGAGGCACGATCATCCATGGCCAGGATCTCGGCGTGAGCACCGAGAATTCCGGCATTGGCAAACATAAAAATGCACATGAAGAAGGCACCGACCAACATCGTCGGTCGCCAACCCCAGCGATCTTGCCAGATCAGTGCGGGTAGCGTCATCACGACGTTGATGATGTATTGAATGGACGAAGCTAGCAGAGTGGCGTTGCCCGTGTAGCCTGCCATGCCGAAGACATATCCGATGTAGTACACTGTCCATCCAGTCAGCAGATTGCTCCCAGGGGAGGGGAATCCCAGCCCCATGCTATGTATCATTCTTGGAGAACTCACTCATCACGTTCATTCCAGTCAGCTGGGACCAGATCTGCGTGAACAGACCCACCATGGTTCGGTTCAGCATCCTAGGCTTGAACAGGTCAATGTATCCGGCGTCGTTGAAGGTGCGCTCCAGCTCGCACTGCTCACGGATATCCTGCAACTCCAAAGTGACGAAGGCGTGGTTTCGGTCACCTTTACCGTGAACCAAAGCCAGGACTTCATGCGCCTCCTCCCAGCGGTCCTTGCGAGCGAGCCAACGAGGGGATTCGGGGAGGAACATCATCGCAAAGAAGAGGAGAACGGCAGGGACCATTTGCAAACCCCAGGGAACACGCCAGGAGGCAGCACTCCAGTTGTCTACGTCCGACCCGCCAATGAAAGCGCAGCCGTAGGAGATACTAATTTTGTAAGTAGCTGATATCATGAGGGGAAGCGCATGGATCATATCGGAGCACTTACTAGTACATGATCAAGATACCCCAAGTGATAGCCCACTGTTGCATACCCACAAATCGTCCACGCTTAGAAGGTGGAGACAACTCCGAGATATAGACAGGGACCTGTGCGGATTCGATACCAACGGCGATACCGTTGATGATGCGCCCGACAATGAGCATACCGATATTCTGCGAGGCACAGATTATGACGGACCCGACGACCCTGTTGTCATTCATGAGCAATGTCTCTTTGATCGGGGATCAACAAACTTACCAAATCACGCAGCCAGACATGATTGCATATTTACGACCGAGAATACCAGAAACAAACCCAGAAATCAAAGCACCGAGCCACGACCCCGCGGCCATGGAAGCAGTGATACCACCCTGAACGAGTGAGCGAGGACCACTGCACCCCTTTTCGGGATTATCATAACTGAAAGGAGGGCCATTCGGACCCTGATTGAAGTAACATTTGTAAGAATTCTCGGTCAGCTGGGCTGACATGGAAGCAATATCGAAGCCAAACAGTCCGCCGCCGACGACGGCGACAGAGGCGATCACATAGATGTTGCCGATAACCATCATGATGACGGTGGGTAGAGATCAGATTCACCTGGCCAAGGTGAAACTTCCCAGGACAGGAGGGTGGGGTGGAGGGATGTTATATATCAGACTAGTCACGCACTGGCAGAGAGACCTCACGCATCGGGCCCGGGACTGGTTCGGAGGAAACGCGCACCAACAAAACTCGTTCTAGTTTGATGCGATGTAGTATTGGGATGCGAGTGGTCGACCCTCATGTCGAATGGCCTGTTACTTGTCTGGTACTTGATCGATGCCCCAATTTTCCTTCATTGATGGACCAATGTCTGGCTGGTGCTCGCGCGGCCCCCATGGGAAATGCGACCCACCCCGCTCCCCCAGATGACAGTCTGACCCCCTCATTTTCGTGTGCGAGTATTCAAGTTTCCAGATCACTCGCCGTGACTCCAAAGTGCATGCTAGATTCGAAGAACTGCTCCCGGAATTTTGAATATCATGATGTTGACGCACTTCATACTTCAAGCCAAGGCAAAGCTTGGCTTGTGGCGTCCGGCTGTCGTGTCCATCCGCAAGCCAGCCGAGATCTTCCTTTCTCCCCCCTAAGCCATTCGAGGTGTAGACGCAACCACGCGAGGCGGCCAGTGCTTGGTCAACCAATCTAATTCACTTACTGTCCCTTGGATGCCAAAGCTTGCAAACCTTGAACATCCATGGGCTGCAACCCCCTAGTCTAGCGGGGTGATGGTGCTTCCTCCCTCCAATCCTAGCGAGGGGTGGCGGTCGGGCTTTGACTCGAAAGAGATCGATCGGCGGTGACCTCTCAAAGCTTCTCAGCTTCGGATTTAAGAAGACCGAGGGGGCCATCTAGAAGGTATGCCGGGGTTGAAGAAGAGGAAATCCCAGGTTGCCTTTTGTACAACGCAACTCTACTGTATAAGCAAAGTCCCTTTCGCATATACTACTGGTATGGAGTTGACATACGCGAAACATAATCGGGATACTTTTCATCCTGTTTGTACTCATTGTACTATTTATCTCGGCAATCCCCAGGCTGACAAGAGTGCAGGGATCATGCAACCCTGCATTTTCCGTTTCCCCTTTGGGTGCTTCCTTCGGCCTTCCAGTTGAATTTGATTCGGAGAGCCTTGCGATATTTCTCCGAGCCCTTTTGAGTGACAAGTGGGTCAAATGAGACGAGCACTTCCGTTGAATGTTGGATGAATTGTTACAAGCATGAATCAAACTACCCCTGATCATTGTGGACACACCATCAGTGGCGTTTCGGTTACATCGCCAATCGGACTCGAGCCTTGGTCACCTCTGGCGAACTCTAGTCCGAGCATCTAATCTAGTATATACTAGTATTTGATGGCGGAATGGGCAGTTTGACTACACCAGATAATAGGCAAAGCGGTTGACGACGGGTACTTGATAATTCTTTGACCGGGTCGAGTCAAGATGCTCACAAGGTAAAGGAGTATCTGTGCAGACTGAATTCTGGAGAGGTTCTACAAGGAGCATCCGAGGGCAAATTCAAAACTCTAAATAGACTGGCCCATTGCATTATTAGTTCTTCTCATCTGCTGGATCTTCGTCTGTTTCACATTTGTATACTCCTTCCACCCGCCTGGCACTGTGTACCGATCACAACTTGAAATCCACCCATCCCACTCCCCGATGATCAGTAAGCCTTCTAGAGTATCACTAGAATGTATTCTCTACTCGCATATTCCCGCACAATCCAAAACCCTATCTATCACGCTCGGTTGACAAGGGAACCAAGAAGTGAGCTATACAGCCGAGTGAATGCAAGACCGACGACAGCCGAGGTCCCGCCGATGTGATTCTGGAGAAGTACAAAAGTGTGGGGAAGCTCGACCCCTCCTCAACAACTTCACATCATCATCATCGATCGCCTCGGAACTTTATTCGTAGTCAGAACCATGTCCACCACCATGCAAGCTGTTGTCTTCAAAGGACCGCTTCAGGTCGCCCTGGAACAGCGCCCTCGACCTCAGATTCAGGCACCGACCGATGTGATTCTGAAAGTGAGATACACCGCGCTCTGCGGGAGGTAAGCATTCCATTTTCACGTTCTCCGCATTCATCTTGACTTTGCCTTTTTGTCTTTTTGAGAGCTCTGGCGTACACTGCTAATCATCTTTAGTGAACTGCACGTCTTCCGTGGCCATCAACCATCGGGAACGGGCTTCATCATGGGCCACGAGTTCACAGGCGAAGTTGTCGAAACCGGTGCCGATATCCAATCCTTCAAGACGGGCGATCTCGTCGTCTCACCTTTCACCGTCAGCTGCGGCAAATGTTTCTATTGCGAGAGCGGGTTCTCCTCCCGATGCGCCAACGGCCTGCTATACGGCAGCCCTGTTCTGGATGGAGGCCAAGCAGAGTATGTTCGAATCCCGCTCGCCGAGTCGACTCTGTTCCAGGCCCCCGCGGCAATCGATGAGAAGAAGTTAGTGCTCATGGCCGATATATTTCCGACCGGTTACTTTGCGGCGAGTAATGGGTTCCGCTCGCTAGAGCCCAAGGCGATTCAGAATAGTACGGTACTTTTGTTTGGATGTGGTCCGGTCGGAATTTGTGCCCTTGTGAGTGCGCTGGAGTATCGTCCCAAGCACTTGATCGCGATCGACAGCATCCCCTCTCGTCTACAGTTAGCGGAGAGTCTTGGTGCGGAGCCATGGAACTTCGCAGAGAATGAGGCCGGGTTGAGAGAGCGAGTCAAGACCATCACAGAGGGTCGGGGTGCCGATGTGGTGATCGAGGTAGTTGGTCATAGCAGTGCTCTCCGGATGGGATTTGAACTGCTTCGTCCGTGGGGAGTATTGTCGAGTGTGGGAGTGCATAATGGCGAGATTCCCTGGACGGGCAATGAGGCATATGGCAAGAACTTGCGGATCCAGATGGGGCGCTGTCCTGTTCGTAGTAAGTGAATCTTTTTTTTTTTTTTCATCATTCAAATCCGAGTCTTCGCTACGCGAGCTTCTTTTGCCAGTCTGGATGAAGGCTAACCTCGACAGGCATCTTTGGGGAGGCGATGGAGCTGTTGGTGAAGAAGCAGGATACATTGAAGTAAGTGATCAACCTTTCCCTCTCTCTAAACCCTAATATTACCTCCATCATTTCGATTCCAAGTCTCACAAGGTCCCCAGTTTCATGGCCGAAGATATTCGCCCGCTTTCTCAGGCAGTACAGGCGTAAGTGATAGCGCCGTTTACGATTTTCCCCAGGGTGATATTAACCATGGAGATGCAGATACGATGATTTTAATCAGATGAAAAGCCAGAAGATTGTCTTCGAAGCGGATAAGTAGAGAGTGCGGGTACATAGTACAGCATGAGCTCAGCGTTGTTCCAATGTGAGGACGTCGAAGAAATGAAGCATAAACGCGGGAATATTTCAGAGCTAGATTAGTAGTAACTAACTACTAGTTAGTTATGTTGCTGTATGCCCTTTCCAATACAAAGGACACAGTTACTCGGCTCATTACGGAGTTTTGTAGTAATCCATGATCAGCCCCAAATCAGGATGAGTATGGACAGGGCCACGGCCACGGCCCCCCACCCGGGCGGGAACGTGGTATTGCGCTGGTGAAATTGAAATTCGTGGATTTTTACACGTTCAAGTTCGTAGTAATATTTACAGGCATTAATCTGGCGCTCCTCGGTCTTATTCAAGTTCTAACCTGGTTAAAAAATTACTCCAAGCTTCGTATCATCTCAATTACTTTCTTTTTCATTTCTGTTTTTGAACTAGGCGTGCTACTAGTCGTACCGTCCCTGTTTCAGGGCGATGCGCTACAGTGGGGAGGGAAATAGTGGGGCTTTGTGCCGGGTATAAAGCGGCACCATCTCCCCAGCGGGCCTTTCAACAACTCTAAGAGATACCATGCCTTGTGCAAGTTTCGTCCCCCTGCCCTCTGAGCTATGGGGCTGTATCACATTCTATTTGTCCGGCACTGATATTAAGTCTTTGCGCCTGACATGTACCCAAGTCAACAACGCAGTCCCCTTTCGCCTCGACCGTGTTTTTCTATCTGCCAACCCTCTTAACATAGAGGTCTTTCGCAATATTGCATCTGACGAAAAGCTCCGCTATTTGGTGACTGAGGTGATCTGGGATGAGGCTCGTTTAACACGGGGCCCAGCGCGGACATCGCAAACTGATAGGGGACAAGAATTACTGTCAGATGAAGACGAGCCCAATATCGCTGAGGGACACAAATATAGAGGAGAGACCTGCTGTCCTAAGTGGTTCAAAGACGCCTGTGAAGAAAATCTTCGCATCCTGAGGAGCCTGAAATCGGCCGATAAAGATAGACCCGAACATATTCGCTGCAGAGAGCAGATCCTTGCTCAGCCTCCGCTGGAAGAGTGCTGGAAATATTATCAACATTTGCTACGTCAGCAAAACCAAGTGCTTGCCGACGACAGCGACCTAGAAGCATTCTCTTTCGGTGTGAAGCAATTTCCTGCTTTGAAAAAAGTCACCATTACGCCTGCGGCCCACGGCAATCTCTTCAGCCCACTCTACCCAACTCCTATGATCCGTGCTTTTCCGAAGGGGTTTAATTACCCTATTCCACGAGGTTGGCTGTACTTTAAATCATACTTCGGACCTGCTACCGCTTATTCGTGGAACCGTTACCCCGAACTCAGAGAACGGTATCGTGGCTTCTGCACAGCAATGCGTGTACTAGCCAATGAACCGAATTCTGTTTGTGAGCTTGTGATGACTTCTAACTACCTCCTACGGGCATCAACTGCACGATATTCGATGAGCCCTGTGAAGAGTATGATTATTTTATCAAGGTGCTTAAAAACCCGGGCTTCCGCCGACTAGACATATCGCTGCTTGTTGGCGGAGAAGATGAGTCAGACCTTGAACCATGCTGGCGATCTTTTCTCAATGGCCGTTTACACCGTGCACTTAGTGAAGCAACAGAAATTGAGGACTTCAGACTACATGCGACATTCGATGATGAGCTTGCTTATAACGACGCATACCCCCTTATCCCTTTAAGGAACATTATACCTGTGGAAAAATGGCCAAATCTGCGCCACTTTGAACTATCGAGCTTTTCTATCTCACAAGATGATTGTATCTCCTTCCTTGGTACTCTACCGAAGACCATTCGGTCCATTGAACTTAGCATGCTAGACTTCCTTGATGATGGGTGCTGGTATAGCATGCTAGAAGAGATCCAGCGAATGGTATCTGAGGGTACTTTGTGGAGAGACCTAAGTACCACCTGCCGACCCAAGATTACGATCGGATTGTCAGCGGTAGATGGGGCTCCTCCAACATTTGGAAGGGCTAAATGGATTGAGAAAGAAGTACGGGATTTTGTGTGCGGGAGTGGGTCAAACCCATTTGATGAACCAGGCTCTATTGACATTTCATATGGGACCGGCGTATTGAAGGATGCATTTGACCCTAATTTTGAACGCCCAAATGTGGGTCCGAAAGATTTGATAAGACTGAACATTCGCAAGAAGGCTTCGGATTGGGACTATACTAAATACTGATCTGAACATTGGCGTTAGGGTGGTGGTGCCCTGGTGTCCACTGGGGAAGCATGAAGAGGCACATAGGCCTCTTTTGTCTATACTACCACGATTGCATTACCCCTTCCTCTCTCAGCAGTCAATCTCACCACTTAAACAACTAGCAAGCATGGTTAGCATAGCTGACAAATTGATAATTGGTCAATGTTCATGTACTCACGGGTTGTAGACTTTGCCGGGTTTTGAGTGGACGATGCAGCAACAGATGAGGGGATTTGCGACCTGGTTGCCTTAGTACTGGTAGGCTTCGAGAGCTGCACACAGTAGGACAGGCTGCTTCGAAGTGTGCAAGGATAGCCGTATACAGCAGCAGTTCTCTCTAGCGAGGGATTCCACAAAATGAAGTTCTTTAGGGGCCAGCCTGGATTAGTAGAGGAGCGAAGGATAGTTCTGTAATCCGCGGGAAATTGAAAGCGTACCTCTGGGGAGACCTCGTTTGTCATAGCCATCAACCAGCAATCTGCGAGCGCGTTATCGGTGGTGTTTCTCAACCACATATAACTAATCAAAATAAGCCAATGCTAGGTTAAGAACACTTATAAATCACACTTACTTGTAGCAGTCCCTCCTGGTGTCTTGGGCAAGGGGGATGACAGGGCTGGAATTGTTTTTCAAAGCACCGGCATAATCAGGTCTGTTAGCGGATGACGGAATGGAGGTCATGGAGACTTTGCTGAATCGATTTGAGGTACTTCCAGCATGGCCAGAGTACGCTGTAATGTCACCAACAGCCTGCACGCAGTAGTATACGTTTTTTTGAAGATTTGTGCAGTCCCTAGTTAGCTCAGAGTTCAGAAACATGCTGGATAATTGTCAATTTGCCGATTTGATCTCTTTGCGGAATGTTGCTGCGGGAAACTGACAAGTCAGATCTAGAAATTCCAGCTTTCTCCGTCACTGTGTCACAGGTTTCGTCTTTCCCAATTTTATGGTATTTCGCGCACTTCGTGTTTGTTCCGGAGACTATTGGCGATGGCACGGGACTGTATGATTTGTTGTCCATCAGTACTATACACAAGCTAACCACTTTTTGGGGTCTTCGAAGAAACATACGCTGTGGTGGTGACAATACTTTGAGAACCAGTTGCACCGCTCGAGACTGAAGAACCGATTGCAGGAATTGCATAGTCTCCGGAGGGATTGCTGACGCAGATCTCCTTGCCAGAGAGATCAGCCAGGTTCCTAAAAAGTATTCGTTGAGTTTCATTTCATTTGAACTCATAAGCGTGCGGTTACGTACGAGCAATCGCCATTAATATCCGAGTTCCATGAGAGCAACTGTGCCCATGTCACCCCACTCAATCTGCCGATAGTCGCACAAGTATCTCCTTCTTGCACTGTATAGGGTTTACAGCTTTGACTACCGGTAGCCCGGTGATGAAGGGACAGGTGGGCAAAGTGCGAAGCCTGCACGGAGGCGATCACCGCGAAGTACACCAGGCCTTTCATGTTGATGTCGATTTTCCCGGAAGTCTCGAAATGATTTTCGTCGTGGGCATGAGAAATACCCTCTACCCATGGTCAATGGAACAAACCTATCTATATGGTTGAAATTCCTTCGGGTCCACTTTGGGTAAGTAGCTAAAAATGATCTGCAAGAAATTAATCTCCCGAGTTTCACTTTCTGCAAGTCTTGTGGATATTCTAGATCCTGCTAGGGGCCGAACCACAGCATCGAGCTCGCCGAATGGCCTAATGGCTAAAGCAGTGGATCAATTAGACTCATTTGTTCCCGAGACGGATCGGTCCTTGCTTCGCCCATTTGCGCCGTAGCCCCAGAATACCTATTTTTAGATACTACAGAGTAGTCATCGCACTCGGCCAAACGCTGTTTGGTAGTTCGGCATAGTGCTTGTTCATCTTACGTCTCGGAATCCAATGTACCTACGCACGTTGTTGCCTGTCTCTCTCGTGCAATAAAGTCGACTTTTATCGCCAAGATTTGGGAGAAGGACAAAACTACTGGGGCCGTAGGCCTCAGGCCTAGCGGCATTTCCAGCTCACACTCCACGCATGCGGGACCAGAGTCTACATCTTTGTCCGAATTGAATTGCTTCCATTGCTTTGTATCGGCCGTTGCACCGATTTCACGCCATTTGTCATTAGAAAGATAGAAATAGCGTAAGGATTCCATCTCCATAGACCCAACGATCTTCATCTTTCATCTTCCGTCTCATCTTTGCACCTCTCTTACTAAAGCCTCAAAAACAGGAAAGTAGTGCTTCAAACACGGTCTTCCTTTTGTTCTTCCTCGTGGCGCAGAATGACGGCGAAATTGGCGCCCATCCTTTAGCCAGCCCTCGATAAGTACCTGTGGACATAGCAAAAAGCAAACATCGAGTCCACCTTCCTGCCAAGCAATCCACCTTCACTGCCCCTGCATATCAATCTGTATCTACGAGGTCCATAGTTTCGAGTGACCCACCGCGATGAACTCTAAATCGATCTACTCCGTACCCATACTACCCGCTGTTGCCTCACACTCCAGATGGCTGGATTAGGGCGATTAGAAGCCGTGCCTTCCTGGCCCCCAACGTAGAAGGGATCTCTTGAGCATATGATTGACTCCCACAGTGAATTTGTTTCAGAAAGTACCTCAGAATTCGCACAGAGTGGATATTCCACCTTCGGAAACAGTGAAAGGATGAGTGAACATACTATTGGGTCCAAACCAACATACATCGCTGTGTCTACTGGATTTGACAATAGACTCCCGGTTGGCAAAGATGAGTATTAATACCCCCCCTATGTACCGCATCCAAAGAGGCAGATTATTTGGCCCATAGCCTTTTATTTCGGCTATAAACTATACACAATGGTGTCCCTGGAACAACGACCCAATTCGCTCTTTCTGCTACTACTTTCCTTGTCTTTCCTGCTCCTTTTGATTACCTCTACCCATGCCAATTCTCTAAGTGTTGACGCCCTCGATGCCTCATCCTCCGCCAACGACCCATACACATGCTCCAAGGACAAACCATGCATAAATGGGGCTTGCTGTGGCAGCAGTGGCCACTGTGGATTCGAACCAGCATACTGCGGCAAAGGCTGCATGCACAACTGCAATGCAACTGCCACTTGTGGCAAGTATGCAAAGAATCCCGGACAGGGCTGTCCTCTAAATGTTTGTTGCTCCGAGTTTGGGTTCTGCGGGACTAGCAGTGAATTTTGCGACAAGCGGTGTCAATCCAACTGCGAACAGCCAAAACCATCGGTCGAGAAATCTGATGTTCAGAAACGTGTCATTGGATACTGGGAGGCCTGGAATATGGACCATAGCTGTGGAACCATGGAGCCAGGTGAAATCCCTGTTTAAATGCTCAGTCACTTGATTATTTCTTTCGGTTATATCAGTCAGGAGTATAAAATCACCAACATGGATGGTGTATCTCCTGATCTGTATAAAATTGTTGGCGATCTCAAGCAGCGGAATCCTAAGCTCAAGATTATGATTGCTCTCGGAGGATGGACTTTCAATGATCCCGGAGCTTGGCAAAGTGTTTTCCCAACCATGGTATCTAATCAAGCAAATAGAAAAACATTCATCGATAATCTTCTTGGATTCCTCTCTGAATATGGCTATGATGGGGTCGATTTCGACTGGGAGTATCCTGGGGCTGATGACCGAGGTGGCTCTGATTCCGATGGAGCAAACTACGCACAACTTCTTAAAGAACTCAAGGAGGTAATTGCCGCTAGTGGCCGCGACTATCTTGTCACCTTCACATCTCCAACCTCCTACTGGTATCTTCGCCATTTTGATCTCAAGGCAATGGCTGATAATGTTGACTGGATCAATTTAATGGCATACGACCTTCATGGTGTATGGGATGGAGAAAATCCAATTGGTAATCACATCCTTGCTCACACTAATCTGACTGGTATTGATGAAGCCCTTAATCTTTTCTGGCGAGTGGACGTCGAGCCTTCTCGTATTGCCCTTGGCTTAGGGTTCTATGGTCGAACATTTAAGCTCAAAGACGCTTCATGTTGGAAACCAGGGTGTGAATTCAGCGACCCTGGTGCTAAAGGCCCTTGCACTTCTACGAAGGGAATTCTGTCATACAGAGAGATCTCGCAAATCCGAAAAGATACCGGAGGCACTGCATACCTTGACAAGGAGGCCGCAGTCAGGTATATGGTATATGATGATGATAGTTGGGTCGCCTTTGATGACGAGACTACGTTCGAAATGAAGATCAAATATGCCAATAAAATGGGACTTTCTGGTCTAATGATCTGGGCGATCGATCTTGATGACAATCGTCTCAGCGCCCTTCGAGCTGTGTCTGACTCGGAGGTCTTAGAGAACAGTGGCGCTGGTTTCGATCTCGTCGATTACGCCAACATTTTTCCCTCCGACATCCGCCCATTGGATAAAACGAAGCCTGTTTATGGTATCTCGACATTCGGCTCTGCTGGCTCCCTGACTCCCAACGGAGGCGGTTTTGGCTTTCTTCTTCTTGCTGGCGAGTCTCATGCTTTATCGAGACTGCGAAGACGAGACAACGAGCCGGAGCCTTTCCACTTCCTCGACTGTCCGTCAAATGTCACAGGTGCCCCAAAAGATCAAGTACATACGGCTCGGGTCGTTTGCCTGAGCGAGGATCTCAATGGGTGCTTCCAAGTCATGGAGCGAGGTGTTGAGGGCACAATCGTCGAGATGCCCGACAATGTTAGTCTTGCATGTCCAATTTCCAGATGAGACCATTCTGACGCCCAGTTCCCAGTGCGCCCCTAACACGTTCGCCCGCGCTGTTTCTCTCGAGCCTTCTCAAAGTGAGTTTTCGGTCATTGAGTTTTGATGACCCTTACTCACCCATCACTCCAGACCAGGCGGTATCTGCCAAAATCAAAAAGCGAAGCCCTACCTCACAGGTTTACGATTTTAAGTTCGACTACAACATGGACTTGAGTCGGCGCGACACAACCAACAAAACAAGTATCCGCTTGGACTACTCCAACGTCGCGGGGTATTGGGATGAGATAGTGGACTCTCCTGGTATCGAGGACAACGACGGCGAGAAAGAAGCCAGATCCTTGGTCAAAAGGTTCTACTCTTCATCCACCCAGGACTGGAAGTCAAACTACGGGACGTCAAACACGAGATTCCAATACGAAAATTCCAATGGCATCCCCATCAAGCAAGATCTCAGTGAGCTCGTTTGGTATCAGACAGCCAGTGGCTGCGAATTCGTGGGAGAGGAGTGGGGCGAAGCCTTCGCGGCCTATGTCACCGGTGAAATTGATGCTGAGATGTATATTGGTTTTTCATTGGTTGGATCGTACTACCCTGGCAGCGATCTGGTTATAAACCAGGCCAATGGCTTTATCAAGGCTGGCGGTAGGAGTGATCTAACTTACGGCATTCGGGGCTTTGGTGAGGTCGATTTCTCCAGGGCAGATAAGGGAAATCCCAGCCACGGCGCGAAAAGATCCTTCAATTTGAAGGGAGCTACAATCAGTGCCGGTGACAACAGCTTTGTGTCTTTCAGCCCCTACCTTGACATCTCCTATGAGCTTGCCTCCCTGAACGGAAGCAACAATACAGACTTCAGCGACAGTACCACTAATTTCATTGGTCAGCTTGAGACACATGTCACTCAGGACTTTTCCAATGTTACTGCATTTTGGCCACTTGACTATCCAGAGGACAAGAAACCCGACTCTGGCTCATTTGCACCAAATGAGGTTTCTGTTGGGAAGGACAACAATATCTGGTTGAGCGACAGTAATGGCGGAAAGCTGGCTATCGGAACCTATCTGAGATTTGGTATGAATGTCGACCTTGATGTGCTCGGGGAGAGCAAACGAACGCTCGAGTCGACCGCAGTTGCAGATGTTAGTCTCTCACCGTCTACTACCATGACTGAATATTTTGTTTTCTAACTCTTATTAACGTACCCTAGATGTCATTGATGTACAATACCTTCACGGAATTTGCTTATCACCCCGCGTATGATCATCCGGATAAGTCCTGTTCTGATTTTACTGTCGCGTAAGTTAGCAACATGCCCGATTTCGATTTCAATTGCCATTAACATCTAAATATTCTTTTAGAACGACCGTTTTCCAGGAAGCCGAATCGTGAGCTCAATGCCCTCATTCCTTGGACAAAAGGATGTCTCTAACCCGCTCTTCATACACAGAAAACAGCTGACTAGCAGGGCTGGATGGGGAGAAACCTATTCAGAGCTTGGATCTGACAATGTGAGTTATTGTGCTCGGAAAATAGTTTTCATGCCCATGGCTTATTTCCCTCTGCGACAAAACAGCAATCACCTAAATCTGGATCCATCTGTTATTATAACCATGTTTTGAAGTCAAGCGTGAAGCGACACTTTGATAATAATGCCGATAACTCGACTATCTCTGCCGAAGATGAAGAGGTAAATGATCTCACGGCTCGCGGCGAGCCCGGCCAGTACGAGAGTGATATATTGAAAGGGGGCATCAAATATGGGGCATTCAAGTCTAGACCTCCAACCGCAGAAGAGATGCTAAACAATCAGGTGTATGACCAGATTGGGGATGCAAATGAAGGCGGACTTGGATGCAAGAACTGTGGATCTTGCACTGAAACAGATGAGGAGGGAAAGAAACCATGCTGCGGCTGCGTGAGTATGGACTATCGGTGGGGGTATAATGATATCCCGTCTTATGACCATTGTACCTGCTGTTCGACAAGCCCTACAAACGGTGATTGGCGCCGCGCGGGGAATGGGAATGTGATTCCGTTGGACAAAAAAAGATCCCTCGAGGAACCACTAGAGTTCGAAGAGGAGGAATTTGAGAGCAGCGAAACGTCTCATCAACTTGAAAAAAGAAAACATGGAGAGGCGGGGAGAGGACCAAAGTGGGTCAGCATATGCGATAAGCGTGACTATGCCCGTGGCCCTGGTACATATCCTCAGTTCCCGGAGGACCCAAATGCTCCTTGGGTTGGGATCCAAAACGGCAAATGGGATCCAATTTCAAGATGGTGGGGAAATACATCGTCCCTGTGCAGCGATTGGAGTGTCGGGGCATTGCAAGATGCTGACAAGGAAATCATCTCACCGACGAAAGTTCAACGAGCGATGTACCAGAGTAAGTAACGCCATCATGACGGTATGGAAGTTCGCTAATAGAGGTAGCCGAGCATGTCTTCGAAGGCCAGCTTATTGGCGATTTTTTCACCAATTGGCTTGACAAAGGTAAAATTGAGCATCAACTTCCAATGCCACGGAAACCGCAACCCAAGTTGTCATGCGCGAGTTCTATGCAACATGTTTGGGATGATAAGCGCTGGCCCGTTCTAAATTCCCGAGGGAAGCGTCCGAAGGAATCATTTTTCAAGGCTCTTCTGTCAGAGCTTGGCAGCAATGGCCACCTTGACAGGCTGACAATATTCAAAGCAAGAGCCAACGGAATGAAAGGCGCTGTAAGAAAGAATCAAGATCCCTCCTATTTCGAAGAAAAACATTGCTAACGAAAACCATAAGATGTTTGGAGGAAAGCAAGCTGTCGATTTGGTAGGAACATGGGGACAGAAATCGGCAGATGAACAGCTTCAAACAACCAAGACAATGGGCATGGTCTTTGAATACATGAACCACCCAGACGTATGGGAAAAGTTCTGTGACACATACGAGGCCATTTATAATCGTCTGGGTGAATTTGATGATTACCACGAACAACAAAAGACTGGTCTTCCCACTTTGCAGGATGAATGGCCCAAATTCATTAATGTCGTTCTGTCCTCCATGGCCACTCGGTCACAGGGGACTCTCTTGGCGATGTTCCACCTGCGAGCGTACGTACTTGACTCCTAATTTTCTGCGTTACCCCTTAGATCAATACTTACCAAGATTTCAGAGAACCGAGGAACAAGTTCTACAACATCATTTGGGGAATTAATGTTCTCAAAAATCACGCCAAGATCACTTTGCCTGGAAAGTGTCCTCACCTGCCCCGGTCCTAGATAATAAAGCTGAGAAAAATGAAGAGAGGGGAGCTCTCGTGATCGCTATGCATCGATTGTCTTTTAAGCAGAGAATTAGAGAGTAGTATGGGTACATTGTAGCACAAATGTAGCACAGATGAGTTTAGCATTGTTCGAAATGAAGTATAACCTGGGGAATATTCTCTCTCTCTCCCCCCCCACCCCCCATTTTTGTAGGTAAAAAGGTAAAAAGAAATGCAAAAAAGCCAATCAGCAGGGACCTGCAGAATCCTCAAATATTGACCCTTTGTCCCCCTTTCGGATATTTTGGAGAGGACGATCTCTTGACATTTGGTAATTCTAGTGACAGCGGCAGGATTCGAACCTGCGATTAGAACCGCCCTATTCTAAACGCCAGCGGTGCATTACCCATACCACCGCTATCTTTGCGGTAGTAAGGGTAATTACATACTATAGCTTGTACAGTGGCGTTGCAAAAGTTTGAAACCCCATATTGCCCACCATGATTTACCGCCTACTAATGGGAAACTAGTAGCTACCTGAGATGGAATAGATAGGCCAATATATTCCATCTCAGGTAGCTACTAGTCCGCGACTAGAAGGCGGAGACAAGAACAATCAACATGGGGTTTCAAACTTTTGCAACGCCACTGTAGTATCTATACTATAGTCTATACTAACTACTATATCTACATTCTTTGCTGCGTGAGTAGTAGTACTACGACTGTATTGATAAATACTACTGGCAATAACCCTGATACCCTCAGATCTCATATCTCATATCTCATCATGATATTCTTCACCTTCTTCTGCTCGGAGATCCCCCCCAACCAATCGGCCGTTCAACTTTCACCTTCCGCGTGACTCCGCAGTCTCGCACTTCTTGTTGTTTTCCTTCCCTTTCCCTGTTTTCCTCTGGGGCTCCCCTTTTCCCTCTTCATCCAACCCTTCCAACTCCCACAATGGCAATCAAATCCCTTCTTCTTCTGGCAACAGCTGCCCTCGCGACGGCGGAATTCTCCGTGGTCTCGATGTTTATCCCCGACGTCGAGGGCACCGCGCTGGTCGCCTCAGTCATCGCCCAGGTTGGTTGAGACCCTTGAGACCCGCTGATCGACACGACCTCCACTGACCATGAATTCCTTCTCTGTACGGATCAGACCGCTGGCACGACCACCTACAGTATCAATTGTCCGCCGGGAACTGATAGCAGCGACTGCGGCGTGTCACCGGGCCTGTTCCTGACCTCGGGACCAAAGAAAGTGGAATATTCCATAAGCGAGGGAGATTTGTATTGACCCTTCCCCTTCCCCCTCAATTGATCGGAATAGTCGACTAATTTCCAATTCTCCTTCAAATAGCTACGGTCGCATGATCTGTTCCTTGGGAGGCACTACGACCGCCGTCTGCACCGATATTAACAGCGGCGCCGGTGCCAACTTCCCCGGAACACACACAACCACCCTGGCGAGCAGCGATATCACTTCCCTCCCCGTGACCATCACCGCTGGCGCGACCACGGGTGCGGCCTCTGACACGTCCGCGTCTACCACTGAGTCCTCGACGACCGCCACCTCGGATACCCCTGCTTCGCAGACCTCGGCATCGAGCTCGGGAGCGATGGCTTCGCCCACCAGCTCCAGTACTGGTGGCATGTCGCAAATCACCGGTGCGCCCGTGCTCGCTCTGGGCGCTGCGGTCGCATTCGTCGCAGGCGCATTGTAAAGGCTTGTCGGGGCAGAGCGTCTCGCAAAGCACTGGCGGCTGGCAGAACATATATTGGGGTCCATGTAGAATACTAATCATATGCATATACGATGAAATTTATACTAATCATTGATCGTTTGATATGCACAAGACAGTAAACATTCAGAAAATTGCTAATAGTCGTCTACTCATCCGTGGTTCATACACCCGTTGCTGACATCCTGGATCTCACAGCCTCCTGCACCAACCCAGATTTGAGAGAGGTACTCCGGAGATGCATGTCCATACCAAGACGTGAAGAACCCGTCTCAGCTCTTGGTGATCTCTGCCATTTGTCCCGAGAACTCAATACGAGAACTCAATACGAGAACTCAATACCGAGACTGATGTCGCATAAGCCCCCAACTTTCTACCTCGGATGTTCGACTTTGTGAGCCATGAATCCCTCCAAAAGCTTGAGTTTGTAGCCTGGGATGGTCAGAGTCACTGGCTTCAATGCCGATGTCGGTCGATGGGGAGACCGCCTATCTGAAGAGATCCATAGGGAAAGAAAGAAAGAAGAATGTGTGATCGTAAAAGGTACATGAATTTGAAAGACTCTCGTGGTATCTTGCTTATAACAGCAACGCAATGCTAAACTCTGGTTTCCTCTCTCCTCATCATATGTGCTCTTGACTGCATGCATACTCAAACCAATGATTCCTGCTGGTGATTGACAGCCGGTGCGGCCACATTTTCCCTGACTTCAGTACCTTCAACACCCGCCTGCGAGTTGTGATTGGGTGTTGTGGATGGATCCTGCGCAGTGCGAGGACGACTGTCGGAAAAGGGATTGTCTTTCAACATCACCGACGAGCGATCCGGCAACAGATTGGCGGTCGAGTTGGTCTTGGTGTGGCTCAATGGTTCTGCGGAGGCTGCGGAAGCTTTCAATAACTCTCTCGCGGCGATTCGCTTCGTCTTGGCTCGGTCCCGGGCACAATGAACGATGCTGATGCCGAGGAAGAGGGAGATCAGACAGACTGAGAAGGCAATCGCAGCGATATTCCCTTTTCGGTTCCACTCCTTCACTTCGGCACTGGTTGTGCTGGTGCTGGTTGCAGTGCTGGTAGTTGTGCTTGCGGTACTTGTTGTTGTTGAGCTGCTGCTGGTGGTGGTGGTGGATGTCGTGGAGGTAGAAGTGGAGGTGGAAGTGGAGGTGGAACTGGTGGAGGTGGAAGTAGTTGAAGATGTGGTTGTCGAGTCTGAGGTTGTGGTTGAGGTGCTCGATGTAGAAGAAGTCGTGGTTTCCGAAGTGCTCGTTGTTGAAGTCGTCGTACTCTCTGTTGTTGATGTGGCCGAGTCGGTGGTTTCGGTCGTGGCACGAGCGAAGAGCCTCGCTTTCTCATCGTCCTCATAATCTCGGATTTCCAGCACTTGGGTTACCTCCCCACAGCTCTGGCTAGCAGAGATACTGTTGATAGTCTCGAGTGATGGTGCCAGATCGGATGGAGGATGGTTATAGGGCTGGCAGAATACCGGAGCACATTGTGCAGCCAGAAGAAAGAGAATTGGTTTCTTCATTTTTAATCAAGTTTGATGCAAGGAATTTGTTAATTGGGAGATAAGATGAGGGGAGAAGGAGAAGAATCAAGGGTTTATTAGACATTATCTAGTATTTGACGGCATGAAGGGGGAGGGGACGACGCGCCACCCTCGTCTATGCAAATGGTTCCACCGATTCTATTTTCTCCCTTCATGCCTGGCTAGATCGCTTCCATTGCTTCGAGTGCTTGCGTTGATGACCTGCTTAGCCACTGCAAAATCCGGATGGAAGCTCGGGATAAGGGCTATTTTTTGCCTGGCATCGCGGTGGAGGTGGGTTTAGTTCGATGGCACACGCACACGCCGCGCGGCGGATTCCCCACAGGGCTGAGGCGTTTCCTCTGCACCGCGTGGTTCCTGTCAAATTTTCTCTGAGCCTATTTCTAGAAGGCTCATCTGTATTTCTTATCGAGAGAAATCACCGAGTCGATCTCCAAAAATTTCCCTTCTGCACCGACCTTGAAGCAGATTATGAAAATATAAGATGAATGGATAAAAGGAGCTGAATGACGCTTATGATCCCCATTCCCATTGGCCACTCCATTTTTTCGCCTGGCTGATCACGAAAATCAATTTCTGCTAAAGTCATTTCCGTCCATCCAACTACCTTTGCGAGGCATTGCTGCTAGATTTCGCTAGTTTTCTGGGAAATGCGATCTGCTTGATGTCTCACTCCAAGGCAAAAAGTCATACCCGCCCAGCCTGGAAAACCCTAAGCTGCCCTCCAAGCAATCCAACATAATTCATCTATCCACTCCTTAACTCCGTAACAATTTGTGAAAATCAATCAACTATTTTTTCTTCATGTGTTTTTTCCCCAAGGTTTTTATCGTATTTCAATTTCTGGACGATCGTGGCGTCGCCGTGATCTCGAGCCTCAACGTTGAGGACCCACAAGTTGGCCCTCCACTCTTGAATAACTAGTTCAATTAGTTACTCTGCAGTGAATGTGCCAAGTGGTGGTTGTTTAGGGCTATATTCTATTATTGTCATTGCCGCGTTCAAACCAATCTCCATAATATTCCCGACTCTACATCATCTATGGCTTTTGGGTTTTGCGCATATCGCGACAAAGAGTGCCAGACGATCTTAGTGTGAAGTCTGGATCGAACGTTCTGTTGTGAGTGAATCGCATACCTTATTTTGAAAAATATAGTGTGAGTGCTTCGACTACTTCAATCCATCTGGACACTCTTCCCAAGCTTGAACCCTGAACGAAACCCATTCGAGCCCCTCCGAGAATAGCTTCTCCCTGTCGTCGCCAGTAATTAGGTCCTGTCCAATCCTGCTAACCAGTTAGTACTCGCTACAAAAATCCAAAACATCGAAACACTCAAATCCATGTTATATGACGCGCTGTGTGAACGTTGTTGACCGCTCTGAACGCCACACTCTTTGATGGCAAGGATCGACACATTCGGATCTTGTTTTGGCTAGACTAGCTTCTCGATCGAGGAAAGATTGTAACCTTGGAAATCCGGGTAGACCCTTCATTGGGCAGTTAATCTATTTTATCATGACAATTTCCATCGTGACGCAATATAGCAGCCCCCCTGGGGAATGGAAGGGAAATGGAAGGGCATCACAGCACGACAACAATGCTACGATACTCGTTTCATTGAAATGGGATATTCAATTCGACCAGTATCTAGAGACTCAGCTATTAACCATCGCTGATTAGTTCTCAGTCCTTAAGGCACCTTCATAAGGGAGGAGGGTGCGGCTAAAAGCATATACATGCCGTCGAGTTGGAATGCGCATTGACGTCAGCCACTCAAACCCATTGGGCATGCAAGGACCTGACGACGTAAAGCGGTGCTCCGATCGACGTGGCTTTCTTGACGTCAGTACTAAGGTTTTACATGGAGAAATGACAACTCAAGGCAAATCCGCTCTATATAATGGCCCTTGGCGACCATGCCGAGAGTACTCCAAACTTGAACCCCAAAAGTACCACCACTCGCAGATAGTTAACACCCATCATTGGACAATTTCCGCTGATTGAATCAAACCTCCTTCTTTTCCCCACCTTCCATCAAAGCTCATCCATTATGCCGATCTTCCATCGCGACTCCATCGCGAGCTCGTCTTCCTCAGGCCACAGCATCGACGAGCCCCATCAGGCCCACCGCAGCAACTCATTGTTTGGGGGTCGTTCCACCCACTCGGAGCACTCATCTAGATCTTCGAGATCCTCAAGGTCCTCGAATTCAGGCGCAGCGCATCATAGCCGTCGTCACCATAGTCTCTTCCAGCGTTCCCCCGAGGACCCGTCGATTCAAGCTGCCCGTGAGCAGGTTTTCCGTGCTGAAACTGCAGAGCGAGAAGCAGATAAGGCGCTCATGGCATCTAAATTGGCTGTCAAGGAGGCTAGGGATCATGTAAAGAGCATTGAGCGTGAAGCCGCTGAAGAGTGAGTTATCGTAAATATCTTTGAAGGTTGAGAGTGCGAAAGAATACTGACCAGAGAAACACAAGAGCACGAATGGCCAAGATCAAACAGGACCAGGCCAAATCGATCTCGAAGAGAGCCAAGCCACTTGGACGTAAGAATTCATTGACGCAAAAAGATCCATGATGAAATAGTTGAGATTGACTAACTATGATACAGGTCATCATTAAGTCAGGTTTTATTGCACACCAACCTTCTGGGTCTTTTTTGTTCTCATATGATCTGTCCATTATGCCTCCTTTTGGAAAATTAGCTTTTCCACCAGAAGCTGTATTATACTTGCTCAGTTGCCACATCCGGGTGATGTACGACTATCACTTGCCATGTCATTTTCGCTTTCATGGAATTGTATTTTTATTTTATTGTACTATAATTTCTATTGCTATTACTATGATGCGAAATGAAATCTACCGACAAACTTTAGTCAAACTCTATAATTATCTCTTCTCCACCCGTTTTCCTATTTTGCCCTTCCTCGTCCAAAATGCTAGGATCACACTCAAAAATATGCTTCTCTCATTTAATCCATCATAATCATGGAATATTCTAGTCCGCACGTGGGTTACATTCGGAATGTTACTCCATAGCCGGGTGACAGGGTCGGGTTTTCGAGGCCCGATGTATGCGACTTTTGTCGTTGCACAATCAAACCAGTCATACTGTCGTCGGAAGAATAGTATCCACGGCTCATCATTGCTGTCCGACTGGCATGTAAGCCTCACTTATAGACTGAACAATAACGGGGAACAGGTCTTGTGCCCTTGCCACTTGTCTGTATCTGGCCAATAGTGCGAATATGATATTGGTATTAATGAGATGCACCACAGGGGTAGCAGAAGCTTTTTTCGATAGTTGCATGCGCTTCTCCTTTCTAAATTCCGGATTATAGTGGGTTTGCTGCTTGCAACCTCTCGCGCGAGCGCGTGAACTCTGACATAGATTGCTCCAAGCTTTGAAGACCATCCAATAACGCTTTGGATGACTGTGTTCAGGCCAAAGGTCATCATATAGTATGCACGTCCTCAATGAAATACCTTCCATATAGTTACATCCTCTGGCGATCAGCTGCCATGGCCTCCCATCATTTCTTCGGACACCCCATCCCTTTATTAACAGCTCTATGACCACTTTCTTCTGAAACCATGTCTCAGACCCAAGCCGGAAAAGTTTACAATTTTTTGGAGCCGAAACTCAAATCAGTATGATCATAACGAATATTATTGCAGTTATTGTATCCTTATTGGGCATCATAGTTCAGGCAGTGCCTCGTGTTTCGGGTGAAATCCGGGAGAGCAAGAGACAAGCCCCAAACCGACTCGTCTTCGCGCATTTTATGGTACGTTTACAGCTTCTACCGAGCTTATGATTCTTTTATTCAGACATCATTTCCCTGATATCTTGACCTGTAGATTGGGATTACCAGTGACCGTCAAAGCTCCTCTGATTATGACGATGATATGAAACGCGCCAGTGCGCTGGGTATAGATGCATTCGCATTGAATATCGGGGTGGATCCCTATACGGATCAGCAGTTGCAGCTTGCTTATGATTCAGCCGCGAGAAATTCAATGAAAGTATTCATATCATTCGATTTTAATTGGTGGAACACCGGACAGGCATTTGCCATAGGCCAAAAAATTGCACAATATGCGGACAAACCGGCACAGCTAATGGTCGACAACAAGGTTTTTGTCTCGTCATTTGCCGGAGATGGGCTGAATGTAGGGTCCCTGCGTGACGCCGTTGGACGGCCAATATTTTTTGCGCCAAACTTTCACCCGTCATATGGAACTGATACATCATCTGTTGACGGGCTACTTAACTGGATGGCATGGCCAAACAACGGCCAAAACAAGGCTCCCTCGGCGGGACAAAATGTTTCTGTCGCAGATGGCGACAATGTCTATGTGAACGCTCTCGCCGGAAAGGCTTACATTGCACGTGGGTTGCCTCATTCCCCTTTACGATAGTCGCATAACCTATAGCTAACAAATTTATTGGCATAAAACAGCGGTTTCTCCATGGTTTTCGACCCACTTCGGCCCCGAAGTATCCTATAGCAAAAATTGGGTATTCCCATCCGATTTACTGTGGTACAATCGGTGGAATGAAATTCTTGAACTAGAGCCCCGCTTCATTGAAATCGTGACATGGAACGACTATGGCGAGTCACATTATATCGGCCCCTTGAAATCCATTCATACTGATGATGGGGCATCAAAATGGGTCAATGATATGTAAGACATAAAAGGAAACCCTTGCCTACTACACGTATTTTGCTGATTTTGTCAGGCCACATGACGGGTGGCTAGACATCTCCAAGCCATATATTGCAGCCTTCAAGGACGGAGCAAAATCAGCTGCCAAATACATCACATCAGATGAGCTGGTTTACTGGTATCGACCAGCCCCACGTGATGTGAACTGTGATGCGACTGATACATGCATGGTCCCAGCGAACAATGGCAGCGGAAATTATTTCATGGGCAGACCAGACGGTTGGCAGTCTATGCAGGATGCTATATTCGTTGTATCCCTTCTCCAATTCCCTGCAACGGTGCAGGTCAACAGCGGGGGGACTCTCTATCAATATGATGCACCAGCGGGGGCATATGCTCAGCAGGTTCCAATGCAAGTTGGGACTCCATCGTTCACTGTTCTTCGCAATGGAAACAAGGTCCTTTCTGGGACAAGTCTGAAACCAATAATCAACGGCTGCGTCTGTGGATTATACAACTTCAATGCCTATGGTTTGAAAATTTCCTTCCGAATCCAATAGAAAACACTCCGCTAATTTCAAATTAGTTGGAACGCTGCCACTCGAGTTTAATGACCCTCTTCAGGCAGACGGATTGGCAGCTTTCAACCAAGGCGTTAAGATTCAAACTTGCCAAGCTACTCCATCACTTGGTACAGTACCTCCAGCATCCACAGCTCCCACAACGACATCTATAATAGGCTCTACTTCGCCGAGTTCCCCACCGACTACGACTCCTCCCACCAGCCTGCCTCCGACTCCACCTCCCACTCCGCCAACGGACTGCCCAACAACCTGTCCTACGGGTGGTGGTGGATACACAATAACTTCCACCACTACCACCACACAGTTCAATACTGTGACTGTGACCCAAACTCTCCCATGTGCTCCTACTGGGGGAGGTGGTGGTAGCGGCGGTAGTGGTAATGTGTGTACTGGCGGAACTGGCCCAGGAAATTATGTTGGTCTTTGCAATTTCTGCTGCAGTTATGGATACTGCCCCCCTGGATCTTGTACTTGCACACAGTATGGAGCGTCTATTCCCGCGCCTCCAAGTACCGGATGGCATGGTGCGCCCCTTACAGGGGAAGATAATTCCTACTTAGGGCTTTGCAGTTTCGCTTGCGATCACGGATACTGTCCCTCGACAGCCTGCAGGATTGTCTAGAATTCGCTTGATCTTTCCAAACCACTCTAGATAAAGTTCACATAGTGTCCGAGAGAATGTATATCATTTCTTGAATTGGCGCGAAAAGATCAAGGGGGATTCCAACACGAACGTATTACATTTATTTATTATAAAAACCACAATCTTCTTGAATTCAGTCAAATTCAACTAACTGAAATGGCACAAAATTTTCAAAGTCCACTTTATGACAAGTTTTCACCGTCCAATGCCAATTTCTACCTTTTTACCCCGCGATCGCCAAGTCGCGGTCGTGGTCAAGCTGTTATCAGCCCGGATGACACCCGTTGGACGCCTAATAATACGCCGCTTATCCATGTAGGCTGAATGCGACGCAAGACGGAATTAACGAGGCCCCGCTATAAGTACAGGAGCAAAGTGGCAGCTTATTTTCCCACGCTATCTATTTCCACTTCAGAATCCCTATCATGATCCCTATTCCAGACTGGATACTTCACCATATCTATGGGCTTCCATGTCCGACAACCGGTAAAAGAGATGAGAAGACACGCATGAAAGTACTTGCTGTCGGTATCTCACGGTCAGGAACCGAGTCCCTACGCGAAGCGCTCCACATTATCGGATTCGAGCATACTCACCATGGGTTCGACACGATTCTCCCACCGTCATCGTTGGAGACAATATATCGTCTTCTTCAAAAGAAATATAGCACATTCGAAAATGATAAGCAAACACAACAATTGAATGCAGAAGACTTCGACATGGTTCTAAGTGATTGCGTGGGTGTTAGCGACCTCTTCGCGGCGGAATTCGCAGTAGAGCTGATCGCCGCATACCCGGACGCCAAAGTAATTCTCAACATCCGCAAAGATCTTGATGGCTGGTATTCCAGTATGGATCAGACCATGGGTTATTTTGCTCGAAATCCGATCGATTGGGATTGGTGCAAAAGCTGGTTCAGCGCCGAGCTGTTTTGGATCCGCCAAACAATGTCCCGGACGATGATGCCCCGGTTCTTTCGGGGAGATTTTCATTCCCGTGGGAAATTGATTTACAAGGAGCATGTTGCCATGATACGAAGCTTGAATCTTCCAGAAGATAGATTGTTGGAATGGTCGGTAGAGGATGGCTGGGAACCCCTTTGCAAGTTTTTAGGCCGAGGTGTTCCAACTACCATTTTTCCTAATGGTAACCCTCCGAAGGCCTGGGCAGACCGCATCGCAAATACGATGCAAAAGCATCACGAAAAGGCAGTCACGAATATGATTTTCTTCGGCTCGGCCGTAGTTGTAGCATCAGTTATTTCATGTACTTACTTATCTATGCGTTAGTTAAACACATGCAAACTTGAACATCAAACAATTAACTACTACTAGTACTAATACTGACTTGAACTTGAAGTCATACAGGGACTTGAACAACTGTATGATCCGATATATAGTTACTAGCTATGCACGCTGGCGCACTAATGACATTTTCAAATAACCAAGACTTCTAGCTCCTCATTCTATGAGAAACGCGAGAAGATATGGTAGATTTCACCAGCGACACCTTTTCATTCCTAATCAGGAGCAAGATCTCCTAGTCCTATAAAATTTTCAATTTCGAGATAGGTAAGCCCTCTCAGACAGTAACAGCAGTCAGTCCCATCGCATGGAAATATTGAATCAGGTTTTGCGTTATGTAGACTTCCTGCACCAGGCCAGTACAGTTATCTAGGACCAGAAAATCGGCCCCGTCGTAGGTCACTGCGGCGCCCGCCTTCAAGGGACTGTAGTGCTGTTAGGCCGGTTTTTCAAGCATAAAAAGCTGTCAAACTGTTGGACTCACGTCGGAAAAAGTGTGAAGTTGCTACCAATCACTCCATGCATTGCCCATCGAACGGCAACAGAGTCTTTATCTCCCGTTGATCTTATGGGGGTGAATGTATATCTCTTCCGGCCCTTTCGCGACCTCTGAACAAAGGCGACAAATTCGTCTCGGTTGGTGACACTAATCAGATCACTACCCTTGCCAGTCGAGGATGGAAACCGGTCGGAATGAAGGACAACATCGGGGTGGAAAACTGTTTCTGCGAGAGCCAGATTTCCGCTCCATACATCAAGATAGTCATCAAGAACACGCTGGTTCCTCGTGTTGACAAGTTCGGTTTCACAGCATGATGGAAAACCGATGGCTGGTGCGATAATGAAGGAGAAGAGGAATAGAACTTTCGTGATGATCATCTCGAAATATTTTTCGAGCAGGAGAGTTAATTTTTTTAAGGCTTGAGAGATATTGGCCAATTTTCTGAAGTTTGTACGAAAATCATGCGCCTTCTTCCCCCTTTATAGCTACTATTTTCATTAGGCTGGTCACGACGACAACAGTCAAATTTCACCTGAGGGCCCGAAACGCGGTAAATTATGAAGAACGGCTCAACAAAGTATACGCCTGCCGTTTCTGCTCACGGAAAAGCCTCATCAATAATGTCTCTCGATCTTTGGTTGGGCATCTTGGGAATTGGCCCCCAAGTCCTCGGCATCCACTCAAAAGTCAGCAAGCAAGGCGCGCAGAATGTACCCTTTTAGGCTTAGTCTCCAAGGCTAACAAACCCCAGTAATCCCCCCCAACTCAAACGTTGTCAGGCTGCCAAACACTCAGCTTTTGGACTCTAGCTCTGGTAGTTACGAATCATCCGTTGTATACAAGGAAAATCGGGCGGTACCAGGCCTTTCCGAGTGTTGTGATCTTGAGCACTCACTATCGACGGACCCCATTTTAATAACCCCAGACTCCCAGCGTGATGGTAGGAGTGCCTGGTCGGTCAAAAGCATGCCGTACTTGTAGAAGACGGAAGAAAGGTGTAAGTTCCAGGTCATTTCCGAGTCCCACGATCTACGGATGAGCACGCAGAGTTCATAACTGACTAACCACATGACTAGTGCGACCTGCAGCAACCCACCTGCGGCCAGTGCAGAAAGGCATGCATCAAGTGCGACGGGTATAAGGACGGTCTGGAAATCTACCAATACCATGTCCCCGAGTCCCATTCCGAGATATCGTCTTCAACATCGCCATTAATCTTTGAGAGGGCCGAAAAAGGATATCCGATCTCTTCCCCCTGCGCCGGGTAACGCTTTGTCCCTTTCCAAAAGTGCATGTCAATCGGGCCTAGAAGCCATATTCTGGACCAACTATATGCCCAACGGCCACTCGTATCCACTGTTTAATGAAACGATTAGAGCCTTGGGTGGTTCCATCAGCGCGTTACAAGAAATTGTTCCCGAGAGCAACTTACTGAAAATTGGACTCGGGGCTCTGGCATTGAGGTCTATTGCAAGCACAGAATCAGGTACGGAATGGATGGAAAGAGAAGCGCTCAGATTGCATACTCTCTCTCTCCAGAAAACAGGGGCGGCCTTAACAGCCCCCAGGACCAGAGATCTTGAGTTGATTGGCGCAACCCGTGTACTGAGTTTCTACGAGGTATCCACATCATCATGCTTGAATATGCCACCTAGATTTGACTGACAAAATGCCAATAGGCCTTGTATGGTGGGGAAACTGGAAATACCATGGCGCACTACCTCGGCTGGAAAGCTCATCATTCTGGGGATCTTGCAATTACCCTTTCCAAGCACCCATTATTCTTCGCCACTGGCCGAGCTCACAGGCTATTTGCCGATGGAAGGTTCAACCACGTACGAATAACTCCTCTAATTTTATTAATATCTCAAACGCTAATTCTGAATTTAAAAAGGCCGTCTGCGCGATACGTATTCGAAGAGCCTGTGCCCTCAGCAACACCGATTGGATGACAATTCCTTGGATTCATCACCCAAAGACACCCAAAGATCTGCTCATAGATATTGCCGTGGAGCTTCCTGGTCTTTGTGAGGGCATCGATGGTCTGACATTGCTGGGAAATTCCGCCGCTGCATCGAAGTTGAGGACTTTGCTTCGCAGCAGAGCTTTCGAAATAATCGCAAAAATAGCTATTTGGGAAGCAACACTATCCAAGCCCACGATCTTGCTAGATCCGGACGAGCCACTACCAGAGACTATCTCGAGCCAAGAACTTGCAAATAGTCACCTTATGACTTTTTTCTGGGGTATCAGTCTTAACGTCTACGGCCAAATTCTCCCGATTCTGGACGAAGCTACCGAGGCCTCTCAACTCAATCCAGATGCGTGTTGCCGTAATATCATTCGGTCTCTACCCTTGCTTCTCCATCCTTCAGTTGGGACATTTCGCCAGCATCTCGTTCCTTTCCCGGTGATAGCCTGTTGCGCATACTTAGCAGCTTGTAAATCACCTTCTATGCAGCCGGAGCGAAAACTTCTTGTCTCATTTTTCCAGAGACGAGAGTTTGCAGCGATGCGGCCATTTATGTCGAGTATGAACTCACAAATCTCATTGTTCACTAATACAACCTAATTCAAGTTTATTCAACATACAAAAAGCTTGAATATTGGAAAGTCTCGGTGGTCCTGCTAGGCAGCCACCCGCGTTTGTTTCTTCCGTCACGCCCGTGAATATCACCAATCTCCAACTCCTCTTATCTACCTCACGTTTCCCTTCCTCCCTTTACAGAGTTCTCGTCCTTAAAACTCCTCTCAACCTCAATTTTCTTCTCCGGGCTTCACATTCGGCTCGGTCTGCAAAGGTAAGTCATTGCTCCAGCCTTCTTGCCCCAGTGATAGTGCCAGCACATCCGTTCAGTACTCAGCTCACCCTCACCTCTTCCTCTTCACTAGTAGCCATGGCACGTCGCGGATTCTCAATATTCGACCCTTGTCGGATCTCCAATCGGGAGCCCTGCGCGAAGATACAATCCGGTTGTGGCATCTGTGGTAAGGATGAACCACTTCTGGGATGCTCCCGATGCAGAGTGATGGTTTACTGTGGCCGCGAGCATCAGGTCGAACACAAATCCACCTGCAAAGCTATTGAAAGGGCCCGAGCTTCCCTGGAAGAGCAAGAGCAGATTCTGCGTGATTCATCGAGCAGCGACCCCTTCATTCATGGCAGTATCAACGAGTTCGGACCCGAGATGCGCTCCTATATCCTCCATCGATGCGTGCTAGTGGGAATGATCAGCGGGATTAACACTCGGGAAGCAGTTGAAAAGCAGTTGGAACATTCCATGGAGATACTTCGCCTATGTCCGAAGGACAACTTGGGTGCACGCAAGACTGTAGCTCCAATGATGATTCGCCTCAACCAGGACCGGGAATGTTATGCTTTTCTCAAGTCTTGGGTGCTGGTTTCCAATCGCTCATATGACAACTGGAGCAATCCTGGGTTGCCACGCTTCAATGTTGAGAGTGCTGATATATTCGAGTCCGTGGATATGTTTTTGGGCTTGAATATCGGGATCTCCCTGACCGTGCCTCTCTGTCTTCTGAAGCTGAAGACATTTCTCGATTTAAGCCTGGTGGAAGCTCAAAAGGGATCTGCTCGGTCTACTGGCCCCGTCGGGACTTCTCGAGAGTATTTCAACTCGCTACGAAATGCAGTCACTCGCAGTCAAGCATTACTATCGACCCCCAACTTCACCAATCCGACCACTCGCATCTCCACCCTTTCGCGGCTTCAATTTCAAGTGGACGTGCTGTTCAACGAAGTCAACAGGACACACCCCGACTTTTGGCCCGCTCTCCTCAATCCCCAAGGATTTCTTGATCGCCCTTTCGTGGTTACAAGTGGTGGAGAAGATTTCGTGGATGAGACGCAGGGAATTCTGAGTGCCTCATATGACGCTTGGCATGACACGATCGGTGCAATCACTTTCGTTGAGGGGAAACTCGGCCACCGACGGTAAGATTCTGGACGATCATGCTGGACAGACAAATCGGCCAGGGGGGATCATGTTAAGGATGGATGGATGGGATACACTGCGAGCTGGGATTAGGGCTATGGAGTCAGTGAGGGTGGAGAAAATCTAGCAGCCACGGGAGGTGATTATCGAAAGCTCGACTGGAGGAGGAAGCATAAGGATCTAAATGGATATGGTAAATCAGATCACCATGGACTGCTTTATTCAACGAACTGCACACTGATAACATCATTCAAATCATAAATTTAAAATCCGTAGAATAACAGTAACCTCTCCTTGCCTGCTGTAGTTACCAACCTGCCTGAGGATTCATACATACATTTAGACCAACCAATGAAACTCGAACTCGGAGAAGATCGGAGCGAGTGGAGCTCGCTGGGGCTCATCGGGAAACGCACCGGTGGAATTGCCGACCGAACGGATCAAATCAATTGGCAATAATTGAAATTAAATCCATGCACTCCGTACTCCGAACGAGAAGCACACTATTTACTAGGGTAAGGCCCGTCGGTCGCAATTTCGACTCGTCGTCCAACCGCAGTCCACGCGGCCGTGCTCATTGATGTGACATGGCCCCCATTCTCATCCATTGCCGTCGGAAGATCTAATCCGATGTTGCGCCGAATTTGGCCAGTTGTACGGAGTACTCGTATGGATTAAACTCCATAGCGCAGAGCAGAATTGCTTATATGGAATACAGATACGGGCTAAACACTTGATGGATGACAACTTCTACTCGTAGCAGTTACTCCTCCCGATTTCAAAGATAAAGCTCCTTGGGGGTATAAATGCTGATTAAATTAGCGCACATCGAGACAATGCATGTCTTACACATAGTGTCGAGATGATACATCATGCAGATGCACCTCCTGTTAGCCCTCGGAGGAGCAATTATATCCCAATGTTCCCCTAAGCTTTGCACTTTTGTACTTAGATGTCCTCGAGGTGCATATCGGAATACCCAGTTTGCAAAAGCTACAGCCGTCCCATGATTTGTAGCGACGCGACCGAGTTCGAGTCTCGCAAAAAAGGTACCAATATGCCACATGGATGTACATGCACATGCTCTCTCCGACTATTGTATGATTCTCACCTACAGAGTGCATATGTATACTACCTCATGTACGTGCCCGTGTCTTTCGATGGATACGAGTACCCTATAGTTATTATCCACCCGCCCGACTTACCGGTGAGAAGCACAAGCCAATTGAATTAGATCTTGGCTTTAGCCACGGCCCCAGTCTTCAAAACCTGGGCCGTGACAAGAACTACAGCGCCTAGCAAGAATGTCAGGCCTCCCCAAATCTGCGCACCGATATACCCATTGAACTTGGCAATGAGAGCACCGTCGAGTGGAGGACCGGTGAGACAAGCAAACCTAACAATCGTAAATCCCATGCCAATCCGGACGCCGGTTCTGCTCAAGTCCGGGGTTAAGCTAGACAATGTGGAGGGCCAGAGGCCCTGCACCCCTTTGGAGAAGGTCCCGTAGAGCACGGCCAAAACATACAACCCGGGCGTTGAGTGTACGGCGGTCCAACAAAACATCATCAGACTAGCGCCGAGAGTCAATGGTATAATAGTGTTTAGGGGTCCAAATGATCTATCGGCCCAGATAAGCGGGGATAAGGCGACCGATAATCCCAGACCCAATGGTCACAATGATGAGCGTATTCGAGTCTTCGTAACTGAGGCCAAGAACACTGCGTCCAAAGGTGCCGATGTAATAGAATGCAAAATCAAGACCCCAGAAGTTCAGAAACATGCCGAGGCAGAACAAAACATACGTTGGATTCTCTGAAAGCCACCCAGTCCACAAAAGGACCCGATCTACGTGGTGGCAATCGCGGTTGCAACAGTGTCATGGCAGGGATGCTGGTGCCCAGCATGACGAACCCCAGTATTCGGACTGTCCACGCAAAGCCGATCGCAGGAATGAGCGTTTTGACTAGGCCGGGGAAGAGCATGCCTCCGGTTCCACTGCCCACGAGGACACAGGCCAAGGCGAAGACCCTTCGGTCGGAGAAATATGTGGCGACCAGTCCCGTCACAGGGCAGAACTGCAAGCCATTGCCCAGGCCAGTGCACACACCTTGAGCGAGAAAGAGTTGCCAATACTCGGTGGCGAGTGAGGTCATAAACACTCCGACCAGCTGCAAGAGCACGCCGCTGTAGAAGGTTGTGCGAAAAAAGCCTGCGTCCAGGGCGCGACCGGAGAAGGTGCCGACAAAAAAAAAATCAAAAACACTTGCACGGACCCTACCCAGGAGATGGCGGACGGGGAAACTCCGAGAGCCGACTGGTAATAGGCTTGGAAAACACGAAAGCTGGCAATATATCCCTATGTGTTGAAGGCCACGAGATGGCCCATCACGGCCTGCGTCCACGCCTTGAGGCCCCCATCAGGGGTTCAAGGACGGGCCAAATGGGGCGGGGGCTGAGGGGTTCAACGGGGTTGATCAAGTTCAAGTTGACTGGGGGCGGGGGATCGGTCGGGACCCCAGAATCTTGCTTCGCTGTATTCCTTTGCTGCGCCATGAGGATTGCTGTGAGGGAATGTCTGGCGAGAGAACAGACTTTCCATTGCTGTGCATGGTGGCTTTTTGGTAGTTCTGTTATGAAATCGAGTCATTAATGGCGCCGGAGTGAGTTGATTAGTTCTTTTCACTCATTGGAAAGCGAGTGTAGGACTTGGCAAAAACATGCCACGCCATTATACTTTAAGGCTGCGGGTTATACCCGCCAAAGCCACTGGCACATGTGAAAAGCAAGTACGAGTATCGATAGTAAGGCATCCTCGGCAATTGGTTTGCTGTCACCTGAGACATCCAAGACTTTGTACTGAGTAAATATCCGACTCTCAATGATAGTAAATTGCAAAAGCCCACCCCGGGACGGGTATTGTCGGGCACGGAAGACGGGCTCTCAGTCGAAGGAGCGCAGGATTATGGTTAGTGCGTATGCAAGGTGTAAAGCCACACAAATTATTGCAATCCTGGAGGTGCAAATGATTTATGCCGTATTGGGTTTTTCGTAAAGCAAATCCCCTGATCAACGAGGTGTATGCTCGTACTCAAGGGTTTGGGCTTCCACGACTTGTGTCTGGATGAAGTACTCCGTCAATTCGAAACGTTTCATTCCCCGACATTGAATGCCCCATCAACCTCCGCTCGATATACTTTCTGCCTGTCCACAGTGGAGTTGGCCATTTTTTCCTGTAAACATTACCCCTGACGATCCGATCAATTAGCGAGACCAGTCAACCAGAAAAAGAAATAAACATGAGATTGATGAATTGAGGAAAGATCAGCAAGAGCTAGAGGTATACTGTACGGAGTACGGCATAAAGAAAATTGGCTCAATGCACGTCGCGGCTAGGTGGATAGTAGGACCCAGCCACATGCCAGTGTGGGATGGTGGAAGGTGGACAACTACTTTATTGACATGGAGTATGTTTATCGAGTATATGCAAGGTGGCAGTTAAATTAAGAAATAAGAAGCCTTGGAAGTCTTGGCTGTTGGATTGGCAGGTGTAGCTAAGACGGCTTGGTGAGTCTTGGTGAGTCTTGGAAAAATCTTGGGTATTGCTTGTTCTCGCAGGATTGAATATATATATTGACTACTACCCGAGCACTAGTACCACTCCCACGCGTACCATCACTCCAGGTCTGTTACTACTATTCAACACCTAGGCATGCAAGTAGTCACAGTACTACATAGTATTCTCAATGATGAAATATAAACTACCAGCTTCGATCAACCCGGGTCCTTGCTTGTCCAGATCTACCATTGACCTCTTTTTAATTTAAGGTTATCTGGTTTATCTGGTGGTGGTGGCGTGCCCGCCAGGGGAAACCTTAGGAAACCCTCCACACGTGACTTTGCCATGCAGCCTTCCCCCATTCTGCCGGGCGGTCAAGAGCGGGTGGCGTAATTTAAAATCCCTTAAATTCGTCCGTTTTGGGTGGGGGCTGCCCCGCTTCGGGCTAGTTCCGTTTTTTTGCCTTCCGCTTTCGGGTTTCTCCCGTCCGTTTTGGGTTTTAATGTCAGGCCGATTTTTCTTACGTTTGCTATTGGAGCTTGATTTTTCTTGGTTTGCTTGGTTTTTTTATTAAGTATTTTTTCATTTTGCATTTGTTATTTTATGGCCTGATCATATTTCCTTTTCCCGCTTGGTGCAGGCAGGCATCGATGGAGTAATGGAACACGAGTACGGATACTCCGTTCGGAGTATGTACTCCATCTTAAATTGAGAGTAGGGCTGCGCTTGGTCTCGGTTCCACGGGGTAGAATGAAATTGAAATTGAAATTGGAAGTGGAAGTGCAAGTGGAAGTGGAAAGGGAAATGAAGGCCGTGATCCGAACCTCGAACCGACACACTGCAGTCTACTCGTATGCGGAGAAATCCTTTTGGCCCTCTCTAGACTTACCTAGTCCGGTCTTCTTTGCGGAGTAAAAGATGGTCACTCGAGCAGTGACGTAGGGGGGCTACTACGTACTCGAGGCCATCCCCAACATCGGAGATTATCTGGAGGGCGGGATGAGGAAGGCTAAAAAGAATCTGCATCGGTACCGATGATGGCTTGGCTGGAGGAGGGCCACCACTGAGAGATCAAGAGGACAACCCGCCTTTGTCCCCGCAGGGAGTTTGCCGCTAAACCACCACTACGATTGGCCCTCGGTCACCCGAGATGGTGGGCCACGGTCTCAAGAAGTGCAACCTATCCGACCGTCGGCTTCGGCGTCAGCGTTCGACCAGGCAGGTCGGGCCCAAGACGGGGGAAAGCAAAGAGGCAACTGAGGCGAGTTTCATGATTAATATCCAACGGTATGATTCGGCCTAGCCCCGGTTCGCTTCAACAAGGGTACAGTTTTACTCGGAGGCCTCTGACTGGCTTCAGCAGAAGACTTTTTAGCCCCTTGGCCCACCAGTCTCTTTCAGTCTCTCCCCGTTTTTCCCCGTGGAGGGTCGGGCGAGATTCCTTTTCCGGCAGCCGAAAAGGTGATCCTCCACCCGCTCCAGGAAGTGATCCACCCCCACGAGGCGAGGGCGACGAGTAGCAGGGGGGAGGAGACCAAATGATGATGTTCATTACCATGATCGTTCTGTTCGATTATGAGTTAGTTTGAAAAGAATGGATCTTTGGCTATGTTTATTCACTGCCGGCATTCGGTATTCATGCTGAAAATGTATTGCAGAGTTGCTTAATTGTACCAAGTCAACCCAAGCTTCGCCAACCCTAAACCACTGCGAACGGGTGGCGCTCTCATTCTCTTAGCGGAGCTTCTTTACCCTTGGCCCTTGGCAACGGGTCAATTTTCGGCCCCGACATCGTCATTCTCGACGCTTACAACTCTCCATATGGTCTACGCTTTTCTTTGATTTTTGATTTCGATTTTTTCCCCTTTCTTCCCCTTTCTTCCCCTTTCTTCCCCTTTCTTCCCCCTTGGTTTGGTCTGCTCCCGGCCGCCACATTTTTGGTGGCGTCCGCAACCGAAGGAGAGAACCGAAATCGAAGATGGATAATGGAAAATAGGAATGGAAAAAAAAAGAGAAAAAAAAGTAAGCATCCAGTCGCATGAGATGGGGCGCTTGGCCCTCTCGGCAGCCCGCGAGACTTGCCCCTCCCTACGTCGTTAGTCCACTCATGTCCACTCACAAGGCCTTTGGTCTCCACGGCGGGTCGCGAGACTTGCCTGGGGCGCCCAAGCCGCCGTCGTCATGTTCAAACTTTTTCCCCCCTTGGCGCACCCAATCGATGGAGACGCGTGGGGCCGGGCCCTGACGCCCGCAGAGGAGTGAGGAGGCAGACGCAGGTCGCATACATCTGAAAAAAAGGTACAAAAGCGTCGCTCATCCCCCCCCAGAGTCCGTGCCGTTTTCTCGTCGTCTCAGTCCCTCCTTTCCCTCCCCTCATTTAGTTAGGTCGAGGTCACTTCCGAAGAAAGGAAATCACTCAAGATGTGGACAACCACTTCTGGCCTTCGAGGCAAGAAGCTCCACTATGCTATCACCTTCACTTCCGTCGTCGGTTTCTCTCTGTTCGGTTATGATCAGGGTCTGATGTCCGGTATTCTGCAAGGTTCATCCTTCATCAAGGAATTCCCCGTTCTCGACAAAAGCCTGCCCGGCCACACCCCAGAGCATGTCTCGGTTCTGCAGGGTGCTGTTACTGCCTGTTACGAGCTGGGCTGTTTCTTCGGCGCTATCTTCACCCTCATTTTCGGTCAACGTACTGGTCGTACCCCCATCCTGGTTGCTGGTGGTATGTTGATGGTTCTCGGCACTGTCCTCTCCACTGCTTCCTTTGGTGAGTCCTGGGGCTTGGGTCAGTTTGTCATCGGTCGTGTTATCTCTGGTCTTGGAAACGGTATGGATACTGCCACTATCCCCGTGTGGCAATCTGAGTGCTCCAAGGCCCACAACCGTGGTTTCCTCGTCTGCTTCGAGGGTGCTATTATCGCCGTCGGTACCTTTATCGCCTACTGGCTCGACTTTGGCATGTCCTACGTCGAATCCTCCGTCCAATGGCGATTCCCCGTCGCCTTCCAGATCCTGTTCGCCATCATGGTTACTGTTGGTGCTCTCATGTTGCCCGAGTCTCCTCGCTGGTTTATCATGCAGGGCAAGGATGAAGAGGCTCTCCAGGTCATGGCTCAGCTTAACGACAGCTCCCCTGACGCTGAGGATGTGCTCCGCGATTTCAACCTGATGAAGGCTGATATGAAGGCTTCTGAGTCTCAACAGGCCTCCAGCTGGAAGGTCCTCTTCACCACTGGCAAGACCCAAGAGTTCCAGCGTATGATGATCGGTTGCTCTGGCCAATTCTTCCAGCAGTTCACCGGCTGCAACGCTGCTATCTACTACTCAACCCTCCTTTTCGAGAACAACCTTCACATGGAGAACAAGATGGCTCTTATTATTGGTGGTGTCTTCGCTACTGTTTACGCCCTGGCTACTATTCCTTCCTTCTTTATGGTTGAGAAGGTTGGTCGCCGTAATCTCTTCCTTATCGGTTTTGCTGGCCAGGGTCTTTCATTCATTATCACTATGGCCTGCCTGATCGATGAGAACACCCAGAACGCCAAGGGTGCCGCTGTCGGTATCTTCCTGTTCATTATCTTCTTCGCTTTTACT